TTGTAATTATTATCAAGATTATTGTTATTCTATTTTATTTTTCATATCTATAGTTATATCGATTTCAGAGTTATGTAAATAGGAATTTTTCTTATAACACAAAACAAGTTTTAGATTCTAAGAGGTGGGAAGAAGGTTATAGTTTTACAGAGATATTAATTTATTTATTTTTTATCTGTGAACAACTATTTTATTAGAAATATTGCTACGATTGAAAAGTTGTAGCACTATTTCTAAAAGAAATCTGACTGGGATGGTACTTAAAGGAACTCATTTTTTATGGTTTTCCCAGGAGTTTTCTCAACAAACGGTAAAAACCAGAGGAAAAACAGGAAAATTTATGAAATGTAGGAATTAGTTAAAAAATATTACGGCCTTTTTTTACAGCGATAGAACTTTTTCTGAAAGTAAATCTGACTAGGAAAATACTTTAGGGAGGTTATTTTTTGATTTTCCCAGGGGTTTTCTCAAGAAATGAGAAAAACCGGGAAAATCGGTACATTATTAAACAAATATTATTATAGAAAATATAATATAATACTTATTTGATTATTTTACCATAATATAACATATATATTATAGAAAAATCATCACTATCAACTAAATTCTGCTTAGAATAGTTTTTTCGTGAGCAATGATTTATCGTTGCTTACAGAAATACATTAAATTCCCTCTTGTATCCTATCTTCCTAATTTCCCACTTATACAACAGTGACTGTATGCATGTGCGAAGTATATCCATTTATACTCCTAATTTCCAGCACCAACTATGCAAGATTTAGTCCACTGATCAGATTAATGAGTCTTGGTAATAAGAATTCTGTAGAATTTATTTTTCTGAAAATTTTAATGTATCCCACATTTATATCCAATGAATAAATAACTAAGTTTCTAAATAATAGCCGTTTTAAATTCTTCGAATTCATGTGAAAACTGATGTTATCTAGGGAATATCCTAACTGTGTTACGCGATTAGAAAAATTTAAAACGGCTGTTACTTAGAAACCATTTATCAATCTTTTTTCAAAAATAATAAAATAAAGTTATTTTTTTAAATTTTTTAATAAAAAAAAAAATGAAAACAAATATAAAAAATTGTAGTCCTCATTTTTGTAATTAATATGAAAAAAAAAACAAAATTTGATTATCTTTATTATCTCCGAATATATTCAAGGGATCTATCTTCGTGGGACAGCCTGTATATTGTTGACAAAGCAACTATACTATCAACTGAATTCCGCTCAGAATCGTTTTATTTGTTAACAATGGTTAATTATTTCGAATAGATATATATTAAATTACCTATAACAGTGACTGCATCCGTCCCCATTATGCTAGGATGTCTTTTTTTTTTATAAATTAAAGGTGTAAATATACCTAAATATTGCTTAAATAAATTTAACAAATATTGTATTTTAAATCATTACATAGGTAATATGTATTATGCATGTATGCACTGTGTATTCATACAAGTCATACAACCACGTATACAAAAAATATACAAAGTACAACCACTGAACCATATAAATTATTCATATGGACAATTATTATCCAAAAAATGACATTATAAATTTGGATTCTTCTTCTTTGAGCACAACCGATGCCAAGTTTTTCTAATTGATAAATGTTGGAATATTGTCAAAGTACGCAATATAATTGTTTCAATGGTTTTTTTTTTCAAATCCAATTATTCTTTCTTTTTAAGATAGATAATATAATCTAAGACAATTATAAAGTAATTATAGATTCCAAGCGGAGCGAGGAATGTATTGGTTTTACAATGATATTTATTTTATTTTTTTTATATAGCGTCTATGATTAGAGATTAGTATAAGTATACTTATAAATTATACGATTTATTTTTTTCGTGTAATATTTTTTTAAATATTTTGACTGCGCATGCATATGTATTTAACAGTCCACTAAGTATGCATACAGGATTTTCTTGCATATTTAATTATAATATACGCAGTATACACGGAAATAATATAGATAATTTTATGAATACCGTTGTCGAACGCAAAACGATACCAATCATTATTATTATATCGAAATTGAACTTTGAACAGTATCCTATATTCTATAATATATATAGGAGAGGGGACTACAAAGTAAAAAAAAAAATATGGTATACACTGTGCTAAATGACAAATATCATAAATTGTTATCTGCATACAATAATATTTGTTTATTGAATACTGCAGTTTACTATGAATATAATTTAACTTTTATATTTTACTTAATTATTTTTACATTCTCAGTGGAACAAGGAATGTATTGTTTTTACAATGATGTTTATTTTTTTTTTCGTTTATCTGTGAACAACTTTTCTACCAGAAATTTTAATCCGATTTTAAAGTGTAGTACTTTTTTGAAAGAAAATTTTTCTGAGGTGGTACTTTAAGGAAGTAATTTTCCCAGGAGTTTTCAAAATAAATGGAGAAAAACGTAGGAAAAAAGGAAAATGTACGAAATGTATTATTGTAAAACATGTATGTATAACCCAACTCTGCTCAGTATCGTTTTTCGTTAGAAAAGATTAATCGTTGGGTTCAGTTTTACATAAAATTCCTCTCTGGTTTTCTAACTTCTTACCTACAACAGTGGCCCATCTGTTGTGTGAAGCTTTAGCATAACACAATGGAAACCGGTGACACCGCGGCGCTCCGTAAATATTTGTCGTTTTTCCCTGTAATTCGCCAAATGACCTCGCCAAATGCGCTAATTAGCGAAAACAATCTTTCAGAAAATGCGCTATAGCCTATACTTCCGAGTGAGCTTGCCGGTATAAAAGTCGTTCACGGACAGAAAAAAATGAAAATTACGATCCCTCGCTACGCTTCGAATTTAAAACAGTTCGCGTAATCGCAATACGGAAAAGTGGAAAATCTGCAAACGGCCGTTGTATTACATTTATTTATTACTTCTTCAATATTGGTGGATAACGCGTATTTATAGATCGCTAGAACGGCGCGTTGTGCGACAACTTAATAAGTAACGCGGCGCGGGTTGCCGGACTTATCTACGCACGCGCACACACAGTTCAACGGCACAGCGAGGTGGACAAATTACGAAAGCGATTTTTTCGCTCAGTTTACGGGAAAAACTCTCGCGCCTCTCGCGGATTTTTGTGATTTCAATAGTTTTTTTTTTCTATCGTTAGAAAGAGGACGACTTTTTACATTGGGCGCGTTGGGCTTCGATTTTCGATTATATCGCTGAAAACAAAAATATTACACAAATTATAACCTTAGTAAAATGCGTGAAATTCAAACTCTTATAGGAATTATAAATATAGTTTTTAAAATACAAATCTAGCGCGCCCAACAAGAAGTCTTACTCGTTCCAACAACAAAAACAATTTATCGAAATTTGATCGCTCCAATTTTCAAGTGTAGTACTTTTTTTGAAAGAAAATTTGACTGATATGGTACTTTAAGGTTTTTTGATTTTCCCAGTAAATGGGTAAACATTAAATAGGTACAATATTAAACAAATATTCTTAAAGAAAATGTGTAATGCATATGTTTTCTCATTAGCAATACAGTTGTAGCCTAGTACAGATAAATATTAAATTTCCAATCTATTTTTAATTTAATTTTACTACACTAATACTAAATCCTATAGATTGTAGTAAATAATTGCTTCTTAAATAGGTACCTACCAATTTGCAGGGAGTGTCGTTTCAGTTTTTCAATAGGGATGCAAACATTCCAAATTTATATTTTAATATTCAAATACTATAGAGAAATATTTTTCTTCTGTATTTCTTCCTACATTTAATCGACAACGGTATAAATAAATAGGTAACATTTCATGTAAGCCAAAAACATAACAAAAATGTAGGGCTACCAAATTATTATCTGAATCTCCCTCAAATGACGCTCCTGCCAATAAGTTTTTATACATTTCTTTCTTTACTATTTAGATAACATATTTTTATAATTTTAACTAATGTATTTTAAACGCCACAGTAGATGTTTCAAAGTATTTAAAGTTATGTAAATTAAAATGTTATACGATTCTTCTTCCTCTTTTTCCAGTGGTGTAACTTTAGCTACCTTTTGGGAAGGGATGGATAATTATTGAAAATTGTATAAAAAGCTAGGAGGGGGGAGTGTGCATCATACATTAACTTATTAGCTAATACAACCTATGGGATTAGAAAAAAAAGATTTTCTTCTTCGCATGTCGATCAGTGATGTTGAAAAAAAGAATTATCACATGTATAATTTTCAATTATAAATATACCTCTTATATTGTATTCCGTAAGTATGTATTGATTGTCTTTGAAGTAGTTATAGTAGTTGATACAGATAATGTAGACAATACTTAAATAAAAAGTAAACAGGTCATGGGAGAATTTGACACACAGATCCCATGATTACACCACTGTAATGTATAAGTTTGTATTGATTTTTACTGTCTTAAACATATTTTTTAAATTGTTTTAAAATAATTAAAAAATTGTATATTCAATGCTCATGCTGTTGGCCCTTATGTCTATAGGCATATCATACGGTTGTAGAATAATTTTTGTACAAACTTCAAACAGGTAATATTTTAACAAGATTATTAATATTGGGTAAATCAGTTTTGAAATTTGTCAAGTCTTTGAATAGTTAGCATGAAAATATTTGAATCTGAAGAATATACAAAAATGAAATTGACAATACCTCAGCTCATACATATTAATGATAGAAAGTACATTTTGCTAAAATATAATTTTCTTAAAATAAGTACAATTGTGCAACTGCTGATCATTTATACAGCCACTAAGCGAACTTGCTTAAATAATATATGTTAATAACCTAACTTTTTAATAGTTTAATAGTTCAACTTAACCTAAAAATAATACATGATATTCAATTTTGAAAACATTAAAATTGTTTATAAACATTAAACCAAAAATTGATGTTGAAGCATTTATTAAAAGTCAAGATAACTAATTAATTCATACATAACACTAAACATAAATTTTCAAACACAATCTACGAATAAATATTATTTTAGTTTATTGCCTTGGATTTATTCAATATGAATTAAATTAGTTTAACCAAAACATATTTTGCTAAAATTAAAAGGTACCCAAAAGTAATAGATATTGGAATTATAATAAAATATGAGTGAAAAATACATAAAAGTTGTTGATTTAGATTTATAAGATTGGTAATATTATTAACAACTAACAATATAAATATATTTACGAGTAGAAAGATTTGTATAGAAACTATTTTTAAGAGATTTTACTTTAAAAACATGAAAATTGATTAAATATTGAAATTAGAAAAAGTTTTTTTATTTCTAAACATAATATAATATACTTTTATAATTTATTATAGATATTATACTATATAAATAATACAATAAATAGTATAATATACTAAACTATATAATAGACTTTGATATTAAATGTTAGTATTTTAGAAACTATAATTATGCCATGACTATTTCACTGCCACTGATGAGCATTAGTATTTTTTCAAATTTAAAGAATTTGATTTTGTAGCTACTTAATAATATTAATAACCAAACTACAAAATATCCTAGTAATTATAAATAAGTAGGAATCAAAAATATTAAATAATAACATAATACATTATTGTTATACAAAAATTAAAAATATATAGCCAATATAATATGAATTAAAAATTAATAATATAATATAACATAAAATTATACATAAAACAATGAAATGGACAAAACTTGTAAAGAGTATAACATAAAGTAGATTCAATAAGACTTCAGTTAAATATAAAAATTGGAATAATACTGGATTTGCATTTGAAAACAATAAAGTCCCCTATAAATTCACTAATAAGGGAATGTTTTTGTTTACATATTATTTTATAAGCTCTAGTATTATGTTGTAGTATTACGGTTTATTTGTTGAACTAATTTTTAAAATAATAACAATATATACCCCTAATGAATCATTGTACCCAAATCTAAACAACCTTCTTCTTCCATTTTGGTTAGGAATTTAATAACTCTTACTTTTGGATCTGTTTGGCGAGCCATATCAATTAAAGCCAATAATTTTTTTATACCAATAAATACTCTGAAAACATAAAATACAACCATTTGTAATAAATTGTACAATTATTATCAAATTATGATTTTTAGTCAAAAATAATAAAAAACAAAAATTACTTATGTCCTGATATCTGATTGTATATTTTGTGGATGTCTTGTTTAGTAAACAAATCAAAATTATCGAGAACATTAATTAGTTCTTCAGGTTGACTGAGATTAGGAACATGAAGTATGGCGGTAAAAGCAGATAACATTTCCATTTCATCCAGTACTTGTTTGCGGCTGCTGGTACATAATACTAAAAGCTTTTTACCTTTAGGAGGTTGTTTTTTTAATAGAACCAGTAATGCTTGTAATGTCAGATTGGAATATCTTGGGCCAATTGAACCATAGTCTAATAAACGTTCAATATTGTCGACTAAAATACAACTAAGCTGTGATCTGTATGCATCATCAAAGATCTAAAAAAAATAAACACAAAATTATATTAAATATTTATAAGCAGCAGACAGTAGTGCATAGAACTAAAATAATATATTATTTTAAGGGAATAGGCTCAAAAAGTTAATTTAAAATCTCCTATTTCATTCATAATAGTAATTAATAATTGTATACAAACACATAGATTGCAAATAAAAAAAATTAAAAAAAAAAAATTGTATTATTAAAGGCAATTAATTTCAAGCATAAACAAACTATAAAGTATCATGATTGAGTGCCTGTTTTTGGTTCTGTTAAGTCTAGTATTTCACTTTTTACCACATAATATACTTTTACAGGTCGTAAAAAAAAAAGGTATCTTTTTAATGTGTGCTATATTTTATTTTTTATTATTATTAATTAAATACAATTAATATAATAATTAAGAAGAAAATTAAAAATATTTGTCCACCTTACAATGTTAAATTTATGTACAAATTAAAGTTACTTTAAACTTGATTATTCTTCCCATAAGAATATTACTTATCTTAAAAAAACATATAATATTAATAATTACTAATACGCTATTAATTATATGTTAAAGCATACTTTTCTGATCTGTAAGCATTTAGCTGTTTCAGTAAACCCAACCATATCTTCTGGTGAACACACTTTAACAAAGGGAAAGTTTGAATCTTTAGCTAACATTGCAGCTAAAGCAGTTTTCCCTGAATTTGGCGGACCTTCAATAAGTACAGAAACAAGTCCAGATGTATCAGTAACTCGTGCTTGCTGAGTAAGTAAAGATCCATCTTCTAATATTCCACTGACAGATGGTCCCCAGGTAATGATACCACGAGCTAAAAAGTGTTCCAAAGCCTCAGCACTAGCACCAAACGCTGGTTTTATATCATGTTCCAATGCATGCAAAAAATCATCTCTGCACACTTTAAGTTTCTCTGGGGCTTCTGGATCAACCTCCACTTTATTGTCGGCTTTAATCAAACGATTCATGGCAGTAGATTGAGCTGCACGAACAAGACCTTCCAGCTCAGCACCACTAAAGTTTTTAGTTTTGATTGCAAGTTCCTAAACATCAAAACATATGTATCAAATTAAGATATTTTAACAATAGTACTTACCTCCATGTTAACATCATCAGCAATTTTTTCAAACTCTTTCATTCGAGTTGTATGAATATTTAAGATTTGATGTCGTCCTTTTTCATCAGGTAAACTGATTTCCATTTGTACCTAAATTTGAATTATAATTATAATTGTTGTAAACAAATAATTTGAAAATTATTTACTTCCAGTCGACCTGGTCTCAATAAAGCTTCATCAATCATGTCTCTTCGATTCGTCATACCTATGACTAATATGTTATTAAGCTGCTCAACACCATCAATTTTAGCTAATAACTGATTAACTACTGTGTCATGTACTCCAGTATTTCCTCCAACAGAACCTCTTGCTTTACAAATAGCATCAATTTCATCAAAAATTATTATGTGCAAACCACTTTTTGCGCCAGACTAAAAATATTTTATATAATTAAAATAAATATTAATTACTATTAATAATTAAACATACAGTCTTTTCTTCTTCTTCTGCATCAGCAAATAGCCTTCTAACATTTGCTTCAGACTCACCAACATATTTATCCAAAATTTGTGGACCGTTGACAATTTTTGGTTCACGTGCATTTAACATTTGCCCGATTTGTCTAGCCATCAATGTTTTACCAGTTCCAGGTGGACCATATAATAAAATACCTTTGACGTGTTTGCATCCTGTTTGCAAAGAAACATGTTTAGCTCAATGAATAAATAATTTTTTAAATTTAACTTGAATTTACCAAGTTGTTCAATAATCTCTGCTGGAAATACTCTAGATGCAAAAGCCCTTCTAAAAATAGCATTAAATTCATTATCTAAACCACCAATCCCCATTTTGTTGAAATTAAAATCAGGATTTATGATTGATACACGCTGTTCTTGACTAGAAAGTAAACATTTTTAAGCTTAAGAAAAATATTATAAATCATAAAAAAAAACTTACCATTTTGCCTTTCCTAACAACATTAGTGAAGTGGAGCCACCATGAAAACGTATATTAGTATTACTTAAACATTTTCCATATTGAATTGATCGAGGTTTTGATCCAGAATTAATATCTTGAGGATTTACACCTGGAAATATATATAACAAATCTGATCAATATATCTGTCTTAATTTTAAAATAAATCTCTGTTTAACTAATACTTATGATTAATACATAAACATAAAATGAATAATTATTTATGGAACAGTAAATTGGTTTTTAATAGTATCTATTTTTAGTTTTCCTTTAACATATTATGTCTATTAATAATATTTCAAGTTTTATGAATAGAATCAACTTGTAGGATTCAACATATTTTACTCAGACTTCATATAATACAATAACACTTCTTATTCGTTTATAAAAACTAGAAATTTGATTTAATATTTCTTTCCGTATGATTGAATTTTAGAATGTGGGTATTTAATAAAGATAGCTATAATTTAAAATACTTATAAAAAATTAAGTTATCAGAATTACAATACATCACTTTTTCATAAACTAGATCAAGTTTAGATGAAAATAAATATAATAATATAATTGACTTACGTTAAAGAGTTAACCTAAATTTAGTGTTCAAATAATTATTATTTTTAAAATTAATTTAGTAGCTTTTAATCTAACAAAAGTTTGTTATATTAGAAAGTTTCTTTTTTAATTTTGTTTTTATATAATTTTGTATTTAGGTTTCCATTTTATACTTTTAGAATCTAATATTATTTAAGAAACAATTGCTAAATTTTAACTGGCTTGAACCAATAGACCATCATTATTAATTAACTTATTAATTAATTAACAGTGGTGTGGCTAACTCAACATTTTTAGGAGAAAAATATTTTGATGCATCATACATTTATTTGTCCCACTTTACTAAACAGCTAAAAGAATTTCTACTCCTTAAGTTTTTGTAAAGACAATATAGATGTAAATAAGGTGGAAATTTAGGCTTATACTTATTTCGAATCCATCAACAAATAACCCTCCCAAAAATGTGTGGAATATTCACGTCCCACTGTCTTAGCCAAAAATAATGGTGTCTCATAATTTCATCATGAATTGAATTGGTTTAGCCCTCCCAAACCTTGTGTGTAGTTTAAATAGTAAACACTGAACAGTGATAGTGATCACTTAATATTATTTATTTGTATTGTTATTAATTATCAATAATCATTAATATAATTTGGTAATTGGATAAAAGGCACAGACAAACCTTGTGAATCTCGTGAAAAGGCTAAAATATCGATAGTAATACGGCAAAGGGTCTAAATCAGTGGTCTTCAACTGGTGAGTCGCGACCCATTTTTGGGTTGCGTAAGCTTAAAAATTGGGTCGCTATAAGTTTTCTTTTTAAAATAAAAATTAAGTTTATACAATTATATAAGGTATACAAATAATTGTTTAATTATTAAACTTAGAAAATTAATAAATTAAAACACAGTTTGAAAATTATTGTAATATATTAAGTATAAACAATATTATATAATTTGTATTCAAAAATATAATAGTATTAATGAATTTCAAATCACAGTATATGTTTCATATACTGATATGATTCTACGCAGTATGACATTAAATATAATAATTTACGAGTAAACCAAGCTAGTAATAAAATAAATATATTATAATATTATCGTTAAAGAGTCCCATAATCTACTAACATTTTTGATGTTGTCGCTGTGTTTAAAGACGAATAAATGTTAGTTAAAAAGTTTTTTTTATTTTTATTTATTCAGTTATAACAGTACTACTACAAAGTATTAAGTAATTTTAGATTTTTTTTTTGTTTTTTTTTAGATTTTTTTTTTTTTTTTTTTCAAACGTTTTTTTTTTTTTTTTTATGAATGCCTTATGTGGGTCACGAATAATTTACGCCTAAAACAGTGGGTCGTGAGTCCCAAAAGGTTGAAGACCACTGGTCTAAGTGACATAATTCATAGTTTTTAGGAGAATCAAAAAAATATTTTTTTTTTTTGGATTGGCAATAACTTTTTTCGGTTGGAATAAGGAATTTTTTCATTGAATACTTTCTTTTTATTTGTGCGTCCTTAATATGAATAAGGAATGTTGATTAGCTTTTATTTTGTTTAGACCTTATAATTGAGAAGACAAAATTGCGCTTAAGGGAGGTAGATATTTTTATTTTATTGTAAACAGCTTATTATGTGATTATGTTATTTATATTTTACAATAAAAAAAAAAAAATTAAGTTTTGTTTACATTTATCTCAAACTTAAAACTCAAATTATTAGTTAAATAATGGTCACAGTTGTTTTTACACATGAACAATGGATGAAAAACACATTACTAAATCTAATAGTGAAGCAATGTTGCTTAGATCCTTTTTCGGTGTCACCAATGATATGTATTTTGTACTAAATTCAGGCCTCTATAATTATTTTTATATTTATTATAACAAAAACAAAATTGATCAACGAGACCTGTATAGCCTATTGTGTGTTTTTTGTTAATGGTTTTTTATCTTATAGCTTTTTACTCTTGGATTTTTTGTCAGTGGCTTTTTTATCCTAGATTCATATAATTTAAAATAAATTAGATATCCACCCCATGTCTTCCAAAAATCATAGAGGACATTTTTTTTAAAATAACCATTTTTTATGCGACGGTATAATAAATACAGTAACAATTTTCTTTAATAATTAACTAAAAGCTCTTAAGGAATATAATAAGTAAGAAGTTGATAGAATTAATTTATTAATATTTTTTTACAAAAATATACTCTTTAAAATAGTTCCCTTATATCATAAATAATCATAAAAATTACAATTCCCAAGTCACATGTACAAATTATTATAGAATATTTACCTTCAAGGCATTTGATTTTAATTATCAAAAGTGGCTTGTCTGATAAATGGAACAATAATGGTTGACTGACAGATAAAACATGATCTGTTAAACGACTTAAAAACTCTCTGGCCATCATGTCTGTATCGATCTGGTCATTTTTCCCTGGTCTAAAATGATTTGCATTTTTTTTAACATATCAAAATATTTATTTATACAAGAATTTACTTTTTGTTATAATAGTCAATTTCAGCTTCAATTGTACATAAAAAGTCAATTGTCGTATTTTCAGGATAAGAGGTGACATTGATTGGCTGATTGATCGATAATTGACCCCATTCACGTTGACTCATAGAAAATGCTATGCATCCTCGTGGGGGACAATTATTTTTAATAAATAACAATGTAAACCAAAACTTTTGATTTGGCTTGATTTGGTGTTGGATTTCAATGTACCTAGAATAATTTTTATTTAATTGAATTTAAAACATAATTTTAGTTTTTTTTTTTCATAAAAAAAGTTTTATATACTTTGTATCACTGCGGAAGTCCTCTTCATTTGCAACTACACAATTTGTAAGGGCCCATTCATCTGAAGAACATTTCACTGCCTTGAAAACCTATAAAACAAATAAATAATTTCCAATAATTCGAAAAAAAGTATAAGTAGATTAAGTAATTTAAGTAGATTTTAGTAATAATCTAACCTTCATCATTTTTAATGAATTCTTATATAGAACTTAATTTCAATCAAATAAGGTCTGTTTTTTAGCAAACATTAAAGTAAAACCATACAATTAGTATAATTATTAACTGTCAGAGAATAAGAAATTTTTGTTATTAAAGAAGGCAAGAACCAACACATCAGTCGCTATCAACATTATTGTGATAAAAATCAATAATGGAATTATGGAAGGGGTAACGCGCATGCCTCATGACACAGTTATAAACAGTGTTGTTCAATGTTCCCTGTATATATTCGTGTAGAATATATAAATATAAATACATAATAATTATTCTACCATAATAGGTATAAAACGTATATTAATATTATACAATTTTTCATAATAGTAGTGTGTATTTTTACATCGTATTATGTGAAATAGTCAAAATATTTATTTTTTTTTTTTTTGGATGAAGGGACTTAAGCACTCATAATGCCAATTATGTACATTTGAACATGTTCCCCCCTTGTTTTTGAATCAATGACTCACATTATAAGTAAATTATACCAGTTGTATGAGTTATTGTGTCTATAAATTATAATCAGTAAACCTGTTACTTAGGTACCTATATCTGTGTCTTTTTACATAAGTAAGTAGCATTTTACCAAAGGATAGCAAGTTAGTGAAAATTATTAACGATCGAGTTAAATAAATAAAAAAAATTAGTTTTCAGTTAAATTGCATAAAGATTAAACCCTATTTAAAAAAAGTATAATATAAGTATCTACTCATATATATATAAAAATAAACTAAATCAAATAATCATAAAATACAATATTGATTACTGAAAATCATTAAAATCGAATTTCAAATTTCGAAAAAAAAATCATTAGTCTAACTCGTTATCGGAATATCTATTAAAATAAGTTACCTAATTAACGATAAAAATAGTTAACTAGTTAAGCAAAAGGTTAAAAATAATTTGATTCCAACCTCTAGGAAAACTGAGATAATGTTATAATTTATAGTAATACATAGTTATATAGTTAATATATAATAAAATGTATAGGTAATTATCATAGACATATTAAGTAGTTAATATGTCTATGGTATGGATAATAAGACCAACCCTCACTGACGGTTGTGCAGCATGGAATATGGATAACAACTAGTCAGACTGAATGAAAATCGAAGATGTCCGAGAGCAAAATATTGAGGAGAATATATGGTCTTATATATGATGAAACGAAAAATAGCTACCAAAGAAGGGTAGCCCTCTAAATCTTGAATATCAAATCCTTGGTCGTTAATATATTTTGATTATAAATTATAATTTAAAATAAATCATAGTAATTATTTGAAACAGGCATTCCATTGAATGGTAAAATTTTGAATGTTATTTTTTGAACTTTGCTTTGAGCCTTTCAAAATTTTTAATATCAAACAATTGATAGTTAAAACTTTGAACATATAAATACGTCAATCTCTTAAACGTTCAAAACCTTGAATATCAAAATTAAAAACATCAAAATCTTGGATGGTAAAAATTTGAACATAAAGAAACGTTTTGATTGCTCCTTATATTTATTATATAGGCTATCACAACATATTTTCAATATTAGTCTTTGAGTCACGATCTTAGATTATTAGCTTTGAGTAGTTAGATAACCAACATTTTAGAGAACTCGAAGCAACATAAAATCAGAGGACGTTCAAGATTTTGCTATTTAATGTTCCAAATAATGACGTATCGTTTATTTCAAATTATTGATTATTAAAATATTATAGTTCAATAATTTGCTTGTTCAAAATGTTAACCGAAATTTCGATTTTTAAATAATTAATTGCCGGTTCAAAATTTCAACGTTCGAGTGTTGTTAATAGTTTATACGACGTCTGTGAAAAACTTATAACAAGGAGCTATACGACATCCTAGTCCACGTGACACCAGTAACCAATCACTTATATAAGAGCACAAAGTCTGAAATGCCTGGGCCATATAATAAGAAGAGAACTTAGATATTACGTTGAAAGGCACTGGAATGGATTCCTAGGGTAGACTTAGGAAAAGGTAGATTGACATTGTTGGAAAGAATTTAAGAATTATAGGAATGGATGAATGGAAAGAGATAGTTTATGACGGGAACAGATGTTGTGCTATTGAGTTGGCAGTTCAAACTCTAAGTGTTATGAAGGCCATGAGATTAGTTAATAACCAGTTAATGATTTTTACTTTAAAATATGTACCTACCTATATGAAAAATGATTTATTACAATAATAATAATAGATGCATTAATAATACCATAGCCATAATATTTAAATAAGTAATAATAATAGTAAATGCATTTACCTATATTGAATAGATATTATATTACAATTGTACATATAGGGTTGAGTTCATCAAGAAAATCCAAGACAGGACATATTTTTATAATAATAATATGTTTGTGGATATTTGATTTTCAACTGTGATGATGGATTTATAAACCTTATAATGAATATAACATTTTCAATAATGTAATATGCCTCACATTCATTCTTCCTCTTTTATATAATTCCATGTTTCTGAAAACTTCATTTTCTTTTGGATAACAAAAAAGTTAAAACTTAAAAGAAAACGAATAATCTACAATTACACCAAAAATGAATTCATAAATTTACATTGTATAAACTTATTTTTGGAGTCAAAATTATTATTTGAAGTTTTAATAAATATCTATAAAACAGTTTTTTTGTATTTTTTTTTCAAATTGATTTTCTTTCAATTTTAAAATATTCTAAAAAAATAATTTTTAATTGTCAGATTAAAATTTCGAAAAACTGATCTTTGCCATTATGTAAAACTTGTGTGCAAATTTTTATTTTAGGACTAAAATGAAGTTTATATAACAAACAAGAAATTAGTACTATAATGAAAGTAACTAAATATATTTTTGCAATGTTGCCCGTTAGACAGACAGCCAAAAAATCCAAATTTAACGTCCCAAGGATAGCAAAAAAAAACTACAATTTTATTATGAAAATTAACAATATTATTAACAAACAATTTATATAAATATATGATATTTCAATAGTTCCATAATAAATTATACATACAAATCTAGAGACTATAATATAAGAATTATGATGATTTATAAATGTATCATCAAATAAAAAAATATATAACTTGTTTTTTCATATAAACCTAAAATTAATTGGATAGATAAAATAATTTTTGTTATAAATCACAGACATTTAATATATAAATAATTATACACAATTATAGCTATAATAATAATATTAATAAAACAATATGAATAAGAGGTGTATGTCATAAACCAGTATATTGAAGTTGAGAACTATTTAAATCTACTACAGAATTTTGAGGCATCAAGCATCCCAAATTTAACCACGCCCGTTTGCCATCATGACTTTGATTATATTGTTCGCTGAAAACAATTTATTTTAAATTAATTTCATTCAATTTAGTTTATATAAATAATTACTAATAAAATAAAATGTAGAAAAAGAAATACCTGAAAAATGGTACTAGGCTGACTAATTTATACTTATTTGGAGAATTGATCAATATTCGATTTAATGTAATTAAAAAGTTCATTATCTGCCTAAGATAAATTTGTAGTTTCTTTCGTCTTTCTTCAACAAAGTTGGCACCCTTTAATAATTTAAATAAATATATTATTTTTTAAATTTAAATTGAATAAAAGTTGTAAAAATTCAAATTACATCTGATTAATTTAATTATGTGGTATTATCATTGATGTAGTACATTAATAATTTGTGTGTGATGGTCACTACTTTTATTTACTTCACAAAATAAATAAATGGTTATAATTAATCTAAATAAACTGTATCATTTTAAATGAAAGACATTTTTAACATTGAAGAAGCACTATTAAACAAAATCAGTATTTTGAATCCATTTTATGACCAAGTGCATAAAAAATGTACCTACGCCATGAATTCTATACAATGAAATTCATAAAAATTTGAATTATCTTACTATTGATTGTAAAAAAAAAAGTATTTAAATTTTGTATGATGAGCTATTACCAAACTAATAATCATTAAATTTAGTTAAACAGCGCAAAATCAGCTATGAATCAATATAGTAGATCATTCAAGATAAATATCATACAAAATTCCAACAATCATATAATCATATAATAAACCAGTGGCATAGCAAATATTTCAGCAAAAAGTAAACATTAAATATTTACATTTAATTACTACGCAGTATAAAAGATACAATTTAGTACTGAGGTGATATTTACATTGTTATATATTTTTTAAGTATTCGTTATAAAACGAGCTCAACAGATGTCTAAATAAAAATGAATAAAACTCTTAAATAAAAACCAGATTATTTAACATTAAATAGCTTTGTTTTGGTAAATTAAAAACCCAAGGAAACATAAATAACTTGAATTTTGTAAATATTTTTACCTGCATTATTTAATTATTTCTTATTTTATATTTATTAAAGAGATTGTAAGTGATTTTTCTGATTTTGTAAGTAAAATTTGAAAATTATTTTTTTCCTTTTGAAGATGATTTTTCCACTGATCTATTGCCTGAAACCTAATTAACAGTAAGGTTGTTTTTACAGACTATTATGAAATTTCAGACCAGTGGTTTTCTGTGGGATGCAAGGTATAGTTAAGGGTCTGTCAAAATTAAGAAAAATGGTCTTTTTATGTTATGCAGATGTACCAAAATGATCTGACATACTTGAAGTAACTTTGGTTCTATTCAATATTTTTAAATAATTGGTGGCTCTGTGTTATAGTTACAATATGGCAATTTTATTTTTGGTGGAGGATCTTAAAATAAAAAAAACTGAAAATTTTACTACGATTTGTTTAAAAATATATAAAATAGATTTTTAGACAACTTTTAATGGTTGAAATTTTTGTTTAGGTATGGTCTTTTATTTTCTAAAATTTTTGAAGTTTTCGAAAATGTAATAATTATTATTGTGGTTTATAATCTATCAAATATTATAACATTTAATCAGTAGTAAGAGCACTTTGAATTACAAGGGTTTTATTTTCTACAAGTTAATATAATACAATAATATTATCATTGTATGGACTGTGACTATTACTCATAAATGACGAACTCCACAATTCACATTTACTTACACTTCAAAAAATTGTAAATCTAATTATATGTATAAAAACTATATTTAAACATTAGTTTAACCATCAAAAATCTATTTTAAAAAATGGTTATTTTTTATTTTTTATTTTAAAACCTAAAAAAAAAAAATATAAATATATTGACTGTAACACAAGGGCATAATGTATTAAAAAAATTATTTCAAGTATCAGATCATGTGATTCTTTGTATAATAAAGTGTTTGAAGGGGTCGAAAAATGAGTAAATAAAATTAAAATTAAACAACATTGAAACAACACTGACATAGGGGCATAGATAATGTTTTTACTTTTAAGATTGGTAATGGTCCAATTCTCTGTAGTATTAAAACTAACAGTATAACTTGATTTGTGATTGTTTATTTTAATTTTTGGTACTTTCAAAAATCTTTTTCATGAAATTTTGATAATATCATTACTTATTTGAATATGATAGAAATAAGTAATATTTGTTTTTAAATTCAAAATTTAGTTAAAAACCATTTACAATATCAGGGCCATTCAACACTCTAGTTATTTAAATTAATATATTTCCATTGTTAATTTATTGTAATATTGTTTTTAAACCAGCGCATAGTGGTTATTATAAAATATGAGATGATGACCTAATTTAACCATTATCGAGTTTGAGATATCTATAAATTACCATTTTGTAAGGATAAAACCATATTTACAAGTTATTGAGTTAAATTTATTTTACTACATTTTCACATAACACAATTAGTCTGTAAACTTCTTAATTATGTAAATTATTATACCTTATTTCCAATAGTTTTTTTAGGCGGTAAAGGAATTGTTGATATTACATTATATTGTTTTTTAAGTTGTTTATGAAATTCTGTAAACTGTGAATATCTTCGGTATACATTCCATTCTTCATTTAAAATACGTACATGAATCTATTAACATAGACCAATTTATAAAAAAAAAAAAAAAATAATAATGAACGAAATGTATTAATCTCTTTGCAAACATATACCTGGTATACATGATGAGGATCATTCATTCGACCAACTAAAAATGCCGATGGAACCCATAAGTGAATATTAGTGTGAGGTATTTCATCTGATGGTAAAGGGCCTCTCAGAGAAACTAATTCTGTTCTTAATTTCATAATACAATTATCTTTAACTACAATTTGCTTGTATAAACGATCATTTAATTCAATCAATTCACTATGCATTTCAGCCACCTAATAAATCAATAAATCAAAACTATGTGGGTTTGATAGCTAAAATAAAATAATTGCAAACTTGAATTAATTTTTGTTGATATAATTTAGTTTCTTCACTTTCATTTTCGTCTTGTTTCATTAACTGCACTGCACTCACATATTTTCGCAATTGATGTTTTAATAGATCATTTTCACTAAAAAAAAAACAAAAACAATTATATGAATAATTATTTAAATTTAGTAGAAAATGAGTAAGGTTTACAGCAAGTAAGTCAAACACATTTGACATAGAGAGTATAGTTTGCCATAAGTATAGGGCGAGTTCCGTTTGTGTAATTATTATGTTATACAAAATTTAATTTTTAAGCATTTAATATTCTTCTAATCAATGTAATATGTTATAATATACATAGTACTAACCGAATTAAATCAGTAATTTTAGTTTCAAGTACACTTATTTTTTCTTTATATTGTTTTTCCAAGATTAAAATTTGATCTTTTGATTCGTTAAATCTATGTAAACTATTACAGTCTTCATTTGATTCTAAAGACTTGGATTCATCATCTAAATTACAAATAGGATATTATTATGTTAATATTAACATATAATAAATTAAATAAGAACACAAAATATACACAATATATTAAAATTAAATTACTCATTCAAAACTAGTTATCAATTTATACATATAAAATAAATGAACCAATTAACAAATTAAATGTAAATACCTGTGTCACAAGATGGACTTATCGAGCTTACAGGTACAAAAACTTCATAAACTTCTGTTATTTCATTTATTGGACTTAGTTTTCTTAACCTAAAATATGAATAAAACATTGTATTATTAAAATTGTTTTTTTTTTTAAACAAATATATTGTGTGTAATATGTTATATTTTAACAACAAATTATTAATATCAAAATACATATTAAGGAATTGCATAATGTAAATGGCAAACTAATTAATTTTAATAAAACATATTTTATGGTTAAACTCATTTATGAACTTTATTAATTTCATTAATTTATTTAAATTTTGACTAGTAATTAAGATTTTTAAAATTGGCTTGTAGGTTTAGTTCAATTTAAACAAATTTAATAAATAATATATTTGTAAACTAATTCATAAATTAAATTATATGATTTATTTTCAATTACACTTGTTAATTTTTCACTTTGTTACATAGTTAATAAAATGTTTTAAAATATAACCTATTTTCTAGCTCATTTTCAGTTGTTGGCAAATCATCAAATTCTCCAATAAAACAACCTGTCTAAAAATTAAATCATACATGAATTAATTTATTTTCAATAATAATTTAAACATTTGCAGTATAAATATTACAATTTTGTCATATGAATTTGTAACTGCTGCTGCTTCATTTCCACTAGCTAATAAAACATCTTCATCAGATTTAACTTCTTCAGCAGTTTGAATATCATCTAAATTTTGATCGAAATTGATTACATTTGCCTTAATTTTTTTAATTTTTCCACCATTTTCTTTTTTTAATAGCAAATCACCATCTATAAAATATAAACAAAAATAATTAGCAAGTAAACAGTTAATAAACATTTATTAATATAATCATTAAAATAAATTCATATGAATATTTTTGGATTAGCATATTATCAATTAAAATTTAAAGGCAACATTACTTTTTTGATAAAAAAAATTTGCATAAAAAGGATGTTTATTTGGTTCCCTTAAATCATTTTTCCTAATAAAGTTTTAAATTTGTGATATTATAATCAAAATTATTTTATTTTCATTATATACCCAGAAAAGAGAAGTGACAAGGAAAATATGTAACACTTGTAAAATAAAAATGTAAAACTTTATTTAAACACCAATCTAATACAGTATATGCGGTCGGCTATATGACAACCGAATACACCTGGCGTAAGTCTCCAATTTCACTATCACATGCTACTGGTGTCGGATTAGCATGTATACAATAGGGAGTGTTATCTCTACACACATATATACAGATAACATATGGCCCTATTTTAATAATTTCAAATTTATCTTAAAAATTAAATTTAAATAAGTTATTTTTCAGAAAAAAATTAATCCATTAGGTAGGTATATTACAAATAAAATATTACCTCCAAAAATTATTGGTTCATTAAATGTTAAATCTAGAACATCTTTATTAAACTCAGATTTGTCTATGCTCAATGCAAATACTATTGACGATAAACCTGGAAGAAAAGAAAACATCATGTTCTTCATATATAATTGAATAGAATATGACATTTTATTAACCAGCAGCTGTATTAGGAAGTATAGAATTTTTTTCACTGTTACTCATAAAAGCCCATTTTTCATAAAATTGGTTGATAAGTGTTTCATTGTTTATACATAAATGCATGTACTTTTCAAGGCATCGTTCATTTATGGAAGCTCTTAACCAAGCTTTTCCTCGGCCGTAATCATTTCTAACATTTGTTAACAAATCAAAACGTTGAATTTCAGGTGCATTTAAGATTTCCTTAATAAAATACCAAAATGGAACAAGGCGTTTATGGCTTTTATCTCCATCTGAAAGGCCAGTAACTATTTTTGACACTTGTCGTTTCAACAATGAACTTCTGAAACCATAACAGGTAAATGAAAAGTACTTAAAGAAAATAATAAGTTTTATTTTTTTACGTGTCTTCTGTTTGAATAGATTTTAGTCCGTGGCTCAATATGGATTCAATGCAGTGGCACAAATTGGCAACTTCCTGATCAGATTCAGTTGCTATTTCAGAAGAACCACCAAATCGCTTTTGGCATTGTTTCACCGAGTTTAGAAGATTTTTTTGTAATCTTTCACACTTACCAGCTTCACTTGTACTTACGTGAGCCATTTAAACACTGTAATAGATTGAATACTTGAATCAGAGTATATTATTATTTTAAAAAAAAAAATTGAGAACTAAAAACCAAAGAATATAACTCACAAATATATTCAGATCATTAGATATATATTACAAAGAATTTTTTAGAGTAAAAATGATATAAAAAAATCTTGCCCAATATATTTATATGATTTAAATAGTAGACGACTCCATTATATTTCGAGAATTAGATTTAAATAAAAAATTTAGATTATTTTTTTATTATCCATGTGTATATTAATTAACTGATAAAAATATTAAAATTATAAAAATATATTGCAACAGATAAGTCACTCACTCTGAGTTATTAATTTTTACTAAATGTTCCTAAACGTCATAACTATAATACAAATATTGTTCAGGTTGTTCGTGAATCGTGATAACCAAAAATTTGTGATAACCCACTAACCCAGTATTATCAATACATTATTATTGTTTATCCTTTATTGACAATAGGCGTGTTTTCATGAATAACTACAAAAATAATAGGTATGCGTTCGTGTAGCATGCTTAGACGTTTACGATGCGCATGCAAGTAAAGCGTACATTGTTAGAGAACCTTAGGGAAATCCTGTTCACCGATTGGCTCTAATCCCAATGAGATAACAATTTTATTATTATCAGTTAGTAAAAAGTGTTTTGTGTTTTATTGATGTTATTTTCTTTTTTGCATGATACTAAGACTTGAATTTTTAATTCATATTTTTATTTAGGTTTTTATGATTATTTTGATTTTTAAAAACTGATCAGTTACATTAAATTGTATTATTTATTGATGTGATGAACAATTAATTCTATTAAAATTTGTTTTTTTTTTTTTGAAGTTACAACATACAATGAAAACAAAGTATTGTGATTTATACATACAGCTAAATTGTGAGAGCAAACATAGTTATGTAAGAATGCCATGTGTATCTGAAATTTTGTAATTTATTTATTTTCAATTGATGAGTATTCTTCGTGTTTTAATTTTTCGTGCAGCATATGGATTAATTTATTTAATTATGAAACAATATTTTATCCTGAAATAATAATTTGATATTAAATTTAATATGTACCTAACCTAACTACCTAAAACAATTATTTATTCTATACATGTTATATTTGATCTAATATGTACGGTATTTTAATAATAGTCATATTATAATCAAACAAAACACCTTTTAGTTTTTACAAACTGAAGAAACATTTAAAAATAATTACTGATAACTGATAATGAAATTTTTATCTTGTTGAGATTAGAGACAATTGGAGAATAGGATTTCCATTGGGTTCTCTGACAATGTACACTTTGCTTATATGCTTACGGTGCTTATGTCAACGCTCAAGCTCATGAACAGTTCGTTTAGATATATAGCTAATTAGCATAGGTGGATCTCAAGATGAACGTAAATATAAGCATATTGGTTGTACGATCATCCTAATTATCAGCTGTTAATTGATATCACCGGGTACTATAATTATTGTTACGACTAACAGTTATTTTAAAAATTGTTAAAATGTTACGTACTTCAAACATTTTTATTTCTATAAATTTATATAAATCGTAGTCTAAACAGCTTGGTTGAATTCTACAAAGAATAATAATTTATTATTAGTTGAAAATATAGTCAAAGAGTTATTACTTATTTCGGTGTATCTATTATCATTTGATTAGCTTGTGAGCTTGTGAGCGTTTGCTGTTCTACTTCGATGGATAAGCGTTTGTGAGCGCGGATCGATGACGTTCAGATTCAGTGACGTCATAATTGTAGTTTGAGCGCTATCAAAATGCCAAACCGATCGGTGCGGTGGTGCTGATAAGCGCTTATAAGCATTTAAGCGAGCAGCACAAACGCATCCCAAATGTAACCTGGTTACTGTATTTTATAAACATTTCGTTTTGGCGATTTTTGTTATTACTTTGGTTATAGGTTATTGAAAAATCATAACCAAACGAAATGAACGGTTATGCTATATGGTTATTAATATAGGAAATGTGATAATGTGGCAGTGGCGTATCAATATGAGTGTATTTATAGAACTTCTCAACAAAAATGTATTGAAAAAATAATGTGTCAACAAGTCTAACATTGATGCAATATTCTAGTAAGTAAAACACGGAAACATAAATTTATTTAGAAAATATGACGAATTTGTTAATGATAATTAGTACGTAGTATCGACGGTATTGATTTGACTATTTTGATCAAGTATTAATATTTTTAAGTAGGTAATAAATTTGCGCGAGTCATATAAAAAGAGGACCCGAGAATGTTCTTTGAAAAATCTAAATCAATGAACGACGTCTTTAAATCTCATACCTACATTTCGGGTTATGACTGATGACGGAAGTGTCGTTTGTTCGTTATCAACGGTTAATCGTTGCTTACAGGTATACATTTAATTACCTATAACAGTGGCTGCGCCCGTTCCCATTATCCTAGGATGTCTTTTTGTTTTTCGTTCACAACTATTTACAGTTGTTTACATTATATAAACTAAAATACTCTGTATACAATATACCTACTTTTCCAACTAAAGTGACAAGTTAATGTTATCACCCAATTATTTGTGACGGACTTACAGGTAATCTCGGTACGCCATTGCCATCGTTGCGATGGCCTGTTCGTTATCGCAGCGTACTTACGATTCATACGAGTAGGTAGGTACATACGCCCCCGCCGTAATCTCTCTGCACGATTAGATGAATATTATATTGTGATTGTCTTATCGGATGAAATCGTTCCGTTAACAATGGTCGACGGTGGGTTATGAATAATAATACACGCGCAGCCGTTAATACATTATAATAAACAATGATTTATTATTCATAAAAAGAAATCATTTCGTTTCTATTAGACCAACTGCCGTACCTATACGATATACCACACAAACAAAATAATAACGTCATTACATCAACATGATGAAGAAAAAAAAAATACAAGAACTAGCCACGGAGCTTATACAAAATAAATCATCAAACCATAATAATTATTACAGGTAACGACTGAGTGAGAAAATAACGCGCGTAACGTTTCGTTGTTAACACCTATATAAAATATAAAATATAATGAAATATTACGGTTTATATACAGCGATGTTTCCAACTTTCAACCTTTTGACACTACGGATTAAGTTTCAATTTCTAATAAGTGATAACTGATAAGTCACGGATCACCTTGATTTGCTGATGACCTTTTTCGTACATAATATAACTGCACTTTTTGTATTTGAAGGGTAATAAATAATACTGGTGCGCTAAAATGCAAAATTAGACCAAGTTCACCATTTTATAATATTTTATCTTTCGGGTATTGTGTTTTATACGGGAATATAATACAAATAGTTGTTGGTAAAAAAACAAAAATTTAAAATCTTTAAATTAGTAATTTACAACTATGATTACTAATTAACCAATTTTTAGTTTAAATTTTCTTTTCCTTAAATCTTATTTTCCGTTGTTATTTTTTTTCATGTTTGTTTTAGATTCTGAGCGAAGATTTCTTAGAGTGTATTGGTTTTACAATGATTTTGTTTGTTTATTTATTTTTTTATTTCTAAACAACTATTCTATCAGAAATCTGGCTCTGATTTTTTCTGAAAGGAAATTTTATCTGGGCGATACTGTTTTAATTTTCAAAGCGATTTTCATATTTATTTAAGAAAAACCGGAAAAAAACGCAGGAAAACAGGGAAGTTTACGAATTTTATTGTATTTAATTTTTAATTTTTTGTTGTGGTTCAGTTAAAAATATTTGTAGACTTAAAATTTGATCGAGAAACCTATATTTGTCTTTACTAGACATTGGAAAATTTTCAAACATTTTTAGCTATTTTTAAGCTATTTTAAAACATTTTAATAATGCGAATTTTTTACGTAATTTTTATTCGGTGTGTCCTCTGTGAAAAATATTGTTGGACCAAAGAGAAATGCTTGAAAATTTAATAGGACTTTCATTATAAGTCGTACCTTGTAATTAAAACAAATTAAATTGAGTGTAATATAAAATTTTTTTTATAAGAATTTTAGTATCAAGTTTTGACGAAAATCGTAAATATTACGCCTTTCAAAATATCCCTGCTCAGAATCCTTTTTCGTTAGCAATGATTAATCGTTACGTTGCGTACAGATACATGTATACATGTATACATTAAGTTTCCTTCTATTTATCCTATCTTCCCAACTTATCATCTAAAACAGTGGCCATCGTGCGAAGTATGTCCGTCGTTTTTCCTTGGCTTTTTTTTGGGATGCATTACAAATATATAAACAGGTGAAAAAAATAATTCAACAATATTGTTGTATAGGTACGTGTAATAATTTGCTTTATATATAGATATTTACCAACATATTTGAGCTGTAACACGTTTTGGTAAAAATTAATACAAAATTTGAGTAGGTGACGGATATCAGTAGGAAAGAAGACGATCGGTAGATTTCCTTAAGGATTTCATCTCCACTAAATACAGAGTAATAATTTTATCATGAACCAACAATTATCTCTGAGGATTTTAAGTGACATTTTTTAGAAAGGCCGAAGCTTTATTTTAAAATTATTTTATAACTATGATTTATCTTTTGAAAATGGTACTTCTATTATAAGGAATTTTCAATTTATAATTTCAAAACTGATAAATTTCTCTACAAACTTTCATTGCCTATTTTGTTCTCTTAGGGCTGGAGTTCAAAAATCATTTTATACTGGATGGTTGAGGCACAAAATGTAGCTATTGTAAAAATGTTATATTTCTAATCCCAGCTGCTTACTAGTAGATCAGTTCGTCAGTCAGTTTCTATATATAATATACAGATACATCATAATTATAATACAAATACTTTTTATTTTACTTTTTAGTCTATCTAATCACGATTTAAATCAATAATTTAATGATAAAAATATAATCCAAATACTTTTTTATATTTACATATTATATATAAAAAATAAATATATTATAGAGTTTTTAAATTTGTTTTAATATTTTTGTAATAATGACTTTCGGTTATAATTATGATCAAATTTTATCGATAATTCAGAATTGCGTGCTAAAATCATAATTTAAGTACCGTTAACAAGATATTCCACTTTTAAGTTTGGGTAAGAGGAGAGTAATGGAGCATCATACTTTATGTGGTAACACAGAGCGTGGCGTTTGAACAGTGCTCCGCTACTCTCCTCCTAACCAAACTTAAAAGGGGAGATTTCGTTAACGGAAATCAAAAAAGTCAACACCAAAATGTATTTAAACCAGGGACGGATCCAGGGTGGGCCTATTGCCCCCATCAGAGATATTATCTCTCCAATTTTTATTTTATAATTCTATAGATCCTGATATTACTATATTTCGATCACAGATATGTATGATAATATGATATATTATACATATCTGTGGACTGTGATTCCAGCATTGTAGTTTTGCAATCACGTGTTAATTATTAATATCATGAGAGTGCGCAACGTATCGAACAAAGTTGGTCCGGACATTCACAAATAGATTGTAGTTAACTAAACTATTATGATACTATAAATTAGAATCATAGACATTGTAATTGTATTTGTATTGTAAAAAAATGGTTGGGTCTCCCCTCTAGATCCTTGCTCTAGATCCGTAATTGACTAAAACAAATACTCCGTCTATTTGTGGAATTTATATTATAGATTGCTATTTGAAAATCAAACGTATCCTAGATAGCTGAGTTCACCTCCCAGAATAAGGGTGTCAACAAATAATTGTTATGCAACATTTTAGAGCTACTTGTTTCTTAAATTGTTAGAAAAGCAAAAAAAAATCACGAAAAAAAGTTAATATTCCAATATTTCCAAGATGTTGCAATGATCATTAAAAGGTCATTATTATCTACGTGGAACACACGCTGTACCCAGAAAAAAAAAAAATCAAAAATTCCCAGTCCCGTCAAATGCGATTATAATAATATATTACCGTGGCGCATCGAGAACGTCGTTTTTCCTGCGTAAACGAAATTTTTGAGAGTTCTAGGTAATATGTACCGTACATAATAACGTGGACGAGTTTGCGCAAACCGCGACCGAGATCAACCCTGTCGTTCCGGTAAACGAGGGAGGACGACGAACGCCGTCGTCAGTGCGGATGCAGGCGGAACGGCGCAGGACGTGCGACTACGCGGCGGCGGCAGCGGTTTCACGTTTTATCGATACGATGACTGTCATTGGCCGTTTCCGTATCAGCTGGTAAATATTACAATAATATTATATTTTTCTTGCTTGCGATTTCCGTGTTTTCAACGGATTCCGTTACGGCCAGCTATATGCGCGGTAAAAACGTGTAGCGAAGAGGGGGACATATCTCCCCTCCCACTTATAACCTTTTCCCCTTCGATATTTATGAAAGTTATGAAAAAAATCAACTTCATCCCCGTCCCATGACAAAATCATTTGACCGACACTGGCTACAACTGCGACGGTTTGTGATGTGTAGGTGCGCGGTGTTTATAACGATTCGTCATGTTTTATTCGCTTGGTTTTTCCAAGGTGTATACTGTATGTCTGTATAGTATTTGCCTTATGTTATATTATAATACTGTGTTCGATGCACAACGTCCGAGTATCTCTACGGAACAATATCAATAATAATAAAAAAAATCATCATTATCTTGTCTTGTATCTGTAATATGTCGCCGGCGCCCAGTCTTACGACACACAAGGAAACCCTTTTAAACGCACAATAAAGAAGTAGCTATCCGTGGTTATTTAATTCTCATTGTATAGATATAAATTTTAAACAACGCGATGTGTAACGTCCGAAAACCTTATAGAAAACAAACACTGTATCGTTATTATACGGCGTGGATACACACTGTTTGCGCTTTTGATTTTGCTTTTTTTATAATAAGGTAAAAGTTGATTTGGTTTTAATCGCATTTTATTATTTTATGCTTACTTTGTTTTAGATCTATCATTTTAATTTTCATAATTGTTCGGAATACAAAAAATATAGTATTTTTTGGTTCGAGTAATACAATCCATCTTCTTATTGTGCCCGGTGTTGTGGCTATATGCTACCAAATGTTCAAAATGTTTATAATAAATATGCCTAATATTGCGTATTATATGCATGAAATACTCGAATGGAAACAGTTTTAAATAATAATTTGTGTTTTTTATAAAATTATTACCAAAAATAATCTCGAAGGTTTAAATGGCCCCATCCTGTGTATTAATAATAATAATTTACAGTTTAAGACTAATTCTTCGAGTAAAGTGCCTCAATATTAAGCACTGAATCTGGTTTAACTTCAATGTATGTATGTATGTTCAAAGTGGCCATTCCACTAAGTTTCTGTTGTCCTGTAGTGTTTCCTTAAATACGTTTTTAGCCTCCTAAGTGTAGAAAATGGTTTTTATGATGATAGTTATTATCACTTATTCATACATGATGTTATAACATTATGTTTCTAATTGGTATGGAAATTATACAACTACGTACAATTCTTAAAAAGTTAACAAATATATTTCGGGGGAGGTTACAACCCCTAAACCCCTCTAGTTCCGCCACTGTTTAGAGATCAGTATATTATACTAAATAGCAGGTCAAGTTATAATGTTAAACTTGTGAACAACATATTCCTAAACTTATATTCAACTCATTTCTACTGCATCAAAACTGTGAAGTATTGCGAACGTGCTTATGTACCCGTTTCAATCTGCACTATAAATATTTGCTTCCACGAAAAAAGGCCTTAAAGTCAATTTTTGGACATTTTTATTTTTAACAATTTAATCTTACGTTATTTTTTGGTTTAAATGACATACGTGTATTTATTTTCAAAATTTAATTAACTTGTGTTGAAAACTATACAATATTGATTTAAACCCTTCTTCCCTGGGAGTCTGGGACCAAAGAATTTATTATTATATACCTAATTACTCCTGATTATTGTGTTAAAACAATGTTTTATTTTAATTCACCCGAACCGTGTACGAAATTAATTATAATGTACAACAATAATAACAATAATTTACGCGTCTTCGCTCTGTTGGATACATTATACCGAATTGATTGATCACGTGACGTATATATTTATGTATACATAACACTGCACGTATAAAGGCATGGTGTTTAGAACACATAAATATTTGTGTATCCGTTAATGATATGGATACCTACCTAGTATCTACTATACATAGTGGAGTTTTAAACACTGTGAACTCACATTTCGTACAGTTCGTATTCGTATGTATACGTATATTACGGTGTAACGGTAAAACCAACCTCCGCCAGGCTTCGTGCCATGATAAAATATCGTTGACCCAATAAATTCAACACATATATTATCGTCGTTAACAAACTATAATATGATTATGTTATTCATATGGTAAAGTTAACCAATAAAAAAAAAAAAAAAACCAACTGTATACCCGTAATAATATTTTCATGTATATATTATTAACACGAAATACCTATACGAATACGTTTATGTATACATTTAACTTTATATTACCATTATTGTAAGCAATAATATGAATGCATGCAAAAAAATAATTTGTATGTTTTTTTTCTTTGCTTTTCGGAGCATAAAAATTTAAACAAATTCCATTGTGCGTTTTTCGAATTTAAGTTTCACCGTTGTGTTTGAGAAAACAACAAATAAAATAATATACTCTGTAACACTTTCATTCAGATTTGTACATATTATTATATACCTACACAGTACACACAAAGGCGTATCAAAGACTCTTTTCGTGGGAGGGGGGAGTGAAATGAATTTTGAAAATATCTTAAAATAAAAAAAAGGCATGTAACAACTATACAACAATAATATTATAATTAATAAATACGGCGATCGGGAAATATAAATATATTTTATATTCACATTTAAACTTGTTTAACTAGGTATTTCGGAGATTTTTTGTGTTTAATAGTACGATTTTTAATTAAATATTTAAAAAAAATTTTACAGTGTGTACTCAGTATAAAAGCTATAATATATTAAATGTCAAATTATATTTTCGTGCATTTACTACAACATGTTGGGTTATTATATTTGTATATATGATGGGGCAATGTGGAGTATCGAACAAAGTGTACTTTGCCCACGCAAAATGTAGTCCTGCCCGGGAACCTCACATTTTTTTTAACGTGAAATGCATGAATGTATATTACTTCTTTGGAAAACATGTTAAAATCATTAATTTTATTATTTCATGTTAAAATTAATTATTTTGATTGTGGTCCTCCGGGCAGGACCTTAATTCTGTCTGTCTGTCAAATCTTCTGCTTTATTCCGATCTTGATGAACACCGCATTGTCGTTTAATTCAAGAGGCAGGTCGCCTCTTGACCACTTATATTTTTAATCCCGAAATTTAACAACTAAAGGGTGGCCGACAAACGATTTTTGATATTTTTGGAACGAAAATAGATTTTTTTTTTGATTGATTTATTAGTTACCTTGGTGACACGGACGCATTAAAGCAGTTTTTATTATTTGATTTTGTTGTGACAGATCAGGAAGTACCCTTTTTAAAAGATAAATTATTGGACAACAACAATTAACGGTGTGATAGAGATAAATAATAATGGTGGGAACGGGGAGACACGTTAAATTGATTTTCTTTTATTGACTTATGTTTACGTTATGGATCGAGCTCGAGAAATACTGGGTAATAATTCAACTAGTTATATAATATAATAAATTACTATACAATTTTATACAAAACAAACTAATTGAATCTTAAAACGCTTTATTGATAAATAATATTCGAGCATATTATCCTATACTTTATACGTCTTATAGATAGGCGTATATTCCATTTTACATCGCAGACCTCGTCAATGAAATCATATACGCACTAATAATAACATAATAAAAAGTGACAAAGAGAACCACGAATAATAAACGTGGAGTATATACACCTACAGGCATAATTATTTGTTATTAACTATAGCCTATTACTTATACCCGCCGGTTTGCAAGTAACAATGGAATTATTGCATTTTATAGTAACGTGTTTAAATAGTGTACACACGAGATTATCGGGAAAACGTGACGTAATTTTATACTATGAAAAAACGTTCAAGGGGACAGCTTGTTAAGACAGAGAAAGAGAAAGAATTTCGCACTAATTATCCGGGTACCAATTCGAAATTTGCGTGAAATATAATTATTATTATCGGCTGTTTCGCGTTCTATAATACGGCTATAATATCGCAGCAGAATTCAATAGGCTTCATCATAAAGTACTTATATTATAATATATACGTATTTACGTATTATAATAGCATAATGATTTTAATATTTTTAATTTTTGAAGAAGAAAGTGGACGGATGCCGCGCCACGTTGCTGTCGTGCCGGGAAATGATAAAACGGGTCGGTGGTGGGAAACCGGTTCAGATTCGACAAAACGCAAGTTTTCAGCGTCAGTCTCGATTCAGACTCTAACGAGTTCGTCGTTTTATTTTCCATGTCCGTACAGCTTGAAAATACAACAGAATTTTAGCAGGGTAACTAAACAATAGAAGAAAGAAACATATGCAAATAATCGCAAGAACAATTTATCCGACCTGCAAAGACAGATTATTTTAAGGTACTTCGACTTATATATTACTATAAACCGAATATTTATTTTGTTGTTAGGCGTTTGTTGTAAACCAAAATATATTAGGTATTATTAATTTTATTCACGATTTATTTTTATATTATATATTATAATATATAGTTTTAAAACCCAGATGAAAAATAAACGAGAAATTGTTGATTTGTAGAAGTAGGTATTAGAAAAAAAAAACGTATTGGTTAATTTAACGCAAAGAATAGGATGTCTTCCGAAATTAGTCGTTGTTCAATCAAAACCATACATTTTGATAATATCGTATTTTGTTTCAAAATATTTAACGTCGCCAACTAAATTTTACCTACTGATTCGTTTGATTGATTACAATTCGTGCCGACTGTCGGGTGCCTATTATGTTTATAGATTTAGATTCAATCATGTTCCATTATGGGACGCAATCTAAGTATTTTGATATCCAACGATCTTTCAACATTGGTACCGTCATTTAATTGAATTTTGGAACCCAAGGTTATAACTGCATATTATATATTATGCTCATAATATAAGTTGCATTTCCCAGTATCTAAATACATAATATTATAATATACCGAAATGTAATTTTTTTTTTCCCAACATTATTACTTATTGCACCTATTGTGTTACATATAGACGATCCGATGATACCACGCTCGTATTATAGCCTTTTGTATACGTATTTGAATTGTTTCGCTCGGTTATGGAGTTTACGTTTTCAAACGATACCTAAGGTTATAACATATTATATTTCAGGAAAACCGCGCGTATAATAGATTTGTTAAATCGTTTGTTATTAAAATATCTAATGTGATTTAAATCGAACGTCTTCGTAATATTATTAATATAATAACAACTAATGTACGGGATATAATAGTATATTATTTCGTGGCGTGACTGTGTTATTATTATTCGTAACAGAACAAACAATACTTTAATTTACCTACTGTTCTATATCAGAAGAAAAAGTATGTACAGCCTCGACGAACGTCGGTGATCTTGAAAAGTCGGATTTTTTTCTTTAGATATTTTCTGTCTGTACATCAGTTTTTTACCAAAAATGTGTTCTAATCGAAAAACGAAAAGAGAGCTCTTTTGAATCATTTTGTATCTAATCGGTGCATTGAAGACGTTATTTTTCTATCTTCCGGGTAGTTTCTTAATGATCTGGAAAAACCCGGAAAAAAGTTTTTTTTTCTGTTTTCATTCGGTCAAAAATAATCGTGTAGATCTGAAGTGTCACGTATTTCTTATATTCAGTGTTAAATATTGATAATCAAATAATTATCTAAATAAGAAAATAGATATTTTTAAATATAATCATCTATAGATAGATAATAGATTAATTTAAATATCTAATAGATAATTTCATGAAAAAATGATCTAGATAATACTTAGATAATTTATAAAATAACCTAGCTGATTATAAAATAATTAGTTATAAATTATAGACTGATATTTTATGTTACATAGACACATTGGTATTATGATACTTCTGGTTACTTATTAAAAAACCACATTTAATTTTTGGATACATAGACATAGTTATTAATTATGAAAATAATTTTGTATTAATATAATATATCACTTAATGAGTAATATAGGTCAGTTAATGTGGTCATTTATATATTAGAATTATTGTTTATTCTTTAGTTGACCTTAGCGTCCTTAGGCATAGTAATTTCGAGGTATGAGTATTTGATTGTTTGTACTAAATCATTTTTTGAATAGGCCTGAGGAGGTTAGATTTTTAATATATTCGAGAAACACTTGTTTCACTATTAAGTACTGATTCGATACATACAGAGATTTTGTTTCTTTTTTTACATCTAAAAAGGTTAAAGCTTGAACATTTGCTGTTATATTGTGTAACTATCGTAGATATTAAAGTATCAGAGAATTGGAATAATAGCATAATGCATTCAAAAAAGCTACCCTTGTCTTCAGAATTAGTAGACTGGCTCAATTTAGATTGCGCAAATAAAATTGTAATAATAAAATTAAAAAATAATTAGACAATAGAAAAATAAATATCTAGATAATTTTAAAAGATTACTGTTTTATTATCTAAATAAGATAAAAGATGAATCATTTAAAAGTTATCTAGATGAGATAAAATATACGAAAAATGTATCTAGATAATGCCAAACACATATGCTCGAAATTTACGTACAAATTATGAAATTTTAAAAACATATTTAACCGAACATTCGCTAAGATTTGTATTTTGTCAGTATTTTTGTTTTTCTTAGAAATGAAAAAAAATACTTCTTCAAATTATATACATGCTGCAGTATATAGATACGCTATGCGATTTACGGAGAATACTCGATTATACAATAATAATATTATAGTATCGCCTCGTTTTTAGAGAAATGTTTTAGTTTTTTGTTTTGTTCCTTTATACACGACCCACGACCTCGAGGACGTCTCGTCACCGTTGTGTCGGACGTTCACCGCTCGTCACGTGTATACGCATCGGCCAGCGTTTTCGGACGGTTCCTGAATAAAAAAAAAATACACGTGTGTCAGGTACCTATATATACCTATCTATCATAATAATAGTGCTGGGTTAACCAGTAACCGGGTTAACCGCCGTCGCCTGCGTCGCAATTATATTGTGTTTCTCTACCGACGACGGTATTAGAGAGATTTTGCGATTCCGTACAACAGTAAACGAGAAACGTTTTGTACACGGTAAACACAATAGATTATACAAAATTGATTTTTGGTATTCGTAAACGGGAATCTGATATAATATGTTTACCTATCATGAATAATTTTATCAAGTTTTATTAGGTGCATATATATGCACTTGCAACACTTGTAACAATTGTATACTGCAACAGATTATGTATTTAAATTTTAATTGTATAATATCTCAAAGGTACCTAACGACCAACTTCCGGAGTATAATAATTCAGTTTCACTTGAACATCATAATCCATTTACGTTGCCATTATGAAAATATCATATATTAAAACCAAATCAAGTATGAAGATACGAGTATCCAGTTAATATTATTTTCCTTTCGACATTCAATATTGTAACTAATTAATTAAATTATTTTTTTAAATTAGGTTAAATCGAGCAAGGTTTTTTTTTATTATGTTATTAGTAAAAATTAAAATGTTTTCGTTTTTGTATTTAAGAAAAGCTACTGCTCGTTATTCTCGTGTCAGAAAACGACAAACTGATTCCGATAAACAATGTGGTAGTCGTTCAGTAATGCGATTTCCTCGTACAGGGAGGTATAAACAAAATTACAAGTCGCAAAATCTGTCCAACGATAATAATACAGTCGCGTGCCTTCCGCGCGTCGGCGTTTCCGGGACGTCCGTCCGGCCCATTGGCGACCTCGTGTACCTAAAGAAATGCGGCGCGGCGTCTAACCGCGAGCGTCTCTCGCTTACGCGTACCAACGGTTGCCCCGATGACCCACATAATAATAATATCATACTATACAGGTAACTCCGCAAGGTATACGTAAATATTATTCCGGTGACGCGTCGTCCGCGCACGCGTTTGAATATTTATACAAGCATACTCGTAGGCCGTATATTATACAGCGTGATTGTACGTTTCCGGGTAAATATTTCGGGCGGATGACCTTGGATTGGAATTTCGTTTTCGGGAGACGATAGGGGGTACTGAAATCGGTGTTGAGCATTATCCAGATAAATAATTAATTATCTTTTATTTCATCTGGATAACCAACAAAATCAACAAAATGTGTGTGTGTGTGTATGTGAAATATACATTTTTTTTTGATCAGTTACAGAGCCTATTTTTGAAACTAGAATTCGAATTGTGCTATTTTTTAAGTGACTTTGATTGACACAATATTTTTTTAATCTAAAAAATGAATCGTTTAAAAGTCATATAAAGTTGATTAAACAATTATAGTTTTTATTGATTTTTATATAAAAAATTTAAAACGTATGTTATTAATTATTATAGATATATTTTATATTATGATTATCTTTACAAATAATTATTTTTCCATAACACAGTAGTCAAATTTCTTCAATTTTTAAAATTTTGTGTTTTTAATTTTTTTAAAATTCATATTTTGATTTTTGACGCTATTTTTTAAATAAAAGCACTTTAGTTGAGAAAAATGTAGGAAAACGTACGATTTCATTAGCACATATAAAAACATGGACAACGTTTTCTATCAGAAAAAAATGATTTAAACGAAAAATCACAAAATATCTTTTTTGTTGCCTTTTTGATTTACTTCTTTAGGGTATCATCGCCAAAACTTTTTAACCACTTTTGAGTTTTTAAGAAATTTTAATTTTTGGGAGTTTTTTTTGCTGTAAATCAGTTAAATACACGTAGAGACTTGAAACTTGGTGATAATACTTATATTAAAATTACCTAGACGTGGTAAAATTTTCAAAAACATTGGACGATTTTTTTTTTTTTTAATTGTTTTGAAGCAAATTTAAACGAAAATCACAAAAAAAATTACGGCACTTCCAATTATTATGTATTACAGAACTGCACTTGGAATCGTCTTTCGTCAATTAATGGTCTTTCGTTGCTTACAGATATAAATTAAATAACCCTTATGTATCCTATCTTTCCAACTTCTCACATACAACAGTGTCCGCTCCCATCCCCAATATCAGCTTTTTTTTAAAATTTAATTTACATTTTTTCTTTATTTTTGAAAACATTCGATTACTAGAAATCTTGCTCCAATTTCCAAGTGTAGCATATTTTCTGAAAAAAAAAAATATGTAATTGGTGTTGATTTTTAATGTGAGGCCATTTTTTGATTTCCTTTGGAATTTTCTTAATAGATAGCAAAATCCCTGAAAACGTACGGCAATAACGGTTTCATTATTTTCGATTTTGTTTTAATATATTCTCATGAACCACGATGTTGTTACGGCAGCGGACATCTGCCGGACATCATCGCTATCAGCCTAAAACTAAACGACTTTACCTACTGGTAATCCTGTACTCGCACGCTTTGAATCGTCCAGTGTTTAGAGGAGAAAAAAAAGTTATCGTGCGACACGTGTAACGTGTACAAATCGAGTGTTGATTTATTATAGTGTACATAATTTATGCACGTGTACACGAATGTTATTGTATATAAATACATAATATTTATGTATGTATAAAATATGCTTTAAGATATTGTAGATCAGTAGGCCAAAGAAAACTCTGTTCGGTCCGGTTTTCCTTCGATCTATTGTGTACTACTCGTCAATTTTCGTATACATTATAATGTACATATTTCATCAAAAAAATAAAAAAAATCAAATCACAAACACGGTTTTCGTTTTGCAGTCAAATTATTGATTATTGTAGTCATCGTCCATCATAGTGCGCATATTTTCATATTTTATTTATTATGATAGGTACCGCAGTTGATTCATAAACTGAATAGTCTACATATTACTATTTATACTACTAGGTTGTATATTATAGGGATTCGATATTTCGATTGAACATATTTACATATAATCTATTATGTAGATTATAGATGCTTATAATATAAAATATAATTTTTTCGAGAAAGTGTTCGGTCATATACTTCCGCGGTATTTCCGATAAAAACAATAAACATTGTAACAGTATATTATTACCAAAATCTCATATCCAGTAGTTTCTGATTAATGTGGGTACATTGAGATCAGTTACATTTGCCCACATTAAGCAGTTGCCTATAATAACCGAAATTAGTATCGTTATACATTAGAATCAGGACCAGACTATTATGTATAATTTGTTGTGATTTGGCGGGAAGAAGCTGCTCTATACACACTGAAGTTTGCTATCTCTATCTTTCTATAACGAGAAACATATAACAGAAATATGTACACGTAAACGAAAAGCTCTAAAATCGGTTTTAGAGATAATTATGAAGACAGCGGTATTTGGTGGTTTTTTTTATATATTAATTATTAGCTGTCCCGGCAATGCTTTGCTATTGTTAGGTTTTATTATTATTTGTATTATTGTTTTATTATTTTATTATACATTATTGCAACATGAATTACACATAAAACAGTTGTTGTAACTGTTTTTCGTTCGTGCAGACTTCGATTATCATGTTCTTTTCAAGCTTGGGACTGCTCTGGTGTTTCAACAGCACTGTTTGCTACTTCATGCACTGCCTTCCCAGCTCAGTTTATTGAGACATTACGTTTCTAGTTACTTTCATAGTTCGAGCTTTATTAGAGCTTTGTGAAATACATTTGTTTTCTTCCGTTCAGTAGTTTTTACGTGAAAGAGTAACAATCATCCATTCATATATCCGTACAAACTTTCACATTTATAATTTGAGTAGGAATAGTAGGATTTAAAAATTTACATTTAAAATAAAGTTTTTCGTGTATTCAATTTCAATAATGAGTTAAAAATTTAAAAAATTGTGAACACCAACTAAATTGAATTCGAAATGTAGTCATCATCAAGTTTTGTGTCTTGTTGGTGTTTCATCTTTACAATCGATTATAAATTAGAAAGATCAAGACGGCAAATCCCAGTCTGGCGACTTCTTAACAACAGATTTTAATAGAGGAGAGTCCAACAGGGTTTAAACCCTTCAATTCTTAGAGTTAGAAAGTAGGAGCTTATATTTGATTTCGTACATACCGTCAATTAATAATGTTTACAAATAATGTTAATAACATGATCATTTTTTATGAACTCGTAATACTATTATTTCTGGTGAAATTAAATGTATATATTTTTATTAAATCTATTTTTATACATTTTGAAGAAAAATGTATACAATTTTTTATTAAATAAACAATCGTGCGATTTTTATATAATTTCCCGATAGATTTATTACAAAAATTTTCGATTTTTCCGAGTTCCGGTACAACTATAATGATTTATATACAACAGTTTTGTAGTTTATAATAATATTATATAATATAGATATACGAGTGGAGTTTCCATTGTTTCACATAATTGACGAAGAAAAATTAACGAAGCGATAAAAGTTATCTAACATTTGTGATTTTTTTTTTGCCCTCGTCAGCTGTGAAACTGTAGGCGGGAGAATATTACCTATATTGTTTTCATTAGTTTATTTCGACGTGACTGGGTTTAAAACGTGTATGGGAAAAAATCTTACTTGATGACGGCGGCGACGTTATGATCGTACATAATTATTTTTATATGTATATTGAATAACGATTTTACCGGGTAAAAAGAGAAAATGCGTTTAATGGCTTTTGTTCTGTGGGGAAAGTGCTGTATAATGTACGTATACATATACGTTTTGAATATTTCACGAAAACTCATAGTCCTCAAACAAAAAACTCATGTACATTTTATGTATACTTCATGGGAGACTGATGTTTAATGACAATCGCAATATATTATATAATATTGATTACTTATATTATTAATCGTCAGCGGGTCGGAAGTTTGGAATTCGCCCGCATATTAGCTGCGGCAATCGTTATAATAAATAATATGATGGATATACATTTCGGCGATTTTTTTCATTGCGTGAGCGCCAAATATCATCCTCTTTCCTTTTCTGAAATAGTGATTTTAACCGCGGTACTCTATATTTCAGTCTGTATTTCCATAGAAAAACGTCCATTTTCCCTCATATTCCAGGTATAGTAGTGGACATTGCAGTAAGGGATATTATGACGAAGTCTGCGACCTCTGCTCACATTCACTGAGCCACAGCAAGTAGTGTTCTTGTTATATATATAATCTATTTATATTCGTTATCCGTGTATAAGCCAGATCAGATCATGACTAAGGTAAGAGGAATCTGTTGCAGTGACGTAGCTGTGGGTTTTAGAGGGTGAGAGAGGCATTCCCCCCCCCCTTGTACTCCGTATAATTACGTATAATTATACGTGTGCATTGTTATTTGTTTTTAACGTTTTTACAATTAATTTGAATGAATTAGTTAATAATATGATAACATCGAAATTAATTAAGGTTTCTGGTGTTATCATTTCGTTTTGGCGGTTCGACCATTATCTTTTATCATTGATTTCTAGTTATAAGATAAATGTGCCACGATTATTTATGCGGCCTTGCACTGTTGCATATTTACCAGGAAATTAGTATTCCAGTGAATAATATTATTGAAAGATTCTCATCTATGAAAAACCAGAAGTTAGACTTTGTATTACATATATTCTTATTTTTTGTATTAAAATGTTATATTTTACAAATGTAAAAGTTCCCAATTTCCGTGCCTATTAATACAATGATTTTTGTAGTTGTGACGTTACTTTTTTAAGGAATTTTCTATTTTAAAAATGGAAGAAAATATATTTCGCTATTTCGCGAAGTTTGAAAGGTAGAATACAGATAGAAATTTAATGTATATCTGTAAGGAATATTAAACTAACGAAAAACCGATTCTGAGCGGAATTTAGTTGAGAGTGTTGCTTTGTTAACAATATACATGTCATATTATGGTAAAATAATTATATATGCATTTATATTTGTTTAATATTGTACCTATTTTCCTGTTATCTCGGTCTTTCAATATATTGAGAAAATTCTTGAGAAAGTTGAATCTTTCTGAAAATGACCTTCTTTAACTACTTTACCAGTCCAATTCCCTTTCAGAAAAAGGTAGTACTTTTTCTTGTAAATTGGAGCAACTTCTGGTAGAAAAGTTGTTCACAGCTAAAACAAATTAAAATACACATCATTGTAAAACCATAAGCTTTTTCGCTCCACTCAGAATCTAAAAATCACCCTGTAATCTATATATATATCAGGTTAGGTTAACCTTATCATATATAGAGTTCAATGAATGTACCATAGATGAATAAAAATAAAACAATTAAATAGACGACTACTGTGATAACTGCCTAAAAATGTAAACAAACCAATAGCTCTCGCAACTCAAGTCATCACTAGTAAAAAAAATTTCCTTGAAAAAATGTATACGTATTTCAGCATAATTTGTTGACATAAAATACTTTTAAAATAGTTATTTGAAAAGCGGCCCACCGGGAAAACTCCCAAATTCCCATTGCCTCAATCCGTCCCTGTTAATTCCGTCTAAACTGTTCTTTTTAAAATAATTTTAACATTACTATCACTATACGGAACGTCAAGCATATATAATATTAGGCACACGGATTTATTTCTACGGTAATGATAACAATAACAATAATTGTAATCATTACAATATTGTTATTGTTATGGTATGCGTATGCAGAAAAAGGGTCGTCCGGCAATTGTTTTTTTCTGTTTTTCATGTTAATATAATATAATATAGATAACCTGTAAAATGTATCAAGTGTACTGATATAACGGTAACAATGGAAATATGATTTATTTATTTTTTTAATAATTATTTTATAGTAAAATTATATATACAATCATAATTCATAATTCATATAATAAACTGTAATACTGTGAAATAAAACATAAGTGTATCACAGGAAATATTATGTATATTCTTTTCATTGCATTATAACTATTTTATAATATGAAAATATTTTAATAAAAAAAAAAAAACACCAGATATATACTACATAACCTACATAACCTACCTAAAAATCAATAAAAATCATAAATCCTAAAAAAGAAAAATGGACCCAGGCGATGAAAAAATGCAACTTTGTAATTTCTAATATAGCTTCTTAGTTGTACTCTTAATTTAAAATTGAATACCTATTTTATAATAATAATAATAATTGCAATAAAACAAAAATTTAATAATTGTTCTAGACATATTTAATTTTGAAAAAAAAACGAGTAGGCATTGCAGACAATAGACATATCACATTTGTTTTAACATCTTGAAATCAAACGAATATAAAATAAAAATAATTTTACAGTAAAGAAGCAAAACATTAACTATAGCATAAACAACATCATTATAAAGGTGTGGCCAATCGCGTTATGATTTAAATTCAAACAAACAAATCCGATTTTGACAACGTCAAATCGTGAACTCATTAAAATAAAATTGTTTTTTTATTATAATATATATATTTTTTCTTCCGTAGAAGGTAAACTGCATCGTACACGATATTATCGTGTTTTGTATATGCATAGAAGGTTAACACCTTAATACTGCAGGTATTCTAAATAATAACATAATCAAAAAATGGTTATATTGTCGAGTGTATTCGGTGCACGTCTTTATAAATTATAGATATATTTATAGACGTTTATATTTTAGTGGAGGTTTCGATTTTTTATTGGCCGTACTATTATAATATTATAGATAGGTATAGTGTATGAGTATGAGGTATAGTGTGTATACCTCATACTCATATTATAGTATAGATGTTCAAAATCGATACACATTTTTGAAAACTTGGCACACATGTCGCACATATCATATATGACCGTTAAACGCGTGTTCAATGCGAAAAATGAAGACTGTGACGAAAACGTCATCGTGTCCGCTTGCGAACCTATATATTACTATACAGTGATGTAGGTATAGGTACACACATATGTTTACACGTATATAATAATATATATGGTAAAAGTGTACGTGACATGGTCGTCGCTGCAGCTCGATGGAAATAGAGCGCAAATAATTACGGATGAGGTCCGGAAAGTGACACAAACAATGAAAATTTATTTGTACCTACTTAATATACTTTCCGGGGAAAATATACCAATAAATAACTACGAATATCCGCTCCGCTATCGGCCAAACATTATTTCTGCTTCAAATGATAATGGCTTACTAGGTAGTCGGTAGAAATAATAATGATAATATACCGGCGTCCCGCATGAAAACCGTGGGTTTCAACCATTATGTAGTTTCAAAAAAAAAATTGACTCAAAACCTTTGATATACTTATACGACTCACATGTTCCAAAAATCACATTTTTTAGACAATAATAAAATATGGTCGTACGGAACATCTGAGTTTTGATAATAGTAGAATATTTATACTATGGACCATGTGATTTTTGATACAGGTTAAATAGTGTTCAATATCAAAACTCATGTGATCTATAGCGTTTAGTATAAAAACTCACATGATACATGGGTATAGTGTTCAGTATCGAAGCTCTCACAATTCAATGGAACTTGTTAGTTTAATTAAAAATTTAAAGTTAAATTTCGATCACCTGTTTTGTGAGTTTTGAAACGAACTAAAAACACAATCAGATTTGCCTTCAAAAACCTTATAACCCTAAGAAACTAATTTATAAATTAAGAAACTAAGAAACTAAGAAACTAAGAAACTAATTTATAAATTAGTTTCTTTAACTCATTTCCCCATTTTTTAAAACATGTTGGTTTTAATTTTAATCGATTCACATACTGATATCCTTATATAATCTTTGGATACGTAATTCCCTTAAAAACTTAATGTGAGTCGTTCGTACATTACCCAATTATTATTCGCAAAAGTAATAAAATCCGCTTAAGCACTGATTTTATTTTTATTATTATTAATATACGAGATATGTCCAATAAGTACGCGAACTTTTAAAATACAACTTTTTTTTATCATGACTTGCTATATATCAATTTTATTCTCTTTAAAATACTTTCCATCCATAGCAATGCATCTATCCCATCTTCGGTTTCATTGATCAAAACATCTCTCAAAGTCTTCCAAAGTTAAGCTCCTCAGCTGTCTTGTCGTTTCTCGCTTTATGGTTTCTATATCGTCTTAGTGCTACCCCCTACTCATATCGTACTCATAAAACCATCTTTGAAACTCGAGTGAAAAACTCGCCACCAGTTATAATCCTTTCAAGAAAATTAGGAGTGTATATCGATTTTTCCAGCCAATGCAGCTCTCTTTTCGCCTCAACTTTTGGTCCGCTGTCAGAAGCTTTAAGACAATTAGAAAAAAAAACCTGGGAGAGTGGACGAAATATCCTATGGCTTCCAGGGTGTAGCCACAACTTGTCCCCACCTCCACATGCTATGACCATGTAGGTATTAAAGATACATTCATATATTAGTTAATCGTGGATGGTACGATGAAAAAACGTTATTTTTTTTTACCAAAACGGCCAGTGCGAATAACGATGAGTGCCATAATATTTAATATTGTTTCGAACATTACAATAATTTAAACCCCGTTAGACGACCTAAGATCGTCGCCAGAGTTATAATTTGTTATCATATATAGGTATAAATAAAAAAAAAATATGTATATAAAATAAAATATCCACCAACGTACACATATATCATCGTGCGCCTCTGTATACATTTTTGAAATAATCGTTGGGTTTCGTATATTATACATATATGTATATATAATATATAAGTAGATAGCAATAGCCGTTCTTAACCCGTTGGACCCCTACCTATGCGTCTTCGAGAGGAGACTCGTTTATGATACACGAGACTATACTAATATATAGATAGGACTATGTAGGTATCTCTATAGTACTAATCACTATTTTTTTTTTTTACAAACAGGATTTTTTTTTACTGTTAGGAACCATCGTTAAATAAATCGTAACGGAACGTTAGTTAGGTATTGCTGCAGTATGTGTCCAACGGTGATGGCACTGATTAAATATTCAATATTATATTGTTTTTGATACGTACACGGGTATACGCATATAGCGGTTTTTGAATTAATTTATTATTTCATTCGTTCGTTCATTTTAAGTATAGTAATTGCCGAAAAACCATCCAATTAACATATTAATATGTGTAAAAAAAAAATAATAATAAAGAGATGAAATATTGTGAGCCCTTGGTGCTACAGCTTCCCTGAATCCAGTCCTATTTAGTATTATTACTGCCATTATTATTTTATCGATTCATTCTATAGAAATTGTATTATTGTATTATATAATATAACAGTCAAAACCGACATGGCTTAATACATACTATTTTATTAGATTTCAATAATGAAATGTAAATTCACTTTTTGGCCATTTGTTTTCTGGAACATTATATGCGTCTATTTGAAGGAGTAAAGCCTCCCGAGCCCCTCTATTTTCTTTACACCACGGGGATTTATCCTACTAACCTAATAAAACCTATGTAACGCTCAACATTCCACGTGTAAATGTTATATATTTATAATCGATTTGTAAAATTTATAATATTATAATCCCACAATATGCGTAATATAATATTATAATATGTACCCCGTACGTTCGTTTACCCTGGGAGTTCTCTCCTAGTATGTGTTCGACCTCCCCCCGACACGATTTTCATTTTTAAAATAGATATAATATTGCATTATGTTTAGTTATTTTATATACCGATATGCTTAAACGATAACATTTAATATTATTGTCTACTCATTTGTACGATAATAGCGATAATGACGATTAACAGGCATAAAATTATGTTTTTTGCAGATTAATCGCGACGATGGCGCCTTCCTCCGAGACGACGTGCCGGGCGAAAGTCCATCGCGGTCGTCGCTCGCAGCAGCGGTCGTTCTTCGCCACCACACAATTACTACAGCGATCGGTGTTTGTCATCGCCATAGCGGTGGTTGCGTTTTTCGCGCGTTCGGCCGACTGCCAGGCCGAAAAACGGATCTCGTCAGCGACGGTCCAACAACAGCAGCAGCCACAATACTACGATTCGGACGAAGGTGGCGAAGTAATCAAGAGCAAAATACGTCCGGACACGTACTCTCAGGACCCGTCCGGTCAGTACGGCAACAACAATAAGCACCTGCAGCAATCGTCGGACGCGGTCGCTTCGGCGTCCACCGTGTACGGTGAGCAGTACGTGAGCAACGCAGGCGTCCTGCAGGATCAGCCAATGCTGGACGAGGAGGCCCAGGAGTCGATAAACTCGGGCTCGATAAACAATCACAGGATACCGCAGTATACTCGCAGCGGGTCCCCCGTGCCAGCCGACGTGGTCGAGGGTAAAAACGTGGGCAACCGGGCCATTGGTAATAACAATAACTACCATCACGCGGCTCCCGGAGCCGGCAGCCCACCAGCGGGAACCGCGGCTGGTTACGCCGTCGATTCGGCATACGGCCCGCACTACAGCACACAGGACCTGATCCAGGACCAGAGCTATCAGCTCGAGTTTAAGTACCATGACTACGACAAAATGACCAAATTCCTAAGAACCACATCGTCTAGGTTCCCCAATCTCACGGCCCTCTATTCCATCGGAAAATCCGTCCAAGGTATATATAGTCATATCCATACGTAGGGACTCATCCTTGTTAAAACTTCACGTTTTTGACTCTATATCGACACAAATATGAATTAAGTTATGCAACAATTAAATAAAATAACAACTACAATGAGAATAACAAAAAAAAAAAAACAAAATATTGGATAGCAAAAATGACGCTTAAAATCTTTGTGTGAAATGTTTTTAATTGTAATCCAGTATAATGAACAATAAAAACCCTATATGAATAACAACATATTACATACTTTGCACAAATAATAACTATCTAGGTACTATAGTCTATAATTAAATATATCTAATGCATGATTGTAGGATAACGAAAGGTTAAATAATTTGTTTTAAATTACCTATTTACCAATAATTTACCATTTATGCAATACGTAAAGATATTATATGAAGAATAATTAAAACCTTCAACTTAGTTGGATATTAAATATTCAAATTTATATAACTAACAGATGAGACACTATCCGTCGTCCATCGCCCAAGTATTTTAATAATTTGAATAGGTAGGTAATATTGTTACGTGTTAGTTGTTCGAATAAATATTTATTTTTCTTTTATATTGGAGAAGTTTTGAAATACCAACGTACTTTTCATGGCGTTGAAATTGAATACATATATTTTATAAAATTTAATCACGTTAAGTTTAGGTTTTAGTTTTAAAGACTTAAAGGAAAAAATGTTTGTTGGATGTCTCACGAAGATATACACGTATTTTAAGTTTTTTACCACACATAAAAAATGAATTTCTATATAAATATTTTTAGTCCTTATTACTGTGAATAACATTAAAAAAAAAAACAGAACTTTATTATCTCCGGAGATATTACAATGAGCATATCTTCGTGGGACATACTGTATTTATAATTTATAATACATCTAGTTTTCTTAGTTTCAGTCCAATCTATACAGAGAAAGTTAGTTGTTAGTTGATTTTTATTTTGGTTCTCTTATTTTTTTTCTATATTATTAAGCTTTTTTATAGACGCAAAACACACGAACACATAAAAACTACAGTAAACTTTAACAAAATTCCAGGTCGAGACTTGTGGGTGATGGTCGTGTCGTCCAGTCCCTACGAACACATGATTGGTAAACCGGATGTGAAATATGTCGCCAATATGCACGGGAATGAAGCAGTTGGTAGGGAACTCATGTTACATCTCATCCAGGTAAATAATATAAAATAATATATTATACATAATATTATCGAAACCTGTTGTTAAAATATACAGTAGATAATATACAGTATAGGTGCAAAATATATACTATTTTTGTATCAACATAATATTTGTATTTCAGAAATTAATGAAAAAGGAACAAAATGTTTGATAATTTTTCGAATAAAACATGATACCCTCATTTATAATGTCTCAGTCCAATTGAGGGACGACATATATTAAAATTATGTGTTACTTAGAACGTAAAATGTGGCGTTTAGGTGGAGATTGGAGTTTAAGCACAATATAAATAACAACATTTAAAGAGTATATTATAAAAACTACGTACAGTCCTTAAAAATATTCGTTCCCTATTAAATTGTCTTAGTTGTGCTTAAACCTCAATTTCAACCCAAATGCCACATATTACGTTCTAAATGACGCAATTTCGATAAAAAAAAACAACGGCCCGTTAGTTAGACTAAAACGACAAAGCGGATATCACTCACTCAACGAAATAAAAGAAAAAAAAGTACGAATTTATGAAAAAAAAATTTTTTCCTATTAGGATAATTAATCGTCCTAATTTATATGCAATATAATATAATTTTATTGAAAAAGCACGATATTTTTTTCCGAAAATTTGAATAAATATTTTAATAGATAATATTATTGAGGATATTTACCCTTATAACTCCGAATCCAGTCCATAATTCTGTATCGAAGAAAGTCTTCTGGCCGAAATCGCGTTAAGGAAAACTTAATAAAGACAAAAACAAAACAAAAAAACTCAGAATAAACCACTATTGTGTATCTAATGTACAAAATGCCTAAAATACGTTGTTTCGTGTCCGTTTTCGAATTTTAGTACTTGGTGAACAGTTACACGGTGGACCCGTACATCCGGTGGCTTTTGGACAACACCAGGATCCACATTTTGCCGTCGATGAACCCGGACGGTTTCGAAGTGGCCCGCGAGGGACAGTGTGACGGCGGCCAGGGTCGATACAACGCTCGAGGTTTTGACTTGAACCGCAACTTCCCGGACTATTTCAAGCAGAACAATAAGCGTGGACAACCCGAAACAGATGCCGTCAAGGAATGGACGTCCAAGATACAGTTCGTGTTATCCGGCGGATTGCACGGAGGCGCCCTTGTGGCCAGCTATCCGTTTGACAACACCCCGAATTCCAGTGAGTCCCATTATCGAGTATCTATGTAATATACTATTAAGTTAGGTTACGGTCTAACTCTAATCTAACCATTAAGAATACAAAACACCGTATATCTATAACAATTGTACAAGGATATTTTACTTGTCCAATAATATTATTATAGTTGGAATAACTGTATAGGTCATAATTTATAACTAATATTATGGGTAGGTATACGGGTGTCCCACGAAAATACGAGTATCAGTATACCTATTGCAATATCTCCTGAGATAATACAAATAATTAAATTTTGTTTTTTTTAGATTACTTACTCGCAGGGATATAGTCTACAAATATTTATATTTTTGTTAATTATTTGACTTTTGATAACTTTTTATTTTATTATTTAAAAAAATTGAAGATGGCCATTTTATAGAGTATTCTTCTCAAAATTTTGACGCATCAACATTTTTTTAAATTCATGATTTTGTAAAGTTCAGAAAAAAGTACCTATATAATTATGTAGCAGACTGTAATCGCATTGAATGATTGTTATTATTATTATAGTTAATATTCACTGTAGGTACACTTTTTTCTTAAAACTTTAAAAAATAATTAAATATCACGAATTAGATAAAAATAAATAAAAAGTTATTATGTCAACATTTTCAGAAGAATAAATTCTATAAAATGGCTATCTTCAGTTTTTAAAATCTTCAATTTTTTTTTTTTATTTATTTTTTTATCTAAAGATAAAAAATTAATTGAAATGTAAATATGTATGGCTATACATATTATCCCATTATCCCAGTGAGTAATATAAAAAAAAAAAAAAAAAAAAAAACAGAATTTGATCATTTTTATTATTTCCGGATATATTACTATGGGTATATTTTCGTGAAACACTTTGTATAATATCCTATATTATATTTGTACAACGTATATTTTTGTCGTTCCGATTTCACATTTTTACGTCGAAAGACCATTTTTCAAAAATAACAACGTCAAATTTTATAAATAATATTATGCCTAAACTTACAATTTAATTGATTTAAACAATACGAGTGCAATATAACATATATGTTTCCATGTCTAACGAAATAATTATTACCAAGGATTCTGTATTTCATCACCGTTCTGTTCTGGTAAGTATAATAATAATATAATATGGTCTAACAGGTTTACGGTTGGTGGACAAAAACAAACTGAGATGTACTAAAATATAATATTTTAATCGTAACATCCATAATTCACGTGCTATGATTTCTAATAATTATCGTGCGTCATAAAAATATTATTGTAATTCGTATATCCCCTGTATATACATATGTATATGGGTAAAACGGATTTTTTTTCTTTTAGTAAATTTTTGGTAGAAAAATAAAATCGAAAATATTTGAAAATAATGAAAATTGATTGCCGTACACTTGACCATTTTTCCGAATTCTTTGAAAACTGCTGAGAAAATCAAAACATGGCCTTTCCTATACATCAATTTTTTGAACCAAAATACTACAAAAAAAGTTTTCTTTACATTTTTCGATTGGAGCAAGATTTCTGGTAGAAAAAGTTGTTAACTGACACAAACAAAAAAAAAAAAAAAACAAAAAATTTTGTCATCATAAAAACAAATACATTCGTCGTTTCGCTCAGTAACTAAAACTGCCGATTGCACAGCTGTACTTATATCGTACAAATTTTAAAAGGAAATGTCCACACGTCGTTTTAATTTATTATTTTTGGAATTCCATAATTTACACTCACGTTCCGACATAGAATGGTTTAGTTCGCATTCGCCATTCCTTAAAAATCAAAATAATGGCATCCACGAATGCATTCCTCTAAACAGGAATTAAATTCAATAATAATGCGTTCCTGTGAATGCGTTATTTTCAAACAGTGCAATGGCTGATTAACCTACGGTATATACATATTTTTTAGTGTTCCAAAGTTACACCTCAACGCCGTCGCTGACGCCAGACGACGACGTGTTCAAACATTTGGCTCTGACCTACTCCAGAAACCACCCAACGATGAACCAAGGAGTGGCGTGCAAAGCTGGAACGCCGACGTTCAATAACGGCATCACCAACGGAGCCGCGTGGTATCCGCTCACAGGTAAAAACCGGTCGAATTTTAGTCCGTAATTCCCAACCATAATGACGACTACGTGTTTAGCTTAACCCTACCTCTACACAAATACAGTATAATACCAATGCTATCCGAACGATTCGTGTTTTTTCAAACGAACGGGCATCGATTTAATCAAGCGTTCGGTTTAAATTTCTTTCGCAGTTATAATACCGTTTGTACGGCGTATCGCGTATACATATTTCGTTGGTGGAATTTTCGAGGGTGCAGCGTAGCCCGTAAACAATGCAATGTAATGTATTTTAACATCGTTATTTCTGTATTCGATTATCGCCGCAGAGCTGTGGATACTGGATTCGGAGTTGTATTATTACTATAGCTCCCAATCGATTTCATAATATAAATTATCGTGTTAAATGTTAATTCTATATAAATTTAACTGAATTTCTTTGGTCGTAAAATAGTCGACAATAATCAGATCCGTATTCCTTATATACATTTTTAACGCAGAGAAATTTAAAAAAATAAAAATAAATCTAAAACTATGAAACCGTTATTGCGTACATTTTCCCGTTTTCCTCGATTATTAAGAAAATTATTAGAAAAATCAAAAAATGACCTACTCAATGCACAGACTAGATACATTTGATTTCATAAATGATGCCATACTTGAAATTCGAAGGAAAATTTCTGGTAGAAAAGAGGTTCATAGGTTCAAAAAAAAAGAAAAGCTAATATTGAGGATGGGTGCATTCACTGTTGTACGTGGGTAGTTGGGAAGGTGGGATACATAAAGTTAGTTAATTTATACGTGTAACCAAAAATACACCATTGATAACAAAAGACGATTCTGAATTTGGTTATACATGTTTTGAAAGGTCGTAATATTTACGATTTTCATAGAAATTTGATTTGAATAAAAAAAAAAAAAAATACTACATTACATTATTTATTTTTTTACCACTAAGTACAACTCAAATAACCTCTTATCAAAATTGTCAAGCATTTAATTTGAGTTTAACAATTTTATCCACAAAGTAGCTACCTACCAAAAAAAAATTACGTACAAAATTTGTCAAATTAAAATGTCCATAAAAAGCTCAAAAATGGCTCAAATCTTCTGAAATTTTTACCACGTCTAGAAAAAGCAAATTATGTTTTCAGCTTAAATTTCAAATCTCTCCAAATATTGATGGATTCTCGCTTCGCCCCGAATCTAAAAAGTACATATCATAGTAAAATAAATACGTTTCGCATTTAGAATCTAAAATTTGTTACAAAGGCTGTGTCTGAACGGCCCGTAACACTAATATAATTTTAAAACTGCCGAAATTTACCCGACACGGTGAAATAATAATGTAGACTAGACACATTATACCTACATCTGAAAATAATTGAAATTAAAAAAAAAAATTTAAATGTTATTATATTGATTATTGAAGTACAGAAATAACAAGTATAACATGTATATAATAACAAGTGTAACATATTAGCACATAGGTAAGGTAAGATTAGTTTTTCTTTATAATAGGCGCTATTGTGTTATATAGATTATGGGAGTGGTGTAACTGAGGGCTAAATACGTTTTGTTTGAATCGTGGGCATATAGGGGTTTTGAGGGTTCGATCTCTTACCTTTTTTTTTTTTTTGGAAGTGTTTTTATCAATATAATAATTTATATAAAAATGTATAAAAATGGTATGATTAATAAATGAGAGTATAATATGTAGGTATGTATCATTTTCATTAATATTTTCTTTTTTGTATACAATAGCCATAGCGCTAATTCTTTGACTTTGTTTTTTGACATATGGTATAGTACTCTTCTTTAAATACGTTTTTAGTGTAGAAAACGTTTAATTTAGATAAATAACGATATAAAATAGTAGCCCCTTGACTAATGTTTTACGTATTTAGCACTTAAAATATAATAATTAGTATTTTATCAAATAAATGTGTATGTACATTATTTATTATTATCTTGTTCCATATTAAATATTAAAATATTTGTTCCCCACAGGAGGTATGCAAGATTTCAATTATGTGTGGTACGGTTGTATGGAAGTAACTTTGGAATTGTCTTGTTGTAAATACCCGCCCACTTCTGAGCTACCAAAACTCTGGGAAGAAAATAGATTGGTTGGTATATTTGTTGTATAGTGCTAGGGTCTAATAGTATATTCCTACCTAATATATATTTGTGTACTTATACAGTCACTCGTCAAGTTTTTGGCCGAGGCACACCGAGGAGTCCACGGATTTGTGATGGACGAACACGGTAACCCAATCGAAAAAGCGTCGCTTAAGGTTAAGGGTCGTGACGCGGGTTTCCAAACGACTAAGTATGGTGAATTCTGGAGGATATTGTTGCCGGGCGTTTACAAACTCGAGGTGCATATTATGATTTATTATACGAGTTACCTATTACGTATAATAGCACTGCCAAATGGCATATTTGAGAACTTCATACAATATTATACATTATGAGATGGAGAAGTTAATAACCGTTTATCGTTTTTTGCATAGAACTATATATTAGTTATATTGTTTTAGGTATATTTAAATGATTTATAATTAACATTGTGATTAATAATTTGTTTTTTTCGTCGTAGATTATTCGATAATACAAGTCTCTTTTGTATTATTAGTAGTCTCGTATTTTCGTTGCTGGAGGCATAGCCGCAACTAGACCACTAACTTTGAGGGTGCTAAAATAATTGACACAATATAGATCCATGGGAGCAATGCCTTCACAATCCCCTTTACACGGCACTTATAAAAAATAACTACACATTTCATTAACAATTTGTATATAAAAATGTATCATAACTATTATGTATCTTAATTTTATTTTTTGTACATGCATTGTCTGTATTTTGTTCTGCACATTAATAAATTATGAAACATACCGATAAAATATTTAGTCAAAACTATAAAAAACTTATTGGGTTTTTTAAGGGTATTCATTTTAAACTGGGGGTGCTAAGACCCCAGCACCCTCCCCCCTAGTTCCGTCTATGCGCCCGTAGGTATGTTTTATTTCGTGACTGTTATAATTTTTATTAATTAGATAATAGTTTTCAAATAAGGTTCGACACTAGATTTAGGTATAGAAGTTATGAAATTAATCATTTTAATTTAAATAGAATAGGTAATTTTTGTTTGATGCAAGGTTATATTCATGACCGAATGTCTCATTTATTTACAGTTTTGTGGATACAAAGAAAAACAAAACTAAGGCATAATATAATTTTATTCAAAATTCGATTTTTCGTCCTGCACACATTTTTTAATAATGTGAGCAATACCTAATGAGTGACACAGATTTGAAACTTCGTTTATCTCAAAATACATTTTTTTAGAAAAAGACCTTTTTACACCCAGTCCCTCATTTATTTCCGTATTCAGGATTAGGCAATATCTCAGATACAATTCTAGGCAGTATTGAGTATCTAATATTGAAAGACATGTTACATAAGTATTTAGATACCTACTAAGAGTTAATGTATCTAGTGTTTTGCCTATCCCTGTCTATATTATGTAGTATCTAGTACAATATTACAGGTAGTAATAGTCGTAATTTATTATCCACCGTTTTTTGCAGATTTACGGCGACGGTTATATACCCAAGGAGATGGACTTCATGGTCGTCGAACAGCACCCGACGTTGCTGAACGTCACGTTGCACACGTCCAAGGTAGGTCATTCACCGACGAACAAACCGCGTCTAAAACCGTGGGAACCCCCTTGGATGAGCGCTTTCCAAATGAGAACGATTTTCGTAGATGCCCAGGCTTCTGGTCGCGGTAACGCCAACGCCAGTAGGAACTGGCGGGACGGGTTGCGGGCCTATAGCGACGCTACGCCATCCGCGGTAACGGGCTCCCGGCTTCGCTCTAAAACGGCCGTCGGGGCCGCGCTGGTGACGGTGCTTTTATCGGTCCGCCACAGATAACGGTCCACGGTTTCCCGTGAACGATCGTGAATGGTGAGGGTGGGTCGTTGATGACGAACGTATTGACGGTGGGGCCAATATGTTCCAATACCCATGGTCCATTTTTATAACTTCCCTAACTAATTTCAGTGATCCAACTGAGGTAGGGGGGGGGGAGAAGAGAAATACATAAGTATTGAACTATTATAAAGAAAATATACTCTTCGTATTAAAATCGAGCATTTGAAAATGTAAGTAGGTACAATAATAATCGACTATATTATTAGCTCGACTTTTAATTGGCCCTTCGAACAGTAGCGAATTAGGTAATATAAACAATCAGAACTATAGATACATTGATTGTCTACACTGATCTTTAATGGGGCAAGTTTGCTATAAGTGTGTAAAGGAAAATACATATGTTCGAAATGTTATTGGTTTGCAATGATTTGTAGTTACATACATATGTAAATTAAATAACAATATTTTCCCCAACTTATACCCATTTAGAACACAGGGGTAAAGTATGTTGGTTCTTTTATAATAAAAATTTGATTTCTCAATTAAACCTATAGTTCGAATAGTTTTTAACCATGCAAAACTAGTTTGTTATAGTAAAATTTCGGGTTGTAATATATTATGCCCATTTGACCAACATAATAAATTAATATTGCCTTTAATTTGTTTAAATTATTTTTTTTTAAGTATCAAAGACTGAGTACTATTGCAAAAAGGCATTTTTGAATTTTAAATAAACAGAGACGTTAAATGCAAGTGTACTCTCTTAATACGATTTTGGCCATGGAGAATATAACTAATGAACTAATGGAGTATTTACATTTATTTTAAGTGCTGCCACTAATTAATCACCTTGCTTGTTATGCTTCATTTATGTATTATAATATTATTATTGCATCTTTTAAAGTTTTAATCAATACTTTTATGCTGAAAAACATATATAAACTTAACTAATAAACAATAAGTATAATATTAAGTGTACATTATATAATGAGTTAATAGTAGGGTAACTATATTATATATTAAATACAAATGTAATTAATAACAAAAAGGACACATTCTTTATGCATTGATAAATAAATAATGATATATTTATATATTTAATTGTATGAACATGAACATATTTAATGTCTACAAATTTACGCATATCCAAAAAATAACATTCAATAAACATTGTACTAGTAAAATATTTAGAATAGTATTTTTTACTATTAAAACATTGAATTGTATAATTGTGTAATACTCAGAATTTATTTATTTTAGTTTATGATAATTAAAATTGGTATAAATAATAACATTTTTGTTCAAAGTATCAAATATATATATATTTTGTTTAAAATTATTTTATAAATTGTTATCTAATTATATTTTACATGTATAGTGTACCAATTGAACTTAATTTCATAGTAAAATAAACACCATTCACTAATAATACTCATCAAAAAAACTAATATTAAGGTAGGATAAATTATTGTTTGTTAGACCAAAATACAGAGTAATTTTTTAACATGAATCAGCAATTTTCTCAAAGGATTTTAGGTGAATTTTATTTCTGTTTTTAATCATCGTGGAATCATTTTATCTTTATTTTAATACAATTTTCAATTTTCAACTTGAAATGAGTATCCAATTTGATTTTTAAAAGTAACCCGCAACTTCCTTTCAATCACAGATTAAAAAAGAAAATATTTTTCAAAACATTTGAAATGAATAACACTAATATCAGATTTATCATATTTTAGGTGTAAGTAGTAGAAATAACAAATTTGAAATTGTGTTAAAATAATTCCATAATGATAAAAGAATCACCCTATACATAGTTAATAAGTTGTTTAATTTAAATTATAATTATTAATTTTTGTTATACAATAGGCAAATTAATTAAAACAAAATATGTATAAGTAAAAAATAATGTCAATGATACTATCAGCCTAATTATATATTTGTTAAATGAAATATATGTATAATTATTATTAACACACACTTCTTTAATATTATACATTAATTTGCTTTAACTTTGAGCACATTTGCTTGTTATAACATTTGTGTTACTTACATTTTAACACATTAATTTAAATTTGGTAAATGTTGTAAATATCTTTATTTTTCTTCATTTATTTCCTTTGCAACTATGTATAAAATGTGAGTGGTTACAGGATAAATATAAACAAAAGGCAAATTCTTCTGCTGCTACTACTACTATTACTACTACTACTATTGCTACTACAACTACAGATTCAAGAATACACTTTCCTAAATAATCATGGATTTTTATTTTATTTTTGACTTCTTCGAATATTTTGTAAGTAATATACCTAATTGATGATAAATATATTTTATTGTATATTTAATCAATGGTAATGCGTACATAATTTTTAATATCAGTTTATATTGAACACAATTGATACTTTATAAACAGTATACAAATAAAAATTCACCTATCAGTCTTAAAAAAATAAAAAATAAAATTGAATTACTATTTAAATTATAATGCACTTTCAGAGACAGGATAATACCCCATTCAGGCAGCCAGTTCCTCACTTCTATCACCATCATCATCCACAAGGAATAGCATTGGCACCTAAACAGCCAAGTCAAGACTCTGGAATATTCTCAAGTATTACATCAGGCTTCAATAACTTTGTTAGTAATATATTTGGATAAACTGCCCAAGAATCTCTATTTTCCAAATAATAAATAAAAAATTATTATAGCCAATATTCGATCTCCAAGCTATAAAACAGCCAGCTTTTAGGTTAAGTGTTCCCTCCAGTAAATAAATAATTGAACCATTGTAACAATTTGAATAATTTATCCTTTTACTTAACAATAATAATTATTATTTATTGAAATCATACATAATATGAACAATTTATTTTAGTTTATATTACATAATATATACATAAATTTTTACAAATGTATTGTTATATTTCAGTAATTTTTGTATGGACATTTTTTTAATTATTTTGTGTACATAATTTGAATAAAAATTATAATAAATTATGGTTTATTTGTTTTATTTTATTATATTCTAATTGCAATGAATGAATATATATATATATAATGTAACAAAGATGATGTAAAGATGAACAACAATTATTCAAATATTTTAATAACACTTACTCTTGGTTAAAATTAACCATCAGCTGGTTTCAATTTTGATCTGATCATATGAAATGCACTAATCAAACTGCTGAGGTGTATTTTTTCACTTGTACCACCATTTAGGCGTACTTCAATTTCAGCCATTTCAGTTAATATTTCTATAAGAGATTCTGATGGTAAGTCCACTAAATAATTTTAAAAAATTATTAAAATTCAATTATAATTTCATAATGTATAATTATGCATTAAACATAAATTAATAGATACATAATACATACATCTGTATAAAAAAGTGTGCAATTCTGTTAAAATGTCTTGTAAAGCTAAACCTTTATTTATTTTAACTTCTTGAATTTCTAAAAGAAAATACAATAGTTATGTTATTACTGTATTGATTTATTTGAGCATTAATGTTAAATTACTTTTAAAGGTAGTAGAAAAGTCATCATTTAATAACCATTTTAAAATATTCATAATATTACTCTTCAGTGGATGACCAACACACGTGTAGACAGTATCTTCATTCACTTCAGAAAATGCAGTAGCAGCACTTTGCAATATATTAAGAACTTTTCGCATATCACCGTGTGCCAAATCTATCAGTGCTTTTTTACCATCTTCTGTTACTTTCACACTATGGATCAAACAAATATTAAACAATAATAAATAAAGAGAAAAAATAAATAAATGTATACTTTTCTTGTTTTACAACATATTCAAGTCTAGGCATGATTTGTTTAAAATCAAGTGGACCAAATCGAAACCGCGTACATCGAGATTGTAATGCAGGAATAATTTTACTTAAATAATTGCAAATTAAGCAAAATCGAACATTTTCAGTATACTTTTCTATGACTAAACAGTAATTGAATTTTAAAAATCCAATATTAATGTATCTGTGTAGCTAAAATAAACTATTATTATTTTTAATCACTAAGTTATATTACTTCTTCTTAATGCATTTTGAGCATCATTGGTCATGGCGTCTGCTTCATCCAAAATAATTAATTTAAAGCCAGATTTAAAGATTGTTCTTGTTGAAGCAAAATTCATAATTTGACCTCTAACAACATTAATTCCTCTGTCGTCTGAAGCATTTAACTCCAACACCTTATATTTTATTGGCATAAAAAGAAATAGTTAACAACTAATATTAACATTATTAAACATTATTTTTAGTGGTAATTATAAAAGAAGTTCATAATTTATTCTGTATAGATTCTTCAATAAAATACTTACTTTTATGAACATTAATTGTTAAACAGTTGTCAAGTATTTTAAATGAAAAATGATAATTATTTTTAAGTTATCATACAAAAGAAAAAATATTTAAAATAATTTATAAAAACTATTTATGTCCAATTATATAAAAATGGTAATAATAAAAAATGTTGCAATTACAGACTAATTTCATTAATCTTATGTATCACCAAAGTTTTTTTAAAATGTTTAAAAATATATTATTATCTTTCTATATAAGAACAAATTTTTTTCTAGTAACCAATTTGGTTTTATATCACAAAGAACTACTACTGCCGCACCAATATCTTTTTCTAATTCTGTTCTTACTAGTTTGGATGATAATAAAAAATTACAAGGAATATTTTTAGACTTAAAGGCGTTTTAATTCTGTTGATCATACTATTATGATTGATAAACTGGAATGCTGTTATACTAGAGGAAAAGCTTTAAATTTATTTATATTATACGTAACAAATAGATTACAGATAATAAAAATCAGTGGTGTTTATAGTGATGTTCTAATAACTAAACATTGAGTCCCTCAAGGTACTCATTACTGTCTTAATTCGTAAACATTTTTATATTTTTAAAGAGCCAAGGCATTATCTGTCTCCTTCGTTATAAAAAATAGTTTATTTTTTACTTGTGCAGTCAATAGCTAGTTATGGTATAGAAGTCTGTAGCTGAACATATAATACTCATTTTGTGTGATTAGAAACTACTAATAATAAAAATAATTTTGCAAAAAATTAGGTTGCATCCAACAATTAATTTTTTTGGTGATTTTATAGTATTAAGTTTAAAAGTCTTTTATTATAAAAAATAATCTTGAATTTATTTAAAACTGATGTGGACATTTTTAAACCACATCATGCTTACAATACACACCTGAAAACTTTAAGTAATTTAAATTATATAAAAGTTAATAAGATATTTGGGAAATTTAATACTGTTAATGTAAGAATCGATTAATGTAGAAAGTTAAATATGGATATAACTAGATTCAAAATGAAAGCAGTGTTGGTTATATTTGTATACCTTAAATTTCAAATAACCGTAATTTATAGCAGTCATTTAATTAGTATGTAGTTAACTTTAATTTATAATAAGTTACAATTGTTGATTGTTTGAACTCATTGACCCCAAACATAAGTTTGGCTTTTTTTTTTGGGGGGGGGGTCACTGTTTAATTATATATTGTTTAAATTATTTTAGAACTATAGTACATTTAATCTTAATTTGTAAATATTAATGAAGCAATAAATATTATTATTATATCAATATGAATACAGGAGCCTAAAGTATTTAAAGCATTGACATTATAGTACAAGGAGAAAATTAAATTGTTAAATAACATGAGGGGTTACTCATAATTATTTGCAGTCCCATCTTGATCACTCTTTACTGTAAAGACAGTCCTAACCTATTTCCCACCTTGTTGAGACACGCAAAACAAGAATCAACAATAAAATAAAAATATAATTCACTTAACATTAATCGGTCAAATTACATGAATATGAAAATACCGAAGTCTACGACGTATGCAATGCACATACCAAATTAGCATCAAATAAATTATATTATAGGCACACAGATTCATGACATTTAATGTATATGTATTAAGATTATTACAAACCATTGAACGAAATTGTGCTGGTGTATACAATTGTTTGGCACATGCTAATATTGTACTAGTTTTTCCAGTTCCCGGAGGTCCATAAAATAGTAGATGAGGTAACTGATCTTCTTTAATGTATTTACCAACTAGAAGCAAAAATAAAGAATTATTTATTTATGTAATGAATGTCACCATCTAGTTTTTACTTGTTTGAATGATATCTTCATGTGAAATTAAATCTTCTAAAGTATTTGGTCGATATTTTTCTACCCTGTAATTACATATGGCTCAGTTAATATGTATATATAATAACTATATAGGTATAATATAATAGTATCAATTGTATCTGATATATAAAATAAAATAATCATACAAAAAATGTGCAGATTACCATGGCAAATTTGGTTTTGATTTCATCATTTTGTATGGTGTTGATTCGTTTTGAATGTTGATAGAAAGTAAAACACAAATAAGTAAACAATTACTAAATAATATGAATGTTTAAATGAAATTACGATGAACTGAAAAATAATTCTTTTCGATATGTTTAAATTTAATCTTTGTTGTTTAAATAAATAATTAGTTTTAGCCTTTTAGGTTAAAATAAATGATTGCATTTTGGCGCCAATATTACAAAAAAAAAAATAAAAATATCTACATCCGAGTAAAATAAACTTGATAAGAGATCACAATAAATCGGTGTCATGAATTAAGATATGCAGGTATCGAATGAACGTGTGATAAGTGAAGCTCGATCCTTCTCAATTTTGACAAGGCCACTAACACAAACACCATTTAGTGTACTCTTTATAAATTATGTCAATATTTATTATAGAAATGGATATGCAATTTGTTTTCTTTAATTTATTACATATACTACTCCTCCGGTTCTTTAAACCTTTAAACTGGTTTTGGTTGATTCTTATATCAAATTTGCCTTAAAGCTCTAGTTGTTATCCTAAACAGCGAGAACCGCGTGGACTTAGAAAAACATTGACCATTTTTCCGTTCGGTACCCATACTTGGATCCTTAAATCATATACGTCATACGAATACACAGATATCTATGCTATACATTATATAAAGATAAAGTATAGTATATATATCTATGTACGAATATTATCTAAGCTTGAAACCTAGATAATATTATCTATAGCTTGAAGCCACGGACTATATAATCTATTAGCACAATTTAAGATAGTATTTTAAATTGTGCCTTTATCTGTGTAGCCAACAGCGATTTTATCAAAAATGCACCAGGAAAAATTGCATATCTTAAAATTAACATGGTCTTTAGTTAGGTTCTTATCTTGCAAATTGTAGTTAGCTTTTAATTTTTATCTATTCTATAATAAATTATAATAAAATACTGACATACTGTAGAATGTAGTTTGTAGAATATATTAATACAATATTTGATATTATTGAATTGTTTTTATAATTATGTCTAATATTTTTTTTTATAATTTATAGTGATTCTTTATATACAATATATTATATTATATGGTGGTTTCCACTGAACTCGTAATGATATCGGTTACTGGTATACAGATCACTAGTCTATTAGTATAAAGCAGTATATGTTCATGGAATTATATCTATGTATACTTGTATATGACGATTCGTTCTAACATTCTCGGGCCGTGATAATACAATTATAGTCCGGCTGACGAAAAGTGGCGGCTGACCGCCACGATCCAAGCGGACTATTTGTTGTAGTGGTTATCAAACAACAATATAATTTACCACGCTTTTTCAAATACACCTGTTTATATTATATAATTATAACTATAATAACCTTAAAGTTAACTATTTTCCCCCCAAAATTGTATTTAAGTGATAATACATATCGTGAATTATAATAATAACACTACATATCGACGCATTTTACCATCTGATTATTTACTATTCGAATAAAATTTGAACGAAGGTTTTATCTTATTATATTTTTTAAAGTTTTAAAGTTTTATTGTTTTTCGCCACTTGATTTTTTACCTAGGCCCATATCAGCTCAATTGGATTTTATTGGCAATGGTACGGTGGAAGTCAAATTACTTCGTGGCCCATTTCCAATGCCAATATTTTTTTACTTTGGCTATGTAGTTCTTTATCTTTAAATGAAATTTTAATGTAAAAAAAATAATAAATATACGAAACACTAGGTTTTTAAAAAAACCAATAGATTTGTAACGTATTATGACAGTAAACCGACGTGTTTACAGAAACACGAACACACGTTTAAAAATGAACAATAGCGCCAAAAGTTCGTGCTGCGCTACCGCCGTTTCGGATCGCAACAATAAAATGAGAACCACTGTCTACATGGTGGGTGAGGTTCGGGGTATAACATGGTTCATGGATACTGTTGTAACTTGCAGATGACATAGGTCTATATTTTCTTATTCGTAATATTTTAATAATTTTATTACACTTTTCTGTCATTATCTATATACATACTAATACAAGTGCCTTAAAATTGATTTATTTCTATAAATTTTTAATATATTAAACATTTTTATGATTTTTGTGAGAAATGAAGTACTTCTTAATTTAAGATTGGTATGATATTTAAATTTATTACTCTATCTTATAATATATTATCTTTTAACGCTTAACATAGAATCATTTAATTATAATTTTTCACTAAGAACTTATTTTGTTTTAATATATTTAGATGGTTAATCAAAACAATCTGTATTGTTTTCAAGTATGATACAAACACCTAAAACTTCAATACAGCACACACCAAAAAAAAACAAATTGGAAGAGCAGTTAAATATTCAAAAAGAAAAGTATAAAAGTTTTTTCTTATAAAATTTAACAAATTACCAAAATTGAGCACACAGTACTTTTCCTTTATCTCACCTATTTCTTGACTTTACTATTACTATTATAAGTTATTACAATACTATATTTGTTTTATATAATACATAATATTATTATAGGTTTGTTTTATGCATTTATTGTTTAGTATTGCAAAGACAGATAGGCATATCAAATCAGTATGTAGATTACTTTTATGTTAACATTTCTCTATAACAAACATGTCAATTACACATTAGTAGTATACACCCACAGTATATTTAGGACTAGAAATAGAATAGAATATATATATATATATGCACTTATTAAGATAACTGAAAAGTAATTTAAAGTATATTCTATTGCTTTTTAAACTTTTTTATTATGGCTTCAGCTTTTGAGACCTTATCAACCAGTATAATGAGTCGTACAATTTTTTGCAACCAATAGGTATTATATTGCTTTTAATAAATCTTATTTTCATTCAATATGTGATGTGTAAATAGAATGTCAACATTTTTAAAACTACAGTCAAAAATAAAATGTAAAGAAAAATGGTATAACTATTAGTTTTAGGAAGAAGTGTTTGAAAGTTTCCCACAGTGTTCATCATAATTTTTAATTTGCGACGAAAAAACATAATTGCACTTAATTTAGTAGTTTGTTTATAATCATTTAAATTTTTTAAAATTTACAGCATTTCAACACACATACAATTAGTGGCTTACATGTACCCAATATTTCTTCAATACTGAAGGGGTTAAACATATTAAATTCAATGTATATGTTACTGTGAATGTCTGCAATTAGTGAATGCTGACAATCACCTAGTGAATGTCGACATATATACGCCTCCTAAATTGGTAAATGTTAAATAATTAAAAAAATGTTGACATCTAAATTAGGATTTAGGTCAATTTTGACATACAAAACACAATTTTAGTTTATGTTGACGTATGCATTCGCACATATTTTAGTATAGACTATACAGACAATATAGTGAAAATTCTGTAACGAATCATAAGGGACCAAAAAATTTCTTTTGTTATATTTGGAGAACTTATGCAATAAAGAAGATTGAAGAAAAAACGCATGGGTTGTAAAGCAAACCAACCATTATTTAGTAATTTGTATGTTACATAGAGCTTTTCATTAGAGTTTCCATTGTATATAAAATAGGTAATTATTATTATTAAACAATACAATATTTGTATTATTATTTAAATTATAATTATTTTACTATACAAAAATTGTTATTATTAAAAAAAAAGGAAGATCCTTATTGCAACATAACAAAGTGTTATAACATTTTGTACTACATAAAATGGTGAAATTTTTACAACTACACTTTTTTGTGGTGCACTTTGTTTTGCAATTGTATTGTGTATACCTTTGCCCACCAATTGATCAATTCGATAAATTTTAAATTTAAGAATTTTGTTTTGTGTAACAAAAAAAAAAACTTTCACTCGACTAATTAAACTTTTTTTTTTTTAGCCAATTGTAAAAAATAATTATCATGTTTTTATTAGATACTAAATTATTTAATTTATTATAAAATACTTCATATATATTTTCCATTTTTAAAAAATGTTTTGATTATTGTGCAAATCAACAGTATAAAATAAAATATATAACTGTATTTGAATGATAATATCATTCTAAATGTTAGCGAGGTGGTATAGTATGGCTCTTATCCAGATATAATGAAAGTGGTAGGGCAAGCATTTTATCATATTATTAACTTATTCAATGCTGAACATTGTATAATATGTACTATTATAGTTTTATATTAATAATAGTGTACTACTATTTTTATTTTTCTGTTATCCTTAAATTACATTTAAAGGAAACAATATTGGCATAACCAACATTCACCGATATCGTTATATAAATGTCAGTATTCACTAGTGAATGTTAACAAATGGTACAAATTTAATTTATATGCCAACATTCATCAATGATTTTGGTGTACAACAACATTAACTGGTGACTGTCAGCATTCATCAACTGAGGACATTCACAGTAACTTATGTATATATATATATATAAATATATATTATATAGTAGTTTAAACAATATAATATTTTTACATTTATTATAAAAATTATTCTTTTTATGTTATTTTGTAAAACACTTAATGGTGTAATGCAATTATTTGTACTTTATTGAGTAATTAGTGCAAATATGTAATCAGCGAGGTAGTTTGGTTAAAATCTGGCCCATTTTCTCAAAGATTACGACAGCCCCAATTAGGTTGAATACATTTATTATATTAGTTTATTTCATTTAAAATTAATATTTTCTATTTTACCATGTCTAGACAATTCTAATATATGTATATTATTTTTCACAAAATGTTAATGAAAAATATAAAATTGATAATAAAAACCGTTTTTTCCAATGTTTCTCTCTGGTTTTCCCCCATTCCAAAAAATAAAAGGGAAACAATCGCTTTCTCAATACACCAATTAAACAAAATTTTCTTGTGAATGAATATAGAGGGACATTTGCACAGTGATGATAATATGATGATAGCGTGCAAATGATTAACTCGTCTAGTACCATGCTATCTAGGACATTCCTGTACAGTACCCATAACTGTATATAACACACTGAGACCTGATCTTTAACATTTATAATGGAATAACGGTCCTCACTATTTTTCAAACTTTAAATCATTTTAATGTTAAATTTTTTTTGTTTTTTAATTACTAAAATAAAAATACTGAAACATTTAATACTTAATTGCAATCATTCATAATATCAATTACAAATAACAATATTGTAAATATCAATCCTATATATTAAATTTAAAAACAATAAATTTTATTGTTAGAAGCACGATTAAAGATACTAGTATAGTATACTATTTTTGTGATTAAAACTTTACAAGGACTTTTATGTCCTATCCCTTTTTTATTATCTATGTTTATTAGTTAATCAAATATCCAAATAATATTTTATTGTCACAGTATTAGACTTCTTTAGGATATAAAAATTTGTCTAATTAGTCATATTAACATTTTAGGTTACTTTACTATAGTAATAATTTTACATCATTAAATCATTAATCTTATACCTTCAATCCCAGTTAAAATTATAATCAATTTTAATGAGTTGAACATTTTATATTTCAGTATCAATACAATGGTTTCAGAAGTTCAAAAAGTAGAAGTTCCTATTAAAAATGAAGAATCTAAATTATGGTCAAAACACACTTGTATATTTTGTAATGTGTTGTTGGATGGCAGGTCAAAAATTTTAGCTTGTTTGCATGTGATTTGTTTCGACTGTGTGGACAAATACACAATTAATTCAAGTAAATATTTTATTTTTCATTTATTATTTCATTAAATGACTAAATACATAAATCATTTACATAATTTGAATTTAGTTCTTGAGTGATTTTTTTAAAAAAATTTTATTTTTTCAAAACTTATGTTTTTTTTTATGTGTAGATATAAAATGTTAAAAAAAGGAATTTGACTAATTTTTAAAAAAAATATGAGGCAATCTTCAAAAAGTTTGATTTTTTCATTATGCATATTTCTTAATTAAAAATTGATAATTTAAAAAAAATATATAAATATATATATTTCCAAATTTTTGGTTTTTGCTTAATTCATTGGTATATTCAAAATTTATTTTTCATACTTAATTTTATAGTTTTTGTATATAAGCCTTGAAAAAGAGCATTTTTGTAATTGATCTGAAATATGTTGAAAAATTGATATTTATCAATATTTAGTTTCCCTGTTACCTATTCTAACGTGATTTTATTTAATAATTCCGAGTTTATTTTGATTTTTTTCATTTGTTTTGTGATACCCCCACAATTCTTTTAATTCTATAATAATTATTTTATAAAAAAAACGAACATACTTTGTACGTGAGTGAGCCACTGTTGTAGATGAGAAGTTAAGAAGGTAGTAAGGAAATTTAATATATATCTATATGTAACAATCAACCATTGTTAACGAAAAAGGTTTCATAGAGTATTTCGGTTAATAGTATTGCTTTGTCAACAATATATTTATTATACGTTATGATTAATTAATTAAATACACATTATATATTTTCTTAAATAATATTATATCTATTTTCCCTTTTTACCGCTGTTGTTTCCTAGTTTTTCCTATTTATTGGGAAAACTGGGAAAATTAAAAAATGATCTCCCTGAAGTACCGGCCCAGGAAAATTACATCACATTTTTAAAACAATTAAAAGTTCTAAAAAACATCTCTCATGAACTGAACAAGAATCGTTTCAAATGATTTAGTATAATTTTTTGTAGGAATCAAATATAATAATTTTTTGTTTATTAAAAAAAATGTAGGCGTACAATGCAAATGTCTTGAAGTTACAAAAGACAAACTAATAGATTATCCCATTATACCAGGGGCAATCAAGGGCAAATGTTGTGGAGTAATTTGTGATGCAGTAGTTACTAAAATGTGTATAAGTTGCAATAGCTTATATTGCAAAAAATGTTCAAAGGTATTATATAGTATATACTTTAAATGTAATATATAGTATATACTTTAAATGTAATATTTTATTGACTTCTATTTAAACTATGATATATTTTTTTTTACAGGCACATTTAGGTACTGAAGAAAATCATATTTTGGTAAATTATCCATTGAAAAGAGAATTTAATTACTGTGCTAATTGTAAAAAAGTAAGTTTAAAAAATGTAAAACAAATTTAAACTATTAATATATGCAGTTATAAATAAATTAATAGAAGGTAATTATAAAAAAATTTTGAATATATTTGTGTTGAATCAAATAATGTTGATACATTCAGTTATATTTTTTTAAAGTAAATTAATTTTCATACCATTTATCATTATTATGTTATATTTCAGAAACGCACAGAAGTTTATTGTACTAATTGTTCAACAATGCTTTGTTCTTTGTGTCATCTGCAAAATCACCAAAAACATAATTATGAGGTTATTGAAAATTTGTGCAAAGAAATTAAATTCAATTTTGCTCGTCAGGAAAATGAATTAGAGTATGGACAAAATAAATTAATTTTTACTTTATTATAAAAAAAAAAAAAAAAACAATTTTTCAATGTGGTATAGCTAATTAGTGATTATTTTATAAACAAATAAATCTATTTGATTCTGAGTATAATGAAGAATGTATTTGTTTTACTAAGGTGTTAAATGTTTTTTATATGAACACTTTTTTTACCAGAAAAAACTTAATATGGTGTAAACCATTTCAGAAAGAAAATTTTCTTGGAGTGGTACTTTAGGAAGGTCATTTTTTAATTTTCTCAAGAGTTTTCTCATTAAATGTGAAAAATCAAAAAAAAAAAAGTATAAAATATATTAGTAAAATATTAAGTTTTTTTCACTGTGGACAACTTTTACCAGCAATTTAGCACCAATTTACAATGATGGCACTTTTTCTGAAAAGAAATCTGACTGGGAAGGTACTTTAAGGAGGTGATTTTTCAATTTTGCCAAAAGTTTCCAGTAAATGTAAAAAAACAGATAAACTTAGAAAAAACAAGAAAATTGGTACAATATTAAACAAATTTTACTTAAGAAAATATATATATAATTCCTATTCAATTATTTTACAATAATATGACATATATATCGTTGACAAAGCATCACTATCAACTAAACTCTGCTCAAAATTATTTTTTTCATAAGCAATGGTTTATCGTTGCTTTCAGATATACATTAAATTCCCTTCTGTATCAAACCTTTCCAATTACTTATCTACAACAGTGGTTGCACCCATCCCCATTATCCTAGAACAGCTTTTATTAATTTAAACTTACTTGAATTTCAGAATTTAATAATAGAGCTAAAACCTGATTTTCCTCATTAAACAGATCTAGCGATCTCTTATTGTTCTCTCATACAAAAGAAATATATACATGTACATACATATAATCTTTTATATTAAATTTTTAAATTAATACAAAATTCTGTCAAATTCTAACCAATTACTATTGTATAATAGATGAAATATTTAAATTTTTTAATTGTTGAAAACTTTTGATTATTTCATATTTGTAAAATTCTTTTACATGATAAATAAATACATAATTAAGGTAGAATATAGAAGTATAATTACTTAAAATTGATTTCTAATTTAGTATATTATTCTTAAACATGAACTATGTTACTCTTATTTATTGATAGTTTCACATTTTTTTAGAATTTTTTTTATTGAAAAATTTACATTCTATACATAATTTGCACAATAAGTAAATGTGAGGAAGGAACAAATACATTTTTATTTAAGAACATGACAATGGAAGCCATCTAATGATAGAACTCAACATGATTTTTTTTTTATGTTTTTGTTTAACTTGCTTTATAACGTATTAACGTAAATATCTCTACACCAATTGCGTTTCACATCTTAACCATTTACTTAGGTTCTTAAAATTTAAAAATACTTATTTTTACAGAATAAATAACTTGGTTATGGATTATTGTTTACAACAAACAGACAATCAAATAAAAACAATAGAATCCTTGAAAAATGTGATTATAGAAGAAATTAACACAGAATTTTATAAGTAAGATTTATACAAATATTTACCAAATTACAAATTGTTTATCTTTTAAATTTTGTTTTGTAATTTTAGGTTAGAATATGAAATAAAAAGTCGCAAACAAATATTATTAAAATTAGTCGATGAACATTTCTTAAATACTTGTAAACAAATTAATGAAAATAAACTTGTATTAAAAAATTTACAAAATGAAAATAAATATTACGCACATTTAACAGAATCTATTTTAAATCATAATAATTCATTTGATTTGATGAACTTATCAGAGTAGGTTGTATTAAATTTGATATTATACAACATATACTTAACATAGAATTTGTCTGTTGTAGAATGATTTTGAAGAAAATAAGTAGCTTTAAAACTCATTCCTCAAATATACCCAAAGAAGCATTTGAAAGTAGCATAGGATTGAATTTAAATTGGGGCGAATCTATGAATAATTGTCTTTTATGTAAGTTACTTATATATTATACCATTATGTATTAACCAAATTTTAATAACTTCTAGCTATTAAGAGCCTTGGGAAAGTTACGTCAACACCAGTTATGAGTTTATCAGAAAAGTTAAATGTGAAACATAAAATGACAAACAATATTATCCAGATTTCTATTGAGCCAGTAAGCTAAACTTATTTCTAAATTGATATGAAATTCTTTTTCTTTTGCATTACTATTCTATATTACCAATATTATTGACTACTGTTTTTTTAATAGCATTGCTACTTTTTCTTAGTCCAGATCTACGTTTATAATATGCACATTATTCTCTCAACCATCAATGGCTGTTATTTTTACACTATAAGTGTTTAGGTCATAAGCTACATTTGGGATTGTACCTGTCCTATACAAACTTGTTACATTCCATTTCACAATCTTAATATCAGCATTCCATTTCCAAAAACAAGTCTTTAACCTATGTAATTTTATCTAAGGCTTAAATGTTGGTTTCATAAAAGGACTATGTTTACTAGGCAAGGTGGTTATCTCTGCATTAAACCTGTAACCTGGAGACTAGATTACCCGAGCTAATACAGGCTGAAGGGTAGCTATTGCAGCATCCAATGAAAGATGGGCAATGGGACTTCATTTTCCTTATACCAGGATATGAAATTAGAAATTTCTAATAATTTAACAATTATCTCTGACTTAACTATTAATTATTTCTGAGCAAAATTTGACTTCAGCGCAATGATCTATATAATATTGTATCAGTTGATTCTCTGTCGTGTTCCTCTCAGTATTTTATAATGTAAGAGAAATACTTGAAAGTTTTTAAGGAGATGTTATTTAATATTATTTTTTTTAGTTAGATGATTTTTTAGATTGGTACTTTTGAAGTAGCAATTTTTTGTGTATTTTAAAGCATTTTAAATAGATATAGTAACTAAATATATAAATACAAAATAAAAAAAATGGATGAAAAATTGTTTTTTATTTATATATTTTATTATTTGTAATAGGTTGTTAGAGCCTGTTTTAATAATTTCATTAAAATTGGAAACCCTGGTTATAACTAACTTTATGTTGAACATGTAAAAATGAGTGAAATATGTATACAAATTAATAATCATTCTTTCTTTTCCTTTGCTATCATCCTAATTATTTGGGGCCTGCCTAAATTATTAGTTATCTACATTAGAAATATTGTTACAGAAAAATACAATTAATTGTTTTGTGATTTATATAGTGGAATATGAATTGTGTATGAATGCCAAAAAATATCTGAACAGGTTTCCTAATTTATTTTGCATTGTATTCAATTTTACATATAACACAATACAATCTAGTTCAAGTATTTTCTGTTCGGTTTTACTGCATGTAATTTGTTTAAACTTTATTCTATTACTGTGATTTTGAATGCACATTTAATTTTGCATTAACTGGTATCTAAACTATTAAATTACATTTAACAAAGTATTAACAATTTATTTTTGTATTTCATTATGTACATTATATTGTTTTGCTATTTTTACAGTATAAATAATATATACATATTTATTAATAAATTGTTTTTAGACACATGATGACATTTCTAAAGAGACTTCATCAAGTAAAATGGAAGTAGACAATCAAATTCATAATAATTCTATTAATGGTAAATTTTTTATTATTTGATTACAAGTCTTATAGATTGATTGTTATTAACATTAATAATAATAGTAATGATTTCTTTTTAGATGATGATACTGATAGTTCAGACTATGAGCCACTCCTAGAATGTTCATGTTGTAATCAATGGTCTGAAGAATTAATTACATGCATTTCTTGTAAAAGATGTTACCATAATCGTTGTCATATTCCTGTGATACCTGATTGTTATCCATATACTAATTATGTGTAATTGATGTTATAAATTCAAATTTGTTTTATTATTTGTATTCATTCATATGTATTGTAACATTATGAGTATTTTTATTTTACAGTTCATCAACTATTAAATGGAAGTGTACTATGTGCGAAGATATTACTAAATATTGTACAGTGTTAAACGAAAAATTATTTCCATTGGATATTTCTTATAATAAAATAGAGAGAAAAATCATTGAGCGTATATTAATGGAGTTGTATTGTCAAAATAATGATAGTGAACATTTTAGAGATTGCCCCGATAAAGAAATAGTAAGATGAGCAAATATTAATTTTGATATCCTTGATAACTTGAATATTTGCTATATTATTGGTTTTAGGACCCTTTATATTATACCAACATCGCTAATCCTATTTCTTTAAATGATGTTAAAAATCGCTTGGATTCTGATAAACCATATCTATTATTTAATGATGTTATTAAAGATATAAAAAGAATATTTTCAAACGCAATATCTTATTATCATGTAAGTATATGATTCATGATTTTTTTTATATTATTTATCAATAAAATAAATTTAATATATGTATATATTATGCAAATAAAATTTTAAAATATGAACATATTTTGCACATGAGTGGACCACTTTTGTAGGTAAGAAGATGGGAAGGTAGTATAAGTATTTAATGTATATATATATATATATATATATATGCAACGATTAACCATTGCTTGAATGCAAATGATTCTGAGCCAAGTTCGGTTAATATTATTGTTATTTCAACAATATATATGTTATATTATGGTAAAATAATTACATATGCATTATGTATATATTTTCATTAAGAGGAAACCGCAATAACATCTACTGTCTTTGTCTTTCAAACGCGAGACATGTCAAATTTGCGTTAAGTAAGGACACATTTTGTGCCATTAGTTTTAATATTAAAGCAAATTGACTTATTACTAAGTTTAAATGTAAGAAAATTATACATGCCTTAGTGTTGATGTTTTTGGATATTTTAATTTTTAAGTAAGATATAATCATTTTTAAACTGTGATATTAAACATACTCATTTCTCATTTAAAAATAAAAATATAAAAAAATCATCAACACTAAGGCATTTATAATCTTCTTACCTTTTGGTTTGATAATAAGTCAATATACTTAAATATTAAAACTAATGATACAAAATGTGTCCCACTGAATATAAATTTTCTATATCTTGTTTGTAAGACTGAGACACTAGATGTCTGTAGAATTCTCTTAATAATATTTGTTTAATATTTACTTAATTTACATTTCTTCTAATTTATACCCATTTATTATGAAAAGAGCTGGAAAAATCAAAAAATGACTCTCCTACAGTACCACCTCGGCCAGATTTTCTTTCAGAAAATTGCTATCATTATAAATCTGAGCAAAATTTTTATTAGAAAAGTTGTTTATAGGACAAAAAAATATATTGTAAAACCAACACATTCCTTGCTCTGCTCAGAATCTAAAATGTAGGGATCAAACAGTCTGAAATATTATGTGGGTGTGTGGTCTTTTATTTTTTCAGCATAATTGTACTTGATGACCATTTTCTTAATTTCAACCCATCATAATCATACACAATCAATTTAATTCTCCAGACTATGTTATTTGTTGATATCTTTATTTTATTTGCATCATATGTATACACAGGATGATTTTTTTTATTATGAACCAACAACTATCTCTGAGGATTTTAAGTGAATTTGATTTCTGTTTTTTCTAATCTTTATATAATCGTTTAAGAGAAGGGTCATATATAGACAATATATTACCCTTCCCTACACTTCCAGTCTAAACATTAAACTGTTATGTCTCATAAACGGTAAATCTGATATTAGTGTTATGCATATCAAAATTTCTAGATAAATATTCTCTATTCAAATCTGTGTTCAAAAGGGGGGGCTTCCTATTTTAAAATCAAAAGTATGAACTTATTTAAGATATATGGAGTAGGGGTAAAAAATTAAAAATGATTTTAAAATAAATATTAAACGATTTCATAAAGATTAGAAAAAATAGAAATCAAATTCACTTAAAATCCTCTGAGATATTTGCTGGTTCATAATAAAAAAATCACCCTGTATATATATATAATTTATTTTATTAATATATATTTGAGAATTAACTATGAATAAAACAATTTTGGTATTTTTATTTTTACTTTTTTTGTTATTTATTATAGAATCTTATGTCTATATTATTTTATATTTTAATTAATTAGTATTAATCTATTGTAATAGGTGTCTCATCCATACCATCGTTCGGCCGTCATTCTAAAAAAGTATTTAACTATACTGCTTTCTAAATGGATACCAAATTTAGAAACAATGCATGAATTACAGCCAATAAATGGTTAATAAAATTATTTTTTATTGGTAAATTCAATTTATATATGATTTTAAATTTTGAATTAAAATTATAAATAGTTATGACTGTGTTAACATTTTTGAATAAGAAAGTTATCACTATGTTGTTATATACATTTTCTTTTCTTTTTTTTTTTTATAATTTTTGAATTGTTAAAAAATTTAGTTATTCATTAGTAAAACTTAATTTTAGATCTGTGTATTGCTGTAATATCTGTGTAATAAGGTTATTCTTGATACAAGTAAAAGTATTACTTATCATTATATTTTTTTTTAATCATACAACAAAATCAAAATAATTGTATTATATTTCACCCTGTAAACTGTTTTAAAAAAGTACCTAGAAAAACCAGCATGTATTTTCTTAAAATTATTGCCTGGTATGTACATTATTCAATAAATATAATTGTTTATACAAATTAGAAAATATTTTTGCATTAATAAGTATGGTTTGTTTTATAAAATGTTAATTGTTGGAAATACTAATGAGTAGGGCCTGGAATTATATGATAATTATAATGACAATTATTTAGTTTACAATGTAATAAATGATGAACAAATTCTTTACAAATTATTGTTATATGTAGGTAAAACCAACAAACAATAATAAAACAAATTAGTATGAAACATTTAGGTATTCGACTATAATGCAATACAAATTCATAAAATACAGAAATATGCTGTATTCATCAAAATGTACAAACAAAACTTTGTATTTAGGATTGACCATAATTAAAACTTTTAGCTTATCTAGATTTTTGAACTGTTAAAAAAAATATGTAAATGCATATAAATCCGGGCAACACTTATGAGAAATAAAAACCAAACTGGTTTATCAAACACATAGCAAATATTTGGTAATTATTAGGATTTGGGACTATGCATTAAACTTGTTAGTTTAATGAATGAATATAATCAGAAAAAAAAGACGTTCTATTATAATAGGTATGGGTGCAGCCACTGTTATAGATAATTTAATGTATACTTGTAAGCAACGATAAACCATTGTATACAAAAAAAAAAAAACAATTCTGAGCAGAGTTCAGTTGATAGTGGTGCATTGTCAACAATATGTATGTCATTTTATAGTAAAATAATTAAATAGGCTTTATATATTTGTTTATTTGTTTTCATATTTGCTTTAAATGTTTTACCGATTTTACCAGTTTTCCTAAGTTTTTTCCCGATTTTTCAAATTTGCTGGGAAAACTCTTGGGAAAATCAAAAAATGACCTCTCTATAGTACCTCCTTTGTGGAATTTCCTTAGAAACATTGCTATCATTATATGTTGTAGCAAAATTGCCTTTAGAAAAGTTGTCCTCAGAAAAAAAGAAGACTGTAATAATTTTAACTTATACCTACATTTATTACATTTTTTCGCTTTTGTAGTTTTTTTATTTCTTGTATGTTTGGTCCATTTCCCAATCAATTTCCATGCAAATCTAATTAAGGGAAACTAATGATTTTACTTATGTCACAATCACCGCAATTTTACATAAATATACTTGCAGCTATTATGTATACTTAATTAGTTCCACATACAATATAATTACAACAAGATTCAATAAAAAAATTTTTTTTTTCAAATTTTAATTTTTATATTTCAGTATAGCTCTATAATACAAATACATTAATAAGTACATATTGATATACTAATAAACCGATGAATATAGTAACTGGAAAAAATTACAATAAATCACAGTTTATCATGGGTGATAGGTACCTATAAATTTAATCAATATATATATTCCACCTTCCTTACTAATCACCTACAACAGTGGCTGCCCCATGTGCAGCATCAGCTATATATTTTGCCATTAAAGAAAACCGTTTTTTGATTCTTAAGTATTTTTCACAATAATTAGGAGAAACTGAAAAATATTACTTTTTTCGAATTACGGCTCAACGATTTCATTATTTTAAATTTTGACGGCTTATGTTTTTTATCATAAATATTGGAACAATAAAAAAACAACAAGAGACCTTTTTTGTTGCATTTTTTTTTTTGTGTAGTTTATGAGTAAATTATTTGTTTTATGATTTTCTTTATAGTTTTTTTTAAAAATTGAGCAAAAAATTGTATGAAAATAATATTGTACGACATTTATCATAGTAAAACCAGCAGATCCCTTGCTACGCTCTGAATATAATACTTACAATATACTAATGCATACCTACTATATAGAAACTTAAAGTAGGTACTTTTATATTTACCTACTTATTTACTTATTTTCTAACCTTGAACGTTTATTTTGAACAATTTTCTTAGTTTTTTTAATGTTGTATTAATTTTTCACAATCATAACTCATATTTTACCTCTAATGTGAGAATATCCTAAAGACTTAGTACCATGTTGATGGTGATGATGAAGTTTTAGTTGCATCGTGATTAATACCTACTGCCGTTGATTATAAATCAACAGGTAATCAATGGTACTATTTATGATAATCATTGTACAAATTAAATTTGGGTAGGTTATGTTTGACCAATCACTACATAATTTTTTAGTTATAGATAATTTGATTGTCTGAACCATTTTTCAAACAAATTTTCAGTTTTCCGTTCGCCGAATATTTGATACTAGTTATTACACTAGAGATAACACAATAACTATACTCATAGTCTTCTACGGTTATAATATTACTCATCCAATTATATTGTTGGATATTACCCGGTATACGGTGTTAGTGGAATGGCGCCTTGACAGTAACTATAACTATACAATAACTATATAGTTTCGACTATGGCAAATTAGAACTAACCGAAATGGTAGAAACTATGGAAATCGAGTTTAAAATGGAGATCATTTGGCGAAAATAACTGGAGTTATGGAATAATTAACTGACATTTTATAGTCTAAAGTATCTTTAAAATATATACCAAAGGAAGTATTACAGTGTTTAGTTAGAACAAGAACTTTTATACGATTAAATAATTAAAATTCTGCTGTATTGCATAAAAAAAGGTTATCGAAATAATTAAATTCTGTAAATAATAATGCTAAAATATTATACAAAATTACATTTTATTTTCATATTAAATGTTTATATAAAACACAAGTTACAATAATTTAAAATTTGTATTTTATACTATTTTGATAAACAAATAATGATAAAACCTTTATTATCGAGGACCAATAAGAAATGACAAACTACAATATAGACGAGGAACACGCGGGAATTTTGCGCCGGTTTTAAGTTGTCATCATACCTATCTAATTTGTCATGTTTTACACTACATTGTGAATATATGGTTATGGTCATAGATTATAAATTATTATCTATGGTTACGGTCAACCGCCTGGGTTCTGGTATATTATAATCAATTTAATGATTTTTTAGTTATCTACACAGTAAACTACTCGCATAGGTGTACATATCTATTATCTATCCAAAATTACTGAAAAATATTTCAGGCATTGATGGCTGATGCATAATATGAAATATTATACCTAGTCTATACTTCAGAAGTACCTAATAATCATTTCTCTATTATTTGTTAATGTATTAAAAAAATCGTTTTGAGAATAATAATATTATTATTTTATTGTTAAAATGTTTTGTCAGATTAAACAATCTATATGTAGTGCCAGTAAAATATGCAATTCAACAACAATGATCATACGAGACTTAAAATCATGGACTGGTGGAACAAAATATTTTGGGTTCACTTATTATCCAAGGTAAAGTTTTTGTTCGTATAATTTATTATAATGTGTGGTTGAAGTATGGTTTTTGTGTCTGATAAAAAAAATATCAAATGTCACACAGATGTGTTTTTTGTATACTGTCCTATAAAAACTTCCAACGGTTTTCGATTATCCTATATTCATGATTCGTTTGGACACTTGTAAATTTTGTTTTATGAATTGTTATGAAATTATCTGTTATTGTCTTTGAAAACACGATTTTTGATTTCATATCAATTTTATAATTTGTATGGGTGTAAATCTGGGGAGTGAATTAAAGTATACAACATTACGTTGGTAATTCCAACTATTTTTGTTATATTATGTTATTTAGTAGATCAATTTAATGATTATATTGTGAAAATTATATAAAATGTATAGGTTAGGGTTGCCATATGTCCTGGAAAATTGGGATTATCACCAAATTTTTGATTGGTATACCGGTGTCCCAAAAATAAATCCCGAGACTCCTATATATCACGGTTTTGAGACAAAATTAATATTATTTAATTTCGTTATTTTTTTCCAAGTATAATATTGTAATTTAGAGATGGAAAATTGTATTTTTAATGAATACGGAATAAAACAATGATAAAACAATTTTATGTAGATAGTATCATTTTTTTTTATAAATTATAAAAAAGATTAGGTTGTGTTTGTGGTATTAGATAATTGTATATCATAAGTTAGAGGGAGGATATTTTCAAAGCTATCATTTTTTACTTTTTATAAAATATTATTAAGTTCTTTTTTTGTGAATTTTAATTTGCTATAAGTCCCTAGCCCTGCTTATTATTTTGTTTTAAATTAAATTTTTTGTTAATTAAAAAAGTAAGTAAAGTGTTCTTTTTATAATAAATGTATAATCTAATAAATATAAATAATATTTGTATTATATTGTTATAGTATATAAAATAATAAGTCTTTTTTTAATAAATAGTTACCTATCTAATATGATCCTATCACATTTTTAGTTTAATTTTATTTGCTATTTTTTCTGCCTGTCCCAGATTTGCTTGATAAAATTATGGCAACCGTAGTGTTGGTACTATTGACAATTCAACATTAATTACAAATTGATAAAACAAATATTTAAAACTGTTCTTTTAAAAACAACCCTATTTTCAGGGTCACTAAATTTATAAATTCATAAAAAAAAATTCCCACGAGCATCTGTGAAAATCAAAAATTTGACCAATGAAGGTTTTCTAGGACGGTATACAAACAAAAATCTATCGAACATTTTTCAATATTTTGACATTTTTTTCTCAGATTTAAAATCTATACTTTAACCTATAATGTGTTAATTGTTTAATTTAATTTCAGAAAAGGGGAAGTTGACCCACCATATACACCAACAAAATTATTCATGGTTCAGAGAATTAAACGTTATTTATACAATCCATATTGGCAAAAAAAAATTCTAACTGACATGGGATTGGATCATAAGGTAAATAATATATCCTTTTTATTATTTTACCAGTTTTGCATACATTTATTTTTAAATACACGAGTATTTGAAACATCCCTATTAGTGATTGGAAAAATCCGCATTTGCGAATTTTTGGAATCTGGATGTGACCGCTCGCCACCCAAACTTGTACTTATATTAATAATGTTAATAATTTGATTTTAGTTGAGCGATATAGCTATTGTGAAAAATACCCCAGAAATGAATGCACGTCTTTGGAAAGTTAAACATTTGATAAAAATAACACCAATACAAACGCCTGATGGATTACCAGAGAAAGGAGACTATTGGGGTACATATTTAGAAACTGACGGTGTATTTAGAATTTCAAAACGTTTTTTACCTGATATAAAGAGATTGGAAGCAACCCAAGACTTTGAGAAATTAGCAAAAAGAGTAGACAAGGATACAGTAGAAAAGAACTGTCGCAATAAATGGTTGAATCCTTGGTCGACAATTGTATAATATTTATAATTTATTTTTTTAGTAGTGTATAATAAAGTGTTAATTTTTTTCCATCAAATATTTATTTTTATTTAACTAAATATCAATAAGTGAACAAGGGTAAATTAAAATATTATAGATACCTAATATTCAATAACAAAATATTGTTTAGAAAAAAATATTTAACAAACTATTTCATGAGATTTAATATTAAACACTAATATTTTCTATCTATTTGTATAACAAAGAAGTACAACAGAGTTTTTAGATCATCTGAGTTACAATTTAATTTTTCAGTAATATTTATAATATATTTATCAATTTTAAAAAAAAAAAAGATATTTATAACACAATTATTATTATTTTATCATTAGTAACTATTTAATTTTTTAGGAATTGATGCTTTGGTAATGTTTATTTTAAATTCGAGTTTTACATTAAGCATAATTTAACTATCTTTTGATATTCTTCATCTTTCCATCAAGCAAGCCTGGCGTTTAGGGGAGTACCATGCGGTCAAAGGTTACATTGACTGACTGACGTCTGGTGATGTTAATTAAAAGTATAACTTTTGGACCAAAATGATATTTCCCCCTCCCCCCCCCCTAGAAGATGAACCAAATTCGCCTCTGTCACCAAGTGAAATGATTTGTTCTAGGTATGAATATTTTTTGCTGTCTAGGAAATGCTATCAATAAGGCTACGTTTTCAAACTTCTCATCTTCAAATTCAAAATTAATTTTATGTAATGTTAAAGGTCACTAATATTTTACATAAGGTACTTAATACAAATATTAAAATACATCAATTGTGACAAAAATGAACAACTAATAATTACCTGTATATTATTAACAACGGTTAAATTAAGTTTCCATAAAGGCTGCTGCAGTCACCCATCCCACTGTAGTTGTTTATTTTATAATTACATATATAGTAATACCTTTAATGACAGCAATTTTATTTCTTAAGATACATTCGCGTAAATTTTCAATTTATACTCAATAATCGTGGGTTTTACATTCTGTCATAATTTAGTCTATAAGAGTGTGCCAAAGCAGGATGGTATGTCAATATGGTATTAATAACAATTTGTCTACAGTGAAGTCTGTTTGCTTAATTTATTGTAATAAGCTTCATTATAAGTTATTATAAGTACTTATTAGTTATTGGTAAAAAATTAGTTCAGTTTAATAAAGAAGGTATTTTTTTATTTATAAGCATTTTATGATGAAACTTTGATGAAAATTTTAAACATTATAGTATTTCAAAACATGTATTATGACTATTATGATGTTATTTTGCATAAAGTTTATATTATATTATGTAAGTATAATTTTACGTACATAATTATTTAGTTTTAGGATTATAATAATTATTATTATTTGTATTTCTCTTTTTGTATTACTTCTTAATCATTTATGTTACCACTAAAATAAATTCAATTGAAGTAATCACACAAGCTTTATAAAATGAATAGCTGATCTATTTTCTATAGGTATTTTATATACAAAATATACCGATAGAATTTTAGAACATCTCAGCTATAGTCTAAAAGAAACGATCAATAATATTAATCAATATTTGATATTGGCAAAAATATTGATCGTGTATAGGCTGTAATGAAGGATAGATCAATATATTGAACAAATTAAAGAAAAAAATGACATAAAACAAAGTTTTTTAATAATAACTTGTAGTCATAACTTTGTTCAAAGCAGTAAAATTAGTTCTTTTAATATTTTTGAGATAGATGCTCAAGTAACAAGTTTTTTTTGATGTGTAAAAACTATTATATGAAATATAAATATTTACGTTAATTATTACTGAAAATATTTCTGAGTCGGTGAATTATGATAAAATTTATCTGTGTATAATCACAACGATAAAAATTTATAAAATACCCTAGCACTCAACTAACATGGTGGAAAAGCGGCGTCGCCCAACATGCTTGTGAATTTATACTAGTTAGCCATCTAGTTTATAATCTACATCGGTGGCTATAGTATTTTGAATTTTTGAACAAAATACTATCGGCTTAAACACAGTTGGGCCGAAATATATTTTCTGCTTAAATACCGTTTGGATCTGGTTTAAGATAAATCTTAAATCACACTAAATTAGGACTGTTATCACATAATATGACGTCACGCCACAGAGTATATATTATATCGTCACAGTAATCGTGTGGTTTTGTTTATCAGTTATCACGGCCGTATCACAAGCTGAAAGATCGGTACATTAATATTTTTACGTCCATAATTATTACGAATAATATATTTATATTTATAGTATTAAATTTAAGTTTAATAATGGTCTAGTTTGTTTGTCTAGTAATCTTTTTTCGATGATTATAATCTGTATAGTAAATGGTAAAATGCCTATTTTGAAATAATAACATTTGAGTGCATAGTTAAATTGTAAAATGTATGTAACTAGTTTTATAGAATACAAATTATAATTTGTAGGTACTAATTTTCTATATTTGGTTCTTTAGAAAACACATTTTATGCAGTTTGTTAGTCATGTCAATGTCATCGAGGAGTAAAAAACGTTCTTTGACTGATAAAATCGATTCTAACAAATCAGAAAATATTGAAAAACTGGTCAAGAAAAGAAAACATTTAACAGTAAAATCGACTACAACTGACGAAGAAGAAAAATCAAATTCCTTTTGGAATCCACCCAATTGGAAACAAACTATAGAAAATATAAGAAAAATGCGCAAAGACGTTGTTGCACCTGTGGATGAAATGGGATGTGACCAAGTGGCTGACTTAAGCAAATCACCAGAAGTATGCATCCCACTTAAAATATGATGTTTACTAAGTATTTTTATTATAACTCCAATCAATGTGACACCCATAGTAGAATCCACCTAATGGGGACACATCAGGCGGTAATCCATTTGTCCCTATTATCTAACTGCTCTGATTAGCCGAATTAACAAAAGAACAAAAAACTATTAGTTATTATTTTTCACAAAATTTAAGTAATTTTATTTAACTGTAGTAGGTAGTAGTTGTATTAATTAATACATTGATTGATTTATTATACATATTTATTATAAATTAATTGATAAAATGAATAATTTTTGCAAAAATATGTACATTGTACTTACATACTTAATTTTTAGTTTAATAGGTTCAGAAAATCATCCATTCTTTGTTGTAATTTATTAAGATTTTGCTTATTGACAAAGTCTGCACAAACGTCTAGTGAAGTTGTTGGGGCACTTTTGTTTCTATTTTGCATGAAATATAGTCTCAACCAATCAATATACATTTTTGATTCTCTAGTTGTAATTTTGACTGGCTCCATGTTGTCTTTATCGATTTTGTAAACTGCTGTCAGAAATTTCAATAAGAAAGTAGATATTTACAGGGGTATTTATAGATAAACATATTCCTTTTAACCGATGGTTTGTCCCCAATAAATGAAGTTAAATTGCTTAAAAAAAATACTGGGACTATGTCAATTTGTCCCCATTAAGCAGTTGTCCCCTTCATGCGGTGTCCCAATTAAGCGGATTCTACTGTATGTATATATATATATATATATACTACATTATTCACATATGATTTTTAGTGTCATTTCAGTTTTCAGTAATTTGTGTATACATTTACTTGTTCACACAATTATAAATAAAACAATGATTATATTTTATTATTTGACTGCAATATGCTATGTTTATAAAATCTCTGCACAAAAGACAGTCAGTAGTTAAATAACAATATTTTATAAATCTTGTGGCCTGAGGAGCCTTCAAATACAAATATGACTGGAAGCTTTGGCCACGTACACAGGCTAGTGGCTATAGTCAGGCCAACATTAGAAAACACTAAATTTCTTATTTTTTATATTTTTTATATTTACTTGAATGGATCTGGATATTTATTTTGAAGGTAATTCGATACCAAATACTAATTTCACTGATGTTGTCTAGTCAAACTAAAGACGAAATTAATTATGCAGCTATGCACCGTTTGAAAGAGCATGGGCTGACTGTAAACAATATTTTGGAAACTACTGATGAACAGTTGGGAAAACTTATTTATCCTGTCGGATTTTGGAAAGTAAATATAAACATTTTAAAAACTATTCACTTACTGTGATGTCTGTTATACTATTAAATTGAAGTAAACTGATTTTTTGGCATAGTTCTAGTTAAGCAATATTCAATTTATTTTTTTAAAAATGTATGTCTAGGTTTATAGTAAAAATATAAAAATAAAAATATCTAATAAACTTTGGAAGTTGCGAGTAAAAAACATCAAAAAGTTCTGGTTTTTTGTCACCTACTTCATGTGGTTTTACACAATAAATCAAGATATTTTTGTTAAAAAAAAAGTAATAATAAACAAATGTAAATTTTCAACTATTTTTCAAACACATTTTAGATTTATTCGAAAATACAATTTTTCAATATTTATGTACAATAACTTTAAAAACAAAATTTATATCATGGAAAACTTGAACTGTTTAAAGTTTTCCCCCATAACATCCAATTTTTTTTGTTACATTCTTATTGTAAATGGGAAAACGCACATTAAAAAAAAGTTGATAAATTGCTAAATTAGAATCGTACCTTATTTTTTTTATTATTAGAAGAAAGTCGGATATATTAAACAAACCACTCGCATATTAAAAGATACTTATAACGGTGATATACCAAACACGATAAAAAACCTGTGTCAATTGCCGGGAGTAGGACCTAAAATGGCTCATCTTTGTATGAGTTGTGCCTGGAATGAAGTAACTGGCATTGGTATGGCACAAATTATTATTTTTTCTTTTATGAGTGATATTATTAAAATAAATAACATTATTCATACAAATGCTTATAGTCTGATTTTACATAGGTGTAGATACTCACGTGCATAGAATAAGCAATCGTTTGGGGTGGGTCAAGAAAACCACAAAAACACCCGAGGATACACGCAAAGCGTTAGAGTCTTGGTTACCGAAAGAACTTTGGCGTGAGGTCAATCATATGTTGGTGGGATTCGGACAGACCATATGCCGTCCCATAGGTCCTCATTGCAATTTGTGTCTAAATAAAACAACTTGTCCTTCAGTCAACAGTTCACCAATGAAGACAAAAACAAATTAAAATTGTATATTGTTATATTTGCTATTCGAATCTTATTTCAGTATTTTTCATTACTATAATTATTATTCTATATTAATTATAATGTAATGGACATTCTAATATTTTTTTGTACAAATTATATTCAATGTACATTTTTAGAAATATATTAGGTTTTTTTTTAAAAAAAAAAAATGATCCATTAAATAAAGTCAACTAATTATGAAGGTATGAAATGTATGTATACAAATTAAAAACGCCAAAAAATTTAGATTTAAGTTATAAGATTAATAAAATTTCATTATACTTTATGTTGGCTAATAATTTATTTGCATATATTACTCAAAATCAAATAACAAATAAAATATATTTTTTTAATACTCTGAAGATAACATCTATAAAATTATCTCTTTGAAAGAGTTAATAATACATGAAAATGTGTGTATTTATTATACCTGTTTTAATTTAATTTCAATGTGATGAGGATGTAAGTAAACAGGAGAAATTAATTTTATTAACATTTTTCATTAATTATTTACCTTTAAGTTTGTTGTAAAGCATGATTTTTTTTTCAAAAATAGCAGTACTTTTTTTACAGTAAATACTAATAATTTATTAGTTTACTGTCTATTTAAGAGGAACCCACACCCGCATCTACTGTCTTAGTCCAACTATTGAGCAATATGCAAAAACAATGCTTATACAGACTAAATAAAAGTAGATTAATATTGATTTTAGTGTAAAAGTACCCATTATGAAATTTATTGAGAAGGATATTTTGGAAGGAACCTAATTTGGTTTTTGTATTATTTTAAATATACATCCTGATATAAAAGGCACAAAACCCTTTTTTTTAGTTATAACTTAATAATTCATAATTAAAAAAATACCTATGTTTAGAATACATTACCTTTTCTGAAAGGAAATTGTATCTAGTTGGTGCATTGGTGAGGTTATTTTTTGATTTTTTATGGAATTTTTTGAAATAATTAGAAAAATCTAAATGAAAATTATAGATAAAATGACAAATATTTACGGTTACCGTTTTCATTGTTTTAATTTTTACAACTTATATTTTCTACTAGAAATATTGCTCCAATTAAAAAATGACAAGAGACCTTTATTGCATTTTTGATTATAAGCGGAGTGCGACTTGTACTGGGTGGTCCATTTAATTGGATTTACTCGATATCTTAGGAAAAATGTACAAAAAAGTTCATAATTTTAAATTTAGTTTTTCAATATAATTAATTTAAAAATATTTGTAAAAACTTGAAATTTGGACAGAAAACTTATATTTGTCTTTTATGTGATGAATGATTGAAAATTTTATAGCAGGTTTATTATAAGTCGTACTTAGTGGTAATAAAAAAATAATAATGAAGTGATGTAGGTAATATTATTTTTGATGCACGTTTTTAAATCAAATTTTGATGAGTCATAATTATTGCCACCTAAAAACATGTATAAACGAACTTAGCTCTGAATCATTTTTCGTTAGCAATGGTTTATCGTTACAGATATAAATTAAATAACTTTTCATATGCTATCTTCCCGACTTCCCACTTACAACAGTGACGTATGCGTCCCCAGTATCAGCTCTTCTATTGTTTATATTTTGTAGACCACGATTAGAATATTTTTTTGTAGAACAAAACCTATACCACAAATTCGTTGAGTTACGGGTCACAAATGAATAGTAAACCATTTTGAACGGCTACAGATTTACAATTCATAGTACCCGGTGAGTACATTCTTTTACTTAATCCCTTGTCCCGCTCCTATTGAGACAAAATAATAAGATTATAAAAATTAAGAAGAGACTCATTTTGTACGATAGACAACAAAATAGCAACCAACAACAATTAAAACGGATGCGATAATAATGATAACAAGACGCTGCCGTAGCCGCTGGGCTAATGGTTTAACGAGGCGAAATAATAATTCTAAAGAGAATGATGAAGTCATAGATCATCACCATCTCACTTAGATCATTTTCTAACCGATTCAAATTTTGGAGGGGAAATAGTCATCGGTTACTTAACGAATTTATGGATACCTATGAATCCGAAAAATATACTACAAAGAACATTGTGTTATTCAACCTTCACAATCAATATTATTTTATCATTTAATATAATATGATAACGAACTATTGGTCTGTTGATCAACTGTTCAGGTATTAAATTCTTGTCAGTATTAATATTACAGTTATGTTAAATGTAATTCAATATATTTTTTTTAAAATATGTTCACATTTAATTTGCATAATTTTTATGATTTTAAATTTGTTATAAAAATCTAAAAGAATTTGTTCCATAAATAACAGGTATTTTAATAGTGTCTTTTGTTCATTATTCTTATAGTTTTCACACACAAGATAATATATTACATTACCAATTTGACAATTCATATTTAACAAAATTCAATAGTAAGTACATACGATGTAATTTATTAGTTTTCAACTATTAATAGGAATATTTTCTGAACTAGGTATTTACCTATATTTAAAATAAGAGCAAGTAAAAAATTGGAATTTAAAAAAACTGGAAACTGAAATGTTTGAATTTCATTGAAATTATAGTTATCTGGCTACACTTGTTTACCCTGTGACTTATCTGATGTGTGTTTGCATAATAAATAAACAGTTATTTTAGATAAGGTTATAAGTCTGCAAAGTGATCCAGTGAAAGTGCCTTAAGTCCCACAAACAGTATTTTATAAATATTTTTTAAACACTACCTTCCAGATTTGTACATTCCAAATTTGTATGGGTACTTGTTTAAAATTAAATGATATAACAATGATTTCAAAACTATTATAACATTAAAATATTACTGATAAAATAATTTATTACACTTAGACAAAATAACAAAAGATAATAATAATAACATTTAAGGTATCTACATTTGATTAAAAAATTATTATATAAAATTATTAAAATTCATTAATATCAATAAATACAAACTATATAATTTAATAAGGGGGTGTTTTTACATAATATTGAGGATGTACAGCATTTTTTCAATAGTTCTAACAAAATGTCTATTTATGAATAATAGGTAAAGAACTTAAGCACTTAGAGATGAGTCATTGTTCATCACTTAATTAATAATAAATTAAAATCCAATGTATATATTACAAATTAATTTCAGCGTTAAAATAAAATATCAATTAACTAAAATTGTTCTTAAAAAAACATATTCGTGTATCAATGTTTAATATTATCAGTATTAAATATCATAGACTATTATTATAATTAAAAGGAACATAGAAAATTAATCTACTTTACCTAACCCCTCAGAAATTTCTAAATTTTTATTTATTCAATGTATTTTTCTTATCGAAGATGGTACAAAAATAATTTTTAATTAAAAATATTATTTTAGAAGTTATGACAATTTGAAGTTGCCCATTGTATGGTAAATAGGAGTACAGGTGTAAACCAATCATTATGCCAGCCGATTTTACTTAACGTCATATAGACCTAAAAACAAATCTGACCAAAAATCACACTCAAGTGTGAACCTAAACCTTGCTGTGCCAGACCAGGCATACTGGTTTTTATTATACTGTTTATCATATATCTGGAAACTTCAAATTGCTATAACTTTAAAACAATAATTTTCATTAAATTACTTTTGTACCTTCTTCAAAATCTTCAAAATTAAATAATAAATTAATTTAAAAAAAAAAAAAAAATGTAAAAATTCGTGGAGGAGAGGTAGTAGATTTTAGTCAAACATTTATTGGAATATTTTGTTTTAATTTTTTTATAAAATCTAAGAAAGAATAAAACAACCTCATATTATAGAAATTAAAATTCAGTACTCTTAAATTTAGGTACTAATAACAAAATTATTTATAATAATATTAAACTTTTGTAATTTATTAGCGTTAAACTAACCAACTTTCTAGTCCATGTACACAAATATTTACAATTAAAAGGTACCCCCACTTGAAAAATAACTGTTTAATTAATATGAATACTGATTATATATTCTTTAACTATTTATTTTATTTTAATTAGATTAATTTGAAGTTTGCCAAGCCATGTACACATGTGATATATGTAAAAAGAATATAATTTTCAAAAGGAATATTGTGAGACACTTTAAGAATGTACACAATTTAACAGTAGGTAGCATAACAAGTAGTAGAGATGGTAATTTTAAATGTCCCATGTGCGAGAATCAATTTGCCGGAAGAAGTTCACTTAGGCGACACGAAAAGTCAAAACATAAAATGATTATCACAGCTCCGTTAAAGAATATAAAGTGAGTATCTATATTATTAAGATAATAATACCTATTTTACTACTTTTAACATATTGCATTATATTATTGCCTTAATGGAATTTCTTTTTAAAAAGATTCATTGTTAGTAATAGTTTTTTAGTTATTTATGTATCATATGTTTTCAGTAATACTCTTGCACCAATAAAAATAATAGTAAACTAATAGAATATTATACTGTATACAAAATCTGTATTAATTAATTTATAAAAAATATTTTATATTTTTAGGCATAGTAAATGTGTAACATTCGAACCGAGCAAATTGGATGACTATCCCTTGTTTAAGGTATCGTTTATTTTAAATCAATTTATAAGTTAACACTTATCTATTCAATTTTAACAAATAAACATTTTTGAGCCAAGCAATAAGCATCAACTAGAAACATATTTAATTTAAATACAGACAATATCCAGTTCGCAGGAAAAGATATATTTTATATTGTTGTATATTATATTATAACAGTGATATATATGTATAGAATATCTTACATTAAAAGGTTAATAAAATATTAAAATGTATAAAATAAATACATTTACAGGGTAATTCACTAAACGGTATCAACAGTATCAACTATGCTGTGATTATAGACATCGAAGGCCTTTAAATATTGATAAAAAGACATCTATAAATTTCATTATAAAACATTCAAATTATAATGAAACTAGTAAAAACTAAGTCCAGTAGAAAGTTGTTGAAACTAATTTAAACATTATTTAGCACCTTAACATTTTTTTATATTTTCCAAATTATGACTAAAAGTGAATTATCAAAGTAATTAAACTGTTAGTTGAAAAGTACTTTGACACCACTCATACTAGTAGTTACATTGAGAGTCATGCTACAAAAATTCCATAAGATCCAACTTATAATATTTGATTGATTATTAAAAAAAGAAAAAATATAGTACTCTGTTTTTTTTTTTTATCATTATTATATATTATTAAATATTATTGTTCCAGACATTGATACCTGAAGATTATGTTTACAAAATTAACCACATTGAAATGTTGGAAAATAATTATTTTAGAGCAAAATTTGAGATTGCTGATTGCACCGAGGACATGTTTTTAATTTGGTTATCGAAATTAGAAAAAAAATCTAAAGTCACATACAGAGTTAAATCTTTCACAAGGTCAACGAGTACGAAAATTGTATTTAATGTAAATAAAAAAAAAAAAAATCAAACAAAATACAACAATTAATTATTATTACTATTTATTCATTTTTATAATATTATAAATGATTGAATAGTTGATTATTATTTTTAGAAAGTTTATAGATGCATTCATAATACATTTCCGGGAAAATACCATAATCCTCATCCAAAGCATACTGGATGCCCTGCTACATTAACTATTCGAATAAAGAAATGCAGTGAAGCATTGTACGTATTCAATTATAATTATAGTAAAGTTTAAATAAATTAGATACTTATACATTTATTATTGACTTATTTTAGACCGATAAAAAATACAATGGCTGACAACAATATGATGTTGATTCCTCTAAAAGCAATTGTGACGCTGTATCATTATCACAATCATGAATTTGTAGACATACAGAAAATAAAATCCACAAAAAAGACTCCACAAAATATAAACAAAACAGAATGTAATGGAACTTCTATACAAACTAAACAACAGACTAATTTGAATAAAGAATATTTTAATAAGTCTAATAGAATAAACTCCATGGCATACAGCTCCCAATTATCTGTCAGAAACGTTGAATACAATGAAAGCACATCAGAATTTATCGATGCTAATATTATACTATACCAAACTGATGGCAATGAAGTTATATTAAATGACCAAACTCAAAAAACGATTATTGACAATGATAATTTTGAATTATCTGAAGAATTTGATAACTATATCATAGTTGAACACGTAAATATCGAAAATTCATTACATAATGATGATAATAATTTCATTCCAACTACATCAAATATGTTGAAGTTATAATACTGTTGATGAAATAGCCTAAAATGGTGTAGCAATATTTGAATTTGATCCTAAATATTAATCATTGGAAACCAAAAAAGAACTTTACTAATAAATTAGTTTGGAGAAAAACATCTTTTGAAATAAAATATATGGTATGTTTCAACTGATATTTTTTTTTTATAAAAAAATTATGCTAATATTCTTTAATATGATAAATGAAGCATTCTTTCATGATACAATTAGACAGTTGCTGTTTTATGGATTAGTGTTGGAAGACCATTTGTATACAAATGAAGTTTTTTTGTACATATGCAATTTATTTGTAACAATTATGTAAATTTCTAATTTATTATGATAGTAATATTTTAACTATATGAAGTTTATATTAAATGATTTATATTATATCTTATGTGAGATTAATGGATGTTGTACATTTTTTTTTTAAATTTAATTTTTACTTTACAATAGCAAGTATTAAAAGCATGTCTCCTTGTTTCCCCTTCACTTCACCGCAATGGGCATATATGGATACAAAGACTAAAAAAAAATAAGTATAAGATAAGGAAAACAAAAAATATAAGCAGCAACAACTCATCTTCATAAAAATTAAAAATATTATTAAATTGAATAATTTGTCTACTGTTTTTATTTATTTATCATTTTATCAAGGCACGTGATTGAAAATGATTGCTAAACCTAAAATTTGAGTCATGTTTGTAATTTAAATTGATTTTTCAAACCTTTTATATAAATCGAGTTGAAATTTAATAATTCAGGTGCTTTATTTATGAGAAGTTCCTATTCCAAGTTTTTGCTGTGATATTGGAAGATTAGCCGATCAAATTATCATTAATATGTTAACTTAGTGTATTTGATATAAGCCACAAGAATACCATTAATGATTACTTCAAGTTATTTTTAAACCATTTTTATTAAATTATGGTAAATAATTTGAGACTACAACTTAATAGGTACAACTATATAGGATATTATACACTCTGTTATTTGACTGTAAAAAATATTTTGCCATGAAGAAATACCTGGACTATAAGCTCGATTAAAAAAAAAAAATTCACACTATACAAAATAAAGAGAATTTACACTATGCAACATTAGTTTAAGTTTTTAAAACTCGAATAATTTATTTTATTATAGTGATATGGCCAAATTAAAATCAATGTTGCACAAATAAAGTTGTCATTATTTTGTGGTGGAAATTTGGTTTTTTAATTCAGTCTTGAGTAGTTATGCACATTTCACTAAATTAATTTATTTTTCTAGTTAATCACAGATTAAAATATACGTTAATTTGTGCATTCTACATAGATATTAGTCTACCGGATACATAGATATTAGTCTACCGGATACATAGGTATGTACCTTATTCAAATTTTATGAATTACATTATATGAATCACATGATATCAAGTAGCTACTATATATATGTAATAATTGTTTGTCATGGACTAAAATCATACTCAATCTTAGTCCGAGATGTCCTTTATATATACTAATTTAATCCAGTTGTTAATATTTTAGCCAGGTATTATTTTTTAATATTGTTAAAACATTACTAGCATTAAAATATTCTCAAGTTATTTTTGCTTATCATCTTTATAATTAATTAATAATTATTTTATAATTTAATATCTTTATTTTTTCATTATACTCAAATATTTTTTGTTGTTTTGGTTAACTTAGAAATTATAAACAGTACCTAGCCAGTCTTCAATTTAATTTTAAAATATATCATTATAAATTGATCATTTTTTGAATTAAAAATGCTGGAACTAATTATTATTATAAATTATAATTATAAACAAAGCATAATATTTTGTATAAAAACAGTATTTTCAATGAGTAGGTATTATTCTACATTTGGATATCATTAGATGAACTGCACACTAGAGAAATGTGTAAATAAAAACTTTTTATACCAACGCTGTTTGTTTCAAAAACAATTTATTGAAGAAACTTAAACAATGAAACTTTAGAATAATATTAAATATGATCAGTTTTTTCCATTTGATTTTCGTTCACTATCTTATAATCAAGTTGTGATGTGGAATCGCTAACCAATGAACCAACTGATGTAGAGCATAAACTTGTGTTGTTACAATAATTAATACCCTGTGTAGTTTTTAATATATTAATTAATCCATTAATTTGAAACAGAAATGCTTTAAAACACGTAATAGTAATTTCATTTAAATGTGGAAACAAACCTATTAAAACAATCTTTTTGGATTTTCATCCGGTGTATGTTGTTTAATCTTAATATTATTATATTAATCTTTTATCTTGCTTTAAGTTGCATTGGTAAATAGATAATTAATTTAATATTATTTTTATAAACATAGGTTTTTTAATTATAATCATATTTTTTTTTGAAAATAAATAACCTATTTAGCTGGATTTTCGCTATACAAATCAAGTAGAAGTATTTGAAAAATCTAGTTTGGATTTACCAAATCCAATCTTCCTTTTAAATTGTTAGTTTTACAAATTATTTTTCGAAAGACTAGGTATGAAGCAATTTCTTTATTAAGAAAATTGATAATAATTACTGGATTGTAAACAAATAATTTTTAATAGGTACTTCATTCATTATTCATTGTGAGGAGAATTAATTTTGTTTAAAGATAATATTGTGTGGGAGATGAGTATTGACTTAAAAAAAAACATAACATTATTATAGATAATGGGTACACCAATATTTATTATTATGGCGTAAAAAATTTCGTTTTTAAATAATCGATAATATTATGTTTTTGTTCGTGGTTTTTTACGGTGGGGGAGTGGATGGCCGACTGTTAAGAAAACGCGGCAAATATTTATGGGTACATGAAAAAAACGCGGTAACAATAAAAACACGGCAACGACGTAGTACTACCTATTACTTTATGAGTTGGCGGCAATGTGCGGACCCCCTCCAATCGCGACATTCGTTATTTTCTCCAATAAGAAGGTTCGTTATATTCGCCACCAGCCAATCAGTGCGGTTGTTATATTCGTACATCGTCGATCAATGACGTCGACCTCGGCTACAAACAAACTGACGCCATTGTGTTCCGTGCTGTTGTTCGTTGTTTTCGTCGTCACTCACTCGCCGTTGGTATTCTCCTGGTATTCTGTATCTTTTCTTCTGCCATTTCGCGTATCATCCGTCAGTTCTATTAAAAGTAAGTACGAGTTTTCCTGAAATCGAATTTTGTATTTGTTTTTCAATCGCGTCCGTACGGTGCTCATTTCGCGATCGTAAAGTCTCCGGTATGCCAAACATTGGCTCCAGATCAAAGCGTCCCTTGCTAACTTTCACCCGATCAGGCAAATTTCTGATTTCTTAACAAATACGGCTGCGCCCTATTATTTTCGCTTCAATATTTTGTTTTGTAAAACTTTACCGATAAATTTGGCGTTTGATTTAGTGGTTTTTATATAGAAAAACGGGACTATAAGCAATTTGTTACAATTTTTTGAGGGATAGGTGTAAAATTTTAATAATATTTCAATCATTAGCCGTGTTGTTTCTGACCGCCGGTGATATTCATTTTTATTATTTATTATTAATTAATTAATTAATTTTCTTTATCCAGGTAAATCATGGCCCGTACTAAGCAAACCGCTCGTAAATCCACTGGAGGTAAGGCACCGCGTAAACAATTGGCAACCAAGGCTGCTCGTAAAAGCGCTCCGTCCACTGGAGGAGTAAAGAAACCTCATCGTTATCGTCCTGGTACAGTCGCCCTTCGTGAAATTCGTCGGTACCAAAAGTCTACTGAGTTGCTGATCCGCAAATTGCCATTCCAACGCTTGGTCAGAGAAATCGCTCAAGATTTCAAGACAGATTTGCGTTTCCAAAGTGCAGCTATTGGAGCATTGCAGGTTCATAATGGTTTTAATACTTAATTACTTTTTTTTAAATTCTCAACAGTAGGTATTTCTAAAAATAATAAGTTATCAAATAATTGAAACAAATGTTCAACAGTTAATTTATAATAATATTTTATGGTGTGCTGTGTTAAAAGCATTTTAATTGGTTCCATTTTTACAATTTGTATTGTTTTAACTTCAATAAGCATATTATATCATAAAAATACTAATTAATTAATGATATTTGGTAGTTGACCCAGTAAATACAGTTTATTTAATGATTAATATTATCTAAACTGTTAATTTATTGACTAAGTATTTATAATATTTATTATTTATAATATTTATTTTATAATAAATACATAACTGAATTACAGGAGGCCAGTGAAGCTTATTTGGTTGGTCTGTTTGAAGATACCAACTTGTGCGCCATCCACGCCAAACGTGTCACCATTATGCCCAAAGATATTCAATTGGCCAGACGTATCCGTGGTGAACGGGCTTAATTCACCCTCCACATTCCTCTCAATTTTTTTCATCAGTTTTCTGGGTTTATACATGATACAGTTTTTATTATTACTATACTATGATTTTTTTTTTTATATATTTCATATAATATATAAAACGTGTGTGTGTGTGACAGTAATTTGTAGGACTCTTAATTTGTTTAAACTTATTTTTAATTAATAAAACAAGTGTTCATTTTATTCAATGTCAGTAGCTGGATTTTGTATTACTCGTCTGTAAATTAATGTTAAGACAAAAACCACAGCTAGGTAATAATTTATTTCTAATCACAGCTATACTTAATTAAATACAATTAAATTTAATATTTACAATAATTTAATTAAATAGTTGCCTAAGATTATTAGACTTTATTAAAACATAAGGTAATTCATTTTTTTTTTTTTTTTTATGTGTGTATTTACATAGTTGTGTATCCCAAACTGCTACCTAGTTATTCCTTTATAACTTACAGTAGTAATTTCCTTTCATAAAAAACTCAAAATGTATACTAATGTCTTTTAAACCATTTTAACATTTAATATGTGGTGTATGGATTACTCTAAATTCGTTTAACGAGTTTATATGTAATAAAATATTGATATATAAACAAAAAGTTGTTATGATATATTCTATTTTTCAGTAAAACCATTGATTATTATACAATTGATGGTAAAACTATTGAGTTAGGTATTCATTAGAACTTTCAAATACAATTTGTTTTAAACAATATGCAGCTTATTGTTTGACGGGTAATGCTTGATGGGTCATTTGTATGAAAAATTATAAAATCTAAGATTTAGGTATGCAAGAACAGAGATTAGAGAAAAAAGTATTATAAAAATAAAAGTGTTTGAATGCTTATTAAACATTAATAAAAGCATAGCGAGGAAATGTTAAATTGGTTATAGTGATTGCTTTTTTTTTTTCTCGGCATTTTTTGTTTCTAAACCACATTTTTTCTATAAATAGTGCTTCAACCATCTACTAATTTAGAATGGTTTCTTATATAGGTACAATTCTTTCTAACGACTGCATTAGGCAAATCTTTTTTCTATTTTCCTTTAAGGTTTTTTTTAAATAATGGGGAAAATGTCAGATAACCACAAATACCAGATAATTCACTTATCTTGAACCAACAATTTTCTCAAGATTTTAAGTCTGGTGGTTCTAGTGTATGGTGATCATACCAACATTTTTGGTTTTTACCTATTACAATTTTCAATATTGTTTTGTTAAGTAAAATTGGATTGATTAAGTAGTTGAGAATTTATATCTAGTTTTTATTCATTATTTTTATCACTAATAATGCATTCCACTGAGGATTAAAGATTTTGATTGCATCTATAGGTTATTTATTATTCGTCTGAATAATCTGACCTAGCCTAAGTTCTAAATAAATTGGAATTCTTAACCTAACCTATTAAAATGTGACCTGTCTTTTTGAATGGGTCACGCTAATCAAATACTCTAGATGACAATATGGGATATTCAATGATAACAAACGTCGAAATTGTTGTGGTTGCCTATCATACTACTGCTATCGGCTATGGTTTACACAAGTTGCCTATATGAAAAATAATTTAAATTTCTACTAAAATATCCAGCCTTTATTCGAAGTACTGTTCGGTTATAATAACGAATAACCTAAATAATTATTTCAATAATTTTTAAAGAATAATCTGAGCTAAAAATAAATAAATTATACATGGTTTTTTTCTATTAATATAGTGGGGAGGATGGTATTACACAAATCTTTGGAAATTTTTATTAATCTCTCCTTATGTTTATTTTCTCCAAATATCTTGTGTTTGAAATGTTCTGTTCTTTACACCTACCATTATAAAATTACTTCACACAAGAATTGTTATTTTTGGAATTGCAAAAACAAGAGCAGGAAAATCCGGAATTGACATTTCATAAATTTTTCTACTAGTGATAAATTGTTAAAGTTAAAAAAGTTAAATTTTTACTATTGTCTTAACAAATTTAAACTTCAATTAGTGTATAATATGGAGTGTATGGATTCATTATTAGTTATTGAAAAATTAAAATATTTACCTATATAATATATAATATTTTTTCAAAATACCAGGGATCCTATATAAACGGTATGTTCCTAAAACAATTTCAACACCTCAGACTTCAGAATTGTTGTCATTGAAAGAACTAGAAACATCAGGAACAAGACAACCAAAGTTTGATACAAGTAATACATTCGGTAAAAAAATTACAGTTTTAATAGGAACAATATAACATGTATTTGTGTTATTATTAAATAGGCACCAATGCAAAAATGTAAATATATTCTCAGGGAACTTCTTGCATCTAAAGTGTATAATGGTACAAATGTTTCAATCCCAACAGTGGGTTAAGTGCCAGAATGAAGTCTTAGAAAACCAGGGTTGAGTAGAAGTAATACATTTAATTACAATTTATAATAAACTGTTTCAAAAGAAACAATACTACACACATTTGTATTGTTATTATAATTAAACAGGTGTCGATGAAAATATTGATGTTATGAATAATAAAAATCAAAAGCTTAACATGCTGTAAAATTTGTGAAGATAATAGATGATTTGTTTGATGTGTTCAACAGAGGTTCATTCAATTAACCAAAAATATTTCGAAAATCATTGACTGATATTTCGAAGCATTGGGTCTTTTTAAACTAGTGTTTTGAAATAATAACAAAATTAAAAAAAAAAAAAAACAGCCACTGTATATTAATGGTTGGCTTTTGAATATTAATAGTTTAAAAATGTTGTTTAAGGATTTACATAATAATTTTGAATTTGAATATTTACTTACTAGACGACTGATTCAAGATTATTTTCTGTAGCACATGCAAAATGTTACTCCAGATTCGTTATAAGTTTTATTCGGCCATACAAATGTGCGCAGCACAAAAACTTCTAGTTCCACCTGCAACTGGAAATTGTGAAACAGAAGATCGCGAGTTTTTAACCAAATGCAATGATTTGTTGCAGAATAAACAAAAGTTTAATATGAAATTAAAACATTTTGAAAATCAATATTTATTAGGTAACGAGATAGACTCCTTGTTTGATGACAATTTGAGTGCCATGAACATTGCATTCATACAGTTGGACTTGCATGAAGAAAATTATATTGCATATGTAGCTGGTCGGGCATGTTCTAAACTAAGTCATATTGAATGCCTTGAAAACTTGACTACAAAAGATAAAAATATCATTACAATTATTAATATAATATAATTAATATAAATTACTTTTATTTCTATGAGACAGTATGATGAATGTAATTTACTCTATCCATTTAAAAGTACAATTGATTTTGTAGGTAAAATTATATGTCTATTCAATACAAATTTTAATAATTTATTTACAGAAAGTAAGATTGGAATTAAATTCAATATAATATCATGTACCTATCTATAATAGTATAACAGTATAAGCGCCTAGCGTAATGTGTATAGGCAACCACCGCGATTACGTTAGGGCGTACGTATGTCGTGTTTCTTACCATAGACTGTCCAGTATTGTCGTGTATAGTGCACTAATCAACGAGTCGATTCGGATCGCGAGAATAAAAAGAAAGTCGTTCAAATTTGTTCAATTTTATTCTCGTCCGTGTTCCGCCGTTGGATCATATACTTACTACAGGCAACCGTGGTTAAATGGTTAGAACGAAACGGTTCACGAAATGTATGATTGTATAAAATTATACATCGTGGTGATCACGCATATTAAACGCAGGTATCGCAAAATTAAATTTACAAAAACGATAATAAAATGTGCACAATTTTTCGGTACACCATATCTGTCTAGCCGTTAAACATTTGTCCATCGTCCAAGTGAACGATGTAACCGAATCATGTATTCATCCGTTCATCGTTCAAATTATACCTGGACAATATTAATTTAGTAAATATGTCTGTGGTTCAAACGAACGATCCGATCCAAATGAACCGACCCGTTTTGCACATCTCTAATTCAAAATAATCAAATTTCAAAGTTTTCTAATTCAACACGTTCTGATTAGAAACAATGATATGAAATGTACAAGTTAATAACTAATGGAGTTTCGTCTGAAATACGTTCGGTTGTTTTATTTTGAACTGAAATAATTTCGGCGGAAACATTTTCTGATAATTTCGTGCTCGACCTAAATATGGTCGGTAGAAATATTTTCGGCAAAAATACGGTTCGGCTGTAGTTTTACAAACCCCTATACAGAACGCTAGAAATCAATGAGTGGTGAAAATTTTAACTACAAAATCTAGTTATCAATACTTACCAATATTTGACGGTATTTTATAGTTTTTAATTGTTAAAATTATTTTCAGATGAATAAATACCTAGTCATACTAGTAATACCTAGTAATATTACCTAGTAGTACTCTATTACTTAAAAAAATTAACTAATTATTATTTCTGCTAAATATTATTTGTATATTAAATTATACTAAATTCATTGGTAAAATCAAGATTTGGTAGTATTAGATAGTAGTTTTAATATTAAGTGTTTAAAATATTTTACGATAATGATATAAATTAATACATGATGGCCTTATAAAAAAAATTCTCTTTCAAGTGATCAATTTTGTTAAATAATGCGTATTTGTAATTAATTCTGATGTTCAAATTATTTATTTTATGTAAGGGAACATGAACAGTGAAACTGTGAAAGTATTAAAGTAGGTTATAGAATATAGGCAATAGGTATTTTATTTAAATTATAGTATTATATTATTATTTATTATTAATTATATTAATTAGTGTATTTTTTTTTTTTATATATTAATTCATGTATTCATTATGATACATATTAGTATACACGAATATATCTTCATTAGTGATATAAATTATCTAGCCCTAATCAGAATTACCATTGATTACCAGACCATTGATTAAGTATACAGGTATACTCATAGGCATGCGCAGACTTTATTAGAAGACTGGGTAAAAATCTTGTTTTGTCAATATCACCAGTGGGCAATGACTGCGAAAATATTTTCCAGCAGAAGGAACTAATTAAATTGATCTGATAAATATTATTAATACATATTTATATTATAGGGAATTTAATCATCATCAGCTTCTAAAGGCTAAGCCTTGTTGTTGTAGCCATACATGTCTGTCAGATGCTGTCCTCTTGAGATTTTGGTAAGAGGTAACACCCATTCGTCTGAAAATTTCTTCGAAGAAGGATTTAGGGGGTTAATGGGTGGATCTTTTTCCCTCTATTTTTCCTTCCATAATGATAGTAATAAACTCATTATTTCTAAGTAGACGTCCAATCAGCTTTATTGTTCTTTCTTCATTGATCTCGTTCAGCACTTCTTCATTCGTCTTATGTTCTATCCAGCTTGTTCTAGTCATTTTCCTCCACATCCACATTTCCATAGGGGAATTTAATAGGTACTTATAATAATACAAATATCACACTTTGCTTAATACTAGTATTCGTATTAAAAACAATTATTAATGATAAAGAACTGGACCTTTTGTTCATATCACAGATTGTTATCATATTTATATCAGTCACGAACTTACGAACACGATTAACTAAATAATGACTACCTAAATAAATGTATTGATAAAGGTTTATTTGGAAAAAATTCAACTCGCAGAGAGGGAACAGTTGCCGCCCCTCCCTGCCATCCACATGAACACGCCAATAAGTAAACTTAATCAATGACCTGTGTTAGTATATGTTCTTGACTTCTCGTATTGATGCCAACATTTGGATCGTTGATCTCGTTTACGTTTAATTTGTCCGCTAGATCGCAGTGTAACATACAATAAATTATTCTAAGCTAAGCAGATACTTATAGATGGTAATAGTTATTTCATGCGGCAAATTGATTTCTGTTTTACTCAGTTGTCTATTTGTTTTATCTGTTACAAAACAAAAACATGTTTTGAGTAAAAATAATTGTATAAGCTTTCACAAGTAACTAATGTGTACAATCCAAAAATTAAGATATTAATTAATTCGTGGTATAATCTATAAATGCATGTACTATGTAGTATGAAAATACAAAATCACATAAAAAAAAAAAACTGTGGAAAAATTCACATTAAATAAATAAATTAGAAATGTAAAATCTATATCCCATATTTTAATAGCGCACAGGTGAAACGGGACTGGGAACGAACAACGGTTCAATGATTAGTGAATATTATGGCGCGCGTAAGTAAAAACAATAATTTCTCATATTTTTTTTTCTTACGAATGGCGACATTGATTTGATGAGGATTTTTAGGGTGAGGGCTATAAAATAACCGAACTTGTTGTTTTTTGTTTTTTTTTTTTTGGTAGAACTGTTAGAAAGCTGTACTAATTATGGGTAACATATGCTCACGAATTAAAACTCTAAAGAGACCAGATACAGGGTTTTCGATTAATATATTCTTGTTTCTTCCATTAGGACTTTTCAATAAATTTCGTTGTTGATAATAATATTATAATATAGTCGATTCCTGTCTTTTTTCAGTTTAATAATACGTTTTTTTGCGATGTTTGCACACTACACAAATAGAACTATAGGTACCTATATCTTTTTAAACGCAATGAATATGTTTATAACTATATCAAGAATGTCGATGATGAATCATTAGCGCCTCGCCTTCCGTTTTAATGTACCTTATGTTAATTTTATTTTAATAATAATAATAACATAATATAATGATCAAAATTATGCAAGATTTTCGCAAACGTCTTATTGTTTATCGTAGGAAAATGACGAGAAAAACTAAAACAAAACGATTTCAACACAACAAACTGCAAGAGTTTGCACGCGTTTATCGAGGAAAATAATTCCAATAATAATAATAATAATATTATTTATAATCGCGATAAAATATTTTTTTCGTATACAGTTGACTCCAAGTGATCCGAGTGTGTACCTACACCTATACACCTATGTAACGCGCACATAATTATTTCAACAGCTAAATATTTCCTCGAAAAGTAAAAAAAAATAATAAAATAAAACACGCCCGCCGTATGAACGCAAACAGCGATTATCTTAAGTTATTCCAGTACGTAAATACAATAATCATTCGACCTTATACTATAATACATAATACATATTATGTTTGTTATACTACTTGCTCCGATTGAGCGATTGCTCTCGAGGTTGAAATTAATTAAAAACTGACTGGAATATAACTACATAATAAACGATAATACACTTGCATAAAACATCGTGTTCAATTTGTATAACCCACCGGGCACCTACATCGTGAAAACTACTCATAACGATACAAAGACGTTGAAATTATAATAATTTTTCGAGTATTTTCCGCAGAAAAATCTGAAATTATAAATGCACCATTAATAATGCATGTATTTTAATTAAAAGTAGACTATTGTTAAGCCGCACAAGTGTATTGCTAGATTGATATTTGAACAAGAAAATAATTACTATATTTTTTTTTTTAATTTTCCAGATTACCTGCAGTATTTCAATGAACGCTGTCAGTAAAAATATAACGAGTTGTTTTTTTCTTAATTAGCGATGCACGTAATGATTTTACCGTGAGCAGAGTCGACTTTGGGTATGCAGGGGCTCTTCGGGACCCTATTAGAAGCAACATAAAAATTGCACATGAAAACGCCGAAAAGTATTTATGTTCGATGACTAGTCTTTTGAAATTTAAACGCTATAACACACGCTGAGAAAATCACCGGCGGACAATAATATTATCGTTATTCATTGTTATGATTGAAATGAAAGACAAACGTACACCGGCGGCCGTACGATTATTATTTCACGTTAGTTGCCAACAATTTCCACGACTATAACAAATATTTGGGTTTCGGAACGGTATGTTCAGACCTATTTGTTCAGTGACTTTGTGCGTTTCTTGAAGGTCGAATGTCAACCATATTTTGTCGATAGTATAGTACAATAATAAATAACTTTGCAGCCGCCGGTCGCTGTACACTGGTCAACGTGCTAATCAAATGCATTGCTAGGTAAAGAATTAGAGTTGTGTTTGCATCATTCGCATTTGTGTTACCGGAATTTTACATTGTTTTGTTTAGATCCGGAGAGTAGAGAGGGATCTATTGGTTTTACTATGATGTGCGTGTTTTTTTTTTCTTTTTTATATTTTTTGTGTCTGTGAACGACTTTGACAAGAGATCGATTTTGTTCCTTTTAACACGTAGCCACTTAAAAAGAAAGTCGTTTTTCGATATCTTAAGTATTTTACATAATAATTGGGAAAAACTAAAAAAAAGACGAAATTTAATATACGATTATTTTCAAATTACGGCACAACGAGTTCATTATTTTAAATTTTAACGACTTGCGTTTTCTACCATAAATATTGCTACAATAGAAAAACGACAAGAGGCCTTTTTTTTTTATTAATATACAATATAGTTATTGAACAAGGAAGTCTTTTGTTTTTGATTTTCTTTGTTGTTTTTTAATAATTGAGCAAAACCGAAAAAAAATGCATAAAGTACAAAAATAATTATTTTATTATTTTCAAGGTTTTTTTTTTTTTTTAATGTAATATATTTTAATATATTCATAAAGACTTTAAATTTTAACAAAATAACGATAAATCATATTACAAATGAAAACAGAATCTGAACCAAATTCAATTAAACATGTTTTGAATTTACCTACGACTTTTATCAACATTTCAACTAAAGCTTACATCAGTAGTATAGTAAAACCAATAAATATATATTCGTCATCACTACGTTTCTTCTTCTTCTCTTTCATGGCGAAGGAGAGTTATGTATGGCGCATAAATTTAAGTTCTGATTTTGGAATTTTTAAGTATTTTGAAAGAAAATATTTTGTAATACTTGAATGTTTCACAATACTTAACGAATATTATGTGACAAGACCATTTTTGGTTTTTCAAACGATAACCTATATGAAAAATTGTTGAGTTATTCTATTTTAAATACTAAAGGACTGCACGATTTCAAACAAGAAATTGCCTATAGAAAACTTCTATGATCTCCTCCCACAGGGAAAATGGTATTGCCAACTATAAAATGAATTCCGCCATCCTACAGAAACGATAGTAAATGTCTACTGGAATCAATAAGTTGGCTTTCCATCAGTAGGAACTCGGAGCTTTGGATTTGTTAAACACGTAACATTATATGCGTCCTTGAGGTGATTCCTCACGGATGCATATAGTTTGTGTAGTAAATTAACAACTTATTTGTGCATATTTTTATAAGTCGTTTGCGCATAGATTAATTTTCGTGCAACCACTCGTTTGTGCACAGGTTATTTTTAGTGCAATCAATCGTTTGTACATACATTTTTAAAAGGCCGTAATATTTTAACAATACGTTTCGTTAGATAAATATAGTTAAATAAAGTTACATTTGAATGGTTCTGTAGAGCCCGTTTATATAATTTCCATGTTTCTGGACCATTGCTCCAAGAAAAAGCACGAAAAGTTGCAAATGAGATAAGTCTAGAAAATTTTAAAGTTTCAAATGGTTGGCTTCAAAAATTCCGAGAACGTCGTAATATTTCTTTTAAAAATATATGTGGTATATAAGGTATATGAGGTAACTCTGTTGATTCAAGTGTCGTAGAAAATTGGTTCGAAAAATTGAAAATATTAGTTTCAGATTATGAACCAAAAAATATATTTAATTGTGATGAAACAGTTTTATTTTTTCGTGCACTTTCTGATAAAACATTGTGTTTAAAAAACGAAACTTGTAGTGGAGGTAAAATAGCTAAAGATCGTTTAACTGTTTTATTATGTGTAAATATGGTCGGGGAATTTGAAACTCAGTTAATTATTGGAAAGTCATTAAAACCACGTTGTTTCAAAAGTGTGAATGTATCAGCGTTAGGTATTAATTGGAAAGCTAACCGTAAAGCGAGTTAAGATGGATTAAGATTTAATGACAGACTGGCTAATGTGTTTTAACAGAAAAAAGGAAATGGAAAATAAAAAAATTATTCTATCTCTAGATAACGCTAGCTCACATCCTGATACATTAAACTTAAAAAAAAAATAAAACTAATATTCTTACCTCGAAATACAACTTCAATTTGCCAACCACTAGATCAAGGAATAATTAAAAATTTTAAAGTTCATTATCACCAATGATATGTTTTATCTAGAGTGGATCAAAATGTAGAAAACAAATCTATAAACGGTTTTAGATGCAATATTTTGGATAAAATCCGCATTAAAGAATATAGAACCAGAGACAGTCAAAAACTGTTTTAAAAAGTCGGGATTTTTTTCGTCCGATACAGCGGACTGTGTAATGGAACATGACAATGATGCAAATTTACACATATTCTCAGAACTTGTACCGAGTATTGTTGAAATCGAGGACTATATTTCTATAGATAATAATATCCTTACAGAAGATAATACATTAATCATATTAGATATAGTCAATTGTAATCTAGACAATTTTAGTGAAAAAGAAACCAAACAACCCGAAGAAGAAGAAGAAGAATACGAGTTGATATACAATCCAACGTTTGAAGAAGTTTGGAAAATAATTAATAATTTAAAAACATGTTTTAATAATAAAGATGACGAGATCGCATTATCAATGGTAGCCAATTCGCAAATTCATTGTGAAGAGCAGAAAAAATGTACCCAAAAAAAGATTACAGATTTTTATAATTGTACATTAACGTTAAATATTTTTATAAACATTTTTATACACTTTTTAATACATACATATTATACATATATATTATAATGAATGACAAATTAATATTTCAATATATATGTATGTATATGTATAACCAATTTTCTACAGCGTCTCCCTATAGTGGACGTTTAGTAATTTCTCGCAAATGTCCACCATGTGGAGGTTTTCCGAATAGTGGACAACTCCTTATAGCGGACAGTTTTTTATTCCCCGTAGCTGTCCACTATGTAGAGGTTTTACTGTATTTCTTTTCGACGACAGCTGCCATCTAACATTATTTTTTATTGATTTTAATTTAAGTCTAGTTTCAACCATAAATCCTTTATTATCGGCAATACCATTGTTTGCTTGTGTGTAGGTAGGTATACAATAATATTATGCACGCGTGAATATGTAACATATTATTGTGTATTGTAAGTTATCTTACAATATTTTGTGCACAAACGAGTTCCAGGTTTTAACCGAGACATTTTTAAACGTGCGCAAACTAATTGTAGTCATTCCCCATCGCTACGTTCAGAATCTAAAAGTTTTATTATTTTTTTAAAAAAAAAATCCTACACGAATTTGTGTTCCATACTATACAGACAAATAATAAAAAGTGCCCAACATCAGGATCGCAAGTGTATACTGTCGAACAGAGAATAACGTAACAATTATTAAACTGAGATGTTGAGATTTTATTAAACCACGTCCGTATACTTATATTATTATTATAATATGAACCGGAAAAAATATTAGAGACATAATATCAAACAAAATAAATAAGAGACATTAATTATAAAACTGCATTTACACCCGAATACTCGTGTACGTATGCGCGTACATAATGTGTGTGCTACGGATACAAGGTTTATCAAAAGAAAAAAAATAAATCTTTTTAAGTTAATTTAATATACATCCGGTAAAACCGGAATGACGAGTCGGCAGCACGTAAAAACTATTATAAATCGCGTATGTATCTACTATAGACTTACCGATTTACACATAATACAATAAAACAACATCATAGTAGGGAGGCGAATAAACAACATACTTTTTTTTTTTTTTTCTCTTTTAAAAACATTTAAACGCCAGCCGAATAGTATTCCATTATTATACATAGCCGCATACGCACGTACGCGGTATTCTAGCGGTTTTCGGCAGTTTCACAAAACCGCAGAGGAAGTCGTCGGGACATTGCAGTCGGTTTTGAAATTCGTCGTGGTCGACGCCGGTCGCAAAGGCGAACCAACTTATCACGACCCATCCGAGTAACAATAGTACAATTGGTAAATAATAGTTTTTATCATTGTACAACATCGCAATACCATGGTTATGACGTCAAAATTTACGGATGCCGTACAATGCGGTATCGTGTGCGTCGTGGTCGCGGCAATCGTAAACGCGGCTCCGTCGTCGAAATTGCGTAAGTATAACGTGTACGTATCTAATATTTTATATAGTTTTTGCAGCATAAAAAAAAAAAATACGTTCATACAGGAATCATACATATGCTTTCATTAATTTAACTATTTTTTAGAGGAATGCAATTATTTTCGGCGAATTCGTTTATTTTATGTTAAAACGTGAACGCAAATCATCGGTTTCAAATAAATATATCTCAAGTCCTATTTAAAAAAAAAAAACCTATATCCGAATCACTGTAATGTGAAGGAGGTTAGACGAAATAATAAAAATAATAATCATATTAATGGTCAGATATTTTCGTGCCATCGTACGAAGTAAACTTTTTTAAATTTTCTTACTTCAAAAGCTCCGGGTTTTCAAAAATATCTTCTTCGTTTTGTTTTCATTTAAGAAAAAAAAATAGTTTAAATATTTTAGTAGGTTTTATTAAAACCTACTATAACAATTAATAATCCTTATCGGGAAGAATGGAGAGTTGCAACAAACCAGCCCCACGGCTGCTAACTAAAAAAAAAATATTCATATATAATTACAACTAACGTTTACATTATATTTTAAATTTGAACGCATGTTAATTTTATTAATATATTACGCTTCATGAAATTAATTTTTTTTAGTAAATTAAGTTTTATATATTATAAAGAAAGTACTATTAAAACGCGCGTACAAAGAATATTGAAACGTTAAATTAAAATTGTTTTCGAATATTCGAAATACTCCGTTAAGTGCTCATCTAGTATAATATTTTACCTGACAACATAATTCAATTTAAAATTTGCAATTTATTATTTTTTCCCATTCTTAATATTTAACATCATCCCGTGACCTATATTACAAAGCTCGCGAACAAGCTTTTGTTAACAATTAGTTTAATATTTTGTTTTACAGTTTTTTAGTGCATATATTGTATATAATATTACACAAACGGCCCTTGACAGAGTACAATTTACCGCGGTACATCAAAATGGAACATTTGTATCTAGCTATCTACTATAAAAATTAATAACTCTTCATGCCTAAATAATAAAATATCGCCGACTTTAATAGTGGATTTCTGTAGGTACAACATTAAAATGGTCAGAAAATACATAATTTTTTGAATAGTAAAAGCTATGAGATTTTTTTTTTTTTTTCGAAAAGAAGGAGTAATACTATTTTTATTCTTATTAATTTTTTTGTGAAACATCGTATCGATTCCCTAATAAATAACCAGTAATAAGCATACATATATACCGGATACTTTTTTTTCATTTTGGCGCAACGACCTTGATCTTTGTTGTACATATATAACATAATATAGTAATTATACATACTACGGAAGCGGAACTTGGAGAAAAAAAAATGTAATATATTCAATGACATCGGATTATTATTAACGACGTCCGTCCGGCTAACAACTCGTAGGCTGTATTCTTGAAAATCTGTTTTTATTAACATCAAAAAATGACTTTCAAAAATTACAAGCGCCTCGTGCAATGGCCGTGTGATCTATACACACACAAACACTGAAGGTTTCTGAGGATATTTCTCGTCTAAAGTATCCGTATACAATAATTATTAAGTATTAAAATGTCTATATTGTAATTGAATAAATTACGGTGTACCTATGGTACCTATATCGACAGTTCAATTTGTGCGAGTCGTAATTTAAAAACTACATTAGGTTAAAGGAGCAAAAAATCAATAACCGTCGACCTTTGTATGTACGTCCTAGTTCAAGATATTAATTTAAACTTTTAAGTACATGTAAAAACAAGACATCAATCTTGATTAAGTACACAGACGTAATAAAATATTATTCGGTACAAATTAAATTCATGAAACTCGTCGGATTTAAACCAAAAATGTGTATCGTTATTGCATATAGTATTAAATGGTCGCTTATCACATATCAATTATCACTTACATAATATATATATTTTTTAATAAAATCCGCCTTCTTTAAACAACACTAGGATCCGGCACTCCCTATAAAAGTAAAAAAAAAAATGTTTCAAATTTATAATATTTGCTTCGAATTATTATGTTCGATTAATGATTATTTATTTTATTTACCTCGCGTATTTTGAATTTTCTAGAGTACATATCTACTTTAATTATGTTATTATAATGTTGTATGCACGTTACACATATTTTACTATACATAGGTAAATTTTTAATTGCATGTAAAATTCCACGAGGCGTTAAACTATAACAAACAAAATTTTATAAAATGTTGTTTACATTTTTTTGTTGCTGTTGTTGTTGATGTTATTTTTGATTAATACAACGATAAAATATTACATTTCTCGTGAAATCTATGCGTAAATCACAAAAACAAATTTAACGCTGTTCGTTATTTCATAAACTGTAAAATACGATAGCGTTATAATTGTATGTAGCTATACATTTTATTTTATTTGCAATTTGTATTCTTTTTCGTTTAATAATTAAAAAATACAAATTATTTTTACAAAATAATAGACTAAAATAAAATTGTAGTTACTCAAAAATTTGTCGTAGCCCAATCAGTATTAAAATTTGTGAAGGGATACAGTGATTTGGATCTCCTCAACATTTTTTTTTTGTGTTCCTTACTAATTATTTTTAATTGGGAATGGAAGGACGTACCGTTACTTTTGTGAAAAAAAAAAAAAATGATAATTAAAAAAGTAAAAACGGCACAAGTTGGATGCGTCACTCATCTTTTTTTTTTTTTTTTTATTAATACTTGATTTCGTCTATCCGCGGTTTTGTAATAGTTTTGTAATAATTTAAATTTGTGTTATCGCCCAGTAAATTAGATTAACGTAGATGAATGTGACAATAACCCAACGTCTTGAAAATTTTAGAAAATTACACTATTTAAGAATAAAATAAAAATGAGTGGCCATAGTATCTAACAGAGATACCAGTCATAGGTGGTATAGCTTTGATCACGAAGTCACATTGTGACTACGGTACATTTATTTATTTATTTATTTTATATCATGCGGAGTAAATTCCATTTACAGAAAGACATTACAGCAGCAAAACGTATGCTATATTGTTATACTTAAGTGCCTATACTAAATTAAAACAGTGCAATAATTAATATATAAATAACAATAAAACATAACCAACAAACATATAAAAATAATCCACATATTGGTTTATCAATCAATTACATAAACACGCCTAATAATTAAATAATATTAAAAATCCTTAACTTTAACAATGAAACACGTACTATTTAGAGACCTTAACTAATATATTTAGGTACTTAATAATCAAAATTATTATGACAATTAGTATAATATGAAAGACAATGTTTATACATTTAGCGCCTAGTTTATATCATTTGTTGAGTAACAAAATAAATCTAAATTAATACTATTTCCGGCTATCATTAAAGTATTAGCTGGGGAAGAAAATTAATATTTGACTTTAACATTATTAATAAAAAAATAAGTGTTTATTTCTTGTGTTTTTATAATTAATTTTAAAATTTATTGTATTATATATTAATTTATAAAAGAATATTATATTGAAGTACTGTCTTCGAGTTTTTAGAGTCGAAACATTGAAAAAACCTAAGACACCATCATAAGATTAATGGAAGGCCTCTGAATATTACATTTATAAGAAATGAAACGTAAAAAATTGTAATTTATTTTTTTATTTAATATTTATCGTTTAGTAATATATTTTTTTTCGGTATTGAACTTTTGCCCTGTGTTAATATAGTCATTTATTTAATCAAAATCTAAAGTTAAACATTATAATATAAAAAAAGACGGACATACGTTATTCGCATTATGGGTGGGCCACTATTATAGGTGAGAAGTTGGGAAGGAAGAATATAGAAGGGAATTTAATTAATATAAATACGCAACGGTTAAACCTTTCTAACGAAAAATAATTCTGAGCGGAATTCAGTTATCCATGTTTTAAAAGGCCATAATATTTATGATTTTCGTCAAAAATTGATACTAAAATTTTTATAAAAAAATTCTACATTACACTCAATATAAACTCATAATAAACCTTCTGTTAAATTTTCAAATATTTTTGTTCAGCCAAACAATTATATTCACAGAAAACCTATCAAAGAAAATTTACATACAAAACTCGCAAAATTAAAATGTCTATAAATAGCTTAAAAAGGCTAAATTGTTTAGAAAATTTTACCACGTATACAAAAGGATAATTTGTATGCTCTGTCCAAATTTAAAGTCTCTACGATTATTATTAACTGAATTACAACAAAAATAAAAAAATCGAATACATTACATTTCGTAAATTTTCCCGTTATTTTGCATTTTCTCTGGTTTTCCCCATTTATTAGGAAAATTTCTTAGAAAATCAAAAAGTGACCTTCTTAAAGTACCACGCAGATAAAATTCCCTTGCAGAAAAGGCCCTACACTTAAAAATAAGAGCAACATTTCTGGTAGAAGAGTTGTTTATAGAAATAAAAAAAAAAACATCACTGTAAAACCAATACATTCCTCGCTTCGCTCAGAATCTAATAAACGTAATGTTTACATAAACAAAATCTTTGCCTACAAGAGAAGTATTGGTTACATGGGCATATTTATGAGGGGATATGGGGGAAAGATCCCCCATGACCTTTTTTCTTTTCAGTGACAAATAACGGGTATAAGTATTGAAGTATTGTTACCTACCTATAGGTTACAATACAATATATTGTTATTTCACAAACTGTCATTATTACTTATTATCTTTTTTTGTTTCACAGCAGTTGGTATATTACTAAAACGTACATGGCCTCGGCACTACGTGTAAAATAAGGCAATACCATTGGCTAATTTAAAATAGGTGATTTGCCGCCTTTTCAATAATGATAACAAAATTGATTTGAAATAACTGATATTCACTGAAACTTATGTTGAAAAACAACTAATTAAAATTAATTAATTGAAAAATAAGAAGTGAAACAATTTCGCCTATTGTAATTTATTTAAAATCACATAAACAAAATAATTTTTACAAAAGGTATTATTTTGGATTATCATTTCATACATTTTTTTATAGGTAACAATTAAAAATTAAACCGTTCGATTTATATTCATATCACTAATCATGCTATTCCTAATAGGCAATACTAACACTTTAACATTCTAATAATTAAAATCTTATATTTACAATATATGTGTATAATTGTCTATGGTATATGACCTAATAATACCATAATGATACTTAATCAATAGCTATTGATCAGACGATCGATATTCTAGATTAAAAACTAAACCTTTTCTTTAAACCAATATTCAACTAAACGAATATAGCATTCCCTATGGACAAAGTTGTGTTCTTTAATTTTCATCGTATATTGTTTTACGCTAAATCATACTCATTTCAAGATAAACTAATTTTACAAAGATTTTGTGTTCAAAAACATTCGTGCTGTCATCCGTTTTAATATTGTTTCAGCGAGTGGTTTTATTCGATGTAGTAAAACCGATCCTAATCTCGGTGAATGTTTACGGGATGGCCTTCAAAAGGCTATTCCTCATTTGGCAGAAGGTAATTATTTAATATAAATACCCGACGGTGTCTTTTTAATATTGGATTTTGACACCGTACTTAGGTATATCGCTATATTTAAATTTGTACACCTCATATTTTTAGGAATTCCGAGTTTAGGTATAGTTAAAATTGATCCGTTGCGAATTTTATCACTGAAAATAAATCAAGGAAAAGGGCCAGTTAACATTAACATGAGTTTTACAAATATTGATATAATCAATTTGAAATATGTGCAGGCAAAAAAAGTTGTGTGAGTTGATTTTACTATTTCGATAAAAAATATTCGTCTATTAACTTAATTATGTAATTTATTAGATATGATGTCAAAAATTATCATCTTCATTTCGAGACGTTCGTTCCGAAGTCAATAATTATGGAAGGGGACTACGAAATAAATGGGCAAGTCTTGGTCCTTCCAGTTGTGGGCAAAGGAAAATGCAAATTTACTTTGGGCAAGTTTAATAGAACTAATAACTTTCCAACTAAATGTACTAATTTGAAGTATTTATAACTTGTTATTGTTTTTCGTTTAGATGTTTCAAAATATAGCGGGGATGTGCAGTTGAAACCGGTGGTAAAAAAAGGAACCACTTATTATGAAATCGCCAACGTAAAATGGACGTTTGTACCGACATTATTGCATATACGAATGGACAATTTATTTAACGGAAACAAAGAATTGAGTATGTTTGATTTGTTAAAATCATAGATACACATATAACGTATACCTACAGTTTATATAAAACAACTAGATCTAGATAGCCGACTGTATTTATCAAGTCTATAACCAATTACCATGGTAATAGAGTCCCTTAAGATATATGAACTTAACAGCCATATGCTAACAGGGTAAATTGTATTTTATTAACCCATAAATATTTATTTTCATATCCGTATAGAGATTTGTTTATGCCATGAATTATATTATGCGATAATAAAGAAATTGTAAGTTTTTCCATATTATCACATAATAACCGTAACATAAACAAATATTGCATCGGTTAATCGTGGACTAATGCCATTTGCCCTCTTGGTATAACGATGGCTGCTAATTTACATTTACTCATCAAATTGTTTGCGAGTAAATCATTTTTGAATTCTCTTTCTTTTAGTTTTTATCCGTAAGTTTTTACCAGATATTCACGCTGGCTGTTTTCTCCTTGACTACCGCTATTCTGAAGAGTCCAATCGATGTCTTGTTATAAAATGTCCTTAGATTTTGCACCCATGATATTCGTAGGTAACCAGGACCTCTTCTTTCATTAATTCGTCCTTGAATAATGGACTGCCATTAAATGTATTTTGTTACATTTCTCAAAATATGTTCAATATATTCTAGTTTACAGGTTTTAATGGTAATGATAAACTCTTTATCTATATTCATCCTTCGGAGTACTTCTTGGTTGGTTATGTGTTATGTCCATGATATGTAGAGTATTCTTCTTAAAATTTTCATTTCAAAATGCATTATTATGATGCATGTGTAATTATTTTACCATAATATGACATATATATTTTTGAAAAAATAACACTATCAACCAAACTCAACTCAGAATCGTTTTTCGTTAGCAATAGGTAACCGATGCGTACAGATGTACACTAAATTTCCCCGTTACCTTCTTAACCTCTCACCTACAACAGTGGCTCATACACGTGCGAAATATGTCCGTCTTTTTTTTTTTTAGTTTAAGATTTTTCTCCATTGACTCTGATTGTTACAGCTTGATTCCAGTAAAAGTTGTATGCGATCGTCATGTCATCTCTTTCGTCTATTTCACATGCCTTGAGAATTTACACTAGTTTTTGGTGTTGAATTCCATTAAAAACTTTTTGATAATCTATCAGACAGACGTATTATTCAATTAATCGCCATTTATTATGACAGGTGACAATATGAACTTGTTTCTAAATGAAAATTGGCGAGAACTTTTACAAGAATTACAACCAGCTTTTGAAGAAGTCCTGGGCGTTGCCTTCGGTGAAATCGGTAAACAATTTCTCGACCGTGTTCCTGAAAACGAAATTTTTCTTTCTTAAACGTTAAGGTTCGATTTGTTTTGTTTTATTCGTTATATAAGTAGTTAACAATAATATTTAATTTAATAATAAATAATAAATTTGATAATATTAGTTACGTTTGATTTAACTTTTAAAAATGTTGTATGATTATACGAATGATAAACTATAAAACTTATACCGACCTAATTGTAAATTCTAAAACTAATCACTTGCGTACAACTTTTTAAAATTTTAAGTGCTGTGTTGTTACTTATTATTAGTTTACAAATCCCATTTTCGACTTAATGTTCCAATAGATATATATTTTAATACCCATAAAATGTGCCTCCTCCTGTTAGTAAAACAATATAGCCACTAATGATTTTGTTATCTATAGCTTATTATTTTACAAAATAATAATTATATTATTGTTATAGTTTTTAATTATTTTCTAATTAGTATAAATACCTATTATGTATTTGATATATGAAATTATTATGAACATATTTTGTTACTACATTATATTGGATATGTGTCCGCAAGGAATTTATAATAATTTATCAACTGATTTGATATATTTTCACTGTTTACTGTAGATATACTCAGAAAGGTTAATTTTATATTTCCTCCGGTTATCACATTATTGTACGTCCTATTTTTAGCGTTGCAATATTTTTCACGTGCATGTCTCTATCTCCAAGATTGTTGAATTACTATTTTCCCATAAATTTCAATTATTCGAATTTGAGCATTTCACCAGCTCCACCCTTTTCAATTTTTAGAAACTCTTTAACATCCAATTAGCAAGCATTTGCAAGCCCGAACCGCCACTGGAAGTAAATGTGATTGAAAACGTTTCATGCCGTAAAATATTATTATTGTCAATAACCATTCGGCTATAACCACGGCTCTAATGATACGCGTTTGATTGCTAGCTCGTGGATTCGTGTTATTATAGTGGACTTAATAGATTAGCACTACTGTTGTGTCATCGAAGTAGGTATTGAAATTTCTTCAGAAGAGAACATTGATGAACTTTGTTAACAGGTAATTAGATTTTCATCATTTTTTTTCATACCACACGTTACTACAATGTGTTAATGCGTGATAGGTTCTATCACGTGACCTATCACGTATTGAAGATGGATGATAGGTTTATACTTGGTTGTTTTATTATTACGTGCTTGTCTGAAAATAAAAATACACGGTACCAACTTAATATTATTATTTTTTTATCATACAATTTGTCAGACAGTGGCACATCCATAAGTAGTAACAGATTTTTGCATATACCTATTTAAACGGATACTATATAATATTGTATTGGTTCAATACTAAAACGTAGTATAACTGTTTAAAATGATTGAGTCACTAAAGAAAAAAATTAGTTTAATTTAATTTATTTTATTAATTTATTTTTTCATTGTATAAAATAGGTCTAAGGCTCAGGGAATAATTTGACACGAACCTAAAATCATGTACTTTCTATATTATCAATACGTTTTTATTTTATGTTATAATTGGAATATTATGAAGAACCAGAATACTATTTTTTTTTATTTTTTGTTACTCCCGTTGGATAAAGGATTGTGTTTTGATTTAATATTTTGATGTATAATAAAAAAAATATTCAACATAGGTAATCAAACAAATGTCATTTCTTGTGTTTATCTTGAACTGCTCCAGTTGAGCTTGAAAGTCCAGTTTTCAACTCTTAGGTTTTCCAAATTTTCTTCTACCACGTCAATTAAATTTTTTCTGGGTTTCCTATAGTTCTTTTTCTTTATAGCGATGTATTGTTAGGCAACACCATAGCTGCCCTCAGTGTCTTGTCTTTACTTCTCATTATTATTATGCAGGCGTGGCCTAACCATTGAATCCTGTGTCCCTTATATAATTTATTACTAATGTTAATTTCATCATATCGCACAGCTCTTATTGTATCTCCTTCGCCAATTTCCCGTAGTCAGGTGGTCTTATCGATGTAGATCCACCTCTATACATTTTTCTCCAGTTATTATACTCAAATGTTCTTAGGCTTCTGTGTCTTCGGAATACAAAAAAAAAAAAAAAAAAAAAAAAAATGGTTTTTAGCATACAAATCGGTGGTGGTAGATTATGCCTTTCCATTATTTCATGACTATGTATTTTTAAAAATATTTATTAGAAATCACTACACTAACCATTTAATAAAAAAAAAAAAATTTTTATTTTTTGTAGTATCTATATTCTATACTACAAATAGGTATCGTAATATTTGAAACCATTATTTTTTTTACCCCGTATAGTGTATTAGTGTTTAATATAATATATAAACCAAAAACCGTTGGACGTTGAAAACTGCTGTAAATCCTGCGTAGCTGTTTTATTTTAGATGGGTAATATAATTGTTTCTACCGATTCGCATAAATCTTGAAACGCGTCTTAATTATATAGCCGACCAAAAATAATGTACGTAGGTATAATATTGTTTGCTGACTAAAATTTTTTTTTTTTTTAAACTGCGGTTTAGTCGTTAAGCAATTTACATTTTTGAACGAATTAGGTATAGCAACACAAAACATGGAAATACTTAAAGAAAATATCATTAAAATATCATTACGCGTATAATAGGTACCCACACATAATATAGGTACTTCAAGTTTATTACACGATCAAAGTAAAAACTGCGAGCCCGTCGTTATATTATTATTATTGTAAGCGACTAAAATTAACGAGGTAACATAAAAGTGATAAGTGAGCACATAATTTATCGTTATGTTAAATTCATTTTTAGATTCTGAGCTTGTAGTGAAAAAGCTAATAATTTTACAATGATGTGTTATTTTTCTCTGAAAACATTTTTTTGGTTATAATAAAAAAGATTTTTTAACTCGATAACACTATTTGGACAAATTTACGAAATTCCCATTATATTTTCGACAAAATTGAAAAATTTAAAATACAAATGCCGGTGCATTAGTTACATTTTTATTAATTTCTAGGTTATCATGGCTAGCAAAAACACTACTATCAATACTACCGAATATTAACAAATTCCATTCAGATTTGTTTTTTTATTGTAATGATTTATTGTTGCTTCAGTATATAAACTAAATTACTGGATATCCTATACGTTCAAAATTGTCCACCATTATAATAACGGCCTAATAATCACATACATATTACACATACACATACATTTTATTCTATGATATTCTATAATAGGTAAATGATTTATAGGTATTTCATGGAATGATAAAAATTGTTTATGAGGAAATTATATTGTTTATACACGTAATTTATGTAATTGCAATAAAAAAAAAATGAAAAAAAAATAAATAACTAATTGCGTAACGAAAAAATTCCATAATGATTGGAAAAAAAAAATAAGGAAATCAAATATTATATTCATTTCTTAAAACTTGCAATAAACACAACAAAAAAAAAAAAAAACATATCTCGCGGATTAAGGAAAGACTTCGTACCTGGCTGGAATAATGAATGCGAGACGCTGTACACCTCTTTTAAACAATCTGGCCAAAACGATGATGCAAAGAAAACTATTGAGGCTTTAGATAATTAGCAACGAGAGAGATGGATAACGATGGCAGAAAACTCAGATTTCAAACATTCTAGCCGTAAGGTATCTTCGCAGACTCGGATCCAACGGATCCTCAAATGTACTTACGTAATTTACCCAGTATTTTATATTATAATTTTAATCAGTTAATTAAATTCAACTTCAATTTTAATCGTGTTTACAAAGTTTACTATTGTAGATTCTGAGTGTAGCGAAGAAGTTTATGGTTTTACAAAGATGTTTATTTTTTTTTTTTCTGTGGACATCTTTTTTACCAGAGATCTTGCTCCGATTTTTAAGTATAGCAATTTTTCTAAAATGAAATCTGATTGGGAAGGTACTTTAGGGATATCATTTTTCAATTTTCTCAGAAGTTTTCTCGATAAATGTGAAAAACCGGGAAAATTGGAACAACATTAAACAAATATTATTAAAGAAAATATAATTTGACATATATATTATTAACAAAGCATCATTATTACCGCTCGGAATCGGTTTTTCGTTAGCAATAGTTTATTAGCAATATATTTTTTTTAGACTGTCTTTAAAATACTTTTAAGTTAATCTATTATGCATTTTTATTTTCAGATTTACAAAATTGGTTAATAAATTGGGAGTGGGTTTATGGTCTTCCCTGGGTACGCAATTGAATTTGACGGATTTCGATCTTTCGGATCACGCTAGTTTATTGAACTCTGTACCATCGAATTAATTTTAGTTTTCGTTTATTAGAGTACAGCTTTTTATAACCTCAACGGGCCACTATTGTCATAATATTGTTTAACGTCCCAAAAATGTTTTTTGAAAACATAACGCGTATCTATATATTCAAAATGTCGTATACATAATTAAACTTTTTAACTATTTTACCTATCTTTTATAGGTAGTATTGTTTTCAAGTAGGTACTAAAATAATGTTTTTAAATTTCCGTTGACCGAATCCGGTTATCGCGTATTTTTCGTTTTCTGCACGATTTCACAAAATAAATGAATAAATTATTGTGTTATATCTAAATAACACGCACATATATAGGAAAAACTATAACACATAGCTTGTAGTTGTACAACAAAACAAATAAATTCGATATTCTTTACGTCACATAGGTACTTGCGTTGCAAAAGAAATATCAATAATAGGTAGCTTCTTACGTATTTCTACATACCTAGACTGAAATTATTTTGTTTTTCTCGCGTCGTAATTGAAAATTGATATCTACGATAGCAATGCGGTAATAAAACATAAATAATTGAAATATTTGCCCATCGCTCACGTCTTCGGTGTATATATTTTTACTTTTTTTTTTTTTTGTAGAGCTATTGTATTACTGTCATTTAAACAGTTTATTATTCTTCCTTCTCATACTTGTAATTATTCGGATATTTATAACACTGATGCGGTACACTCGAAAGTGATAATTTTTCGATATTTTATGCGATTATCTAGTACCTAAACCTACCGATTCCTAATGGGTAGTAATGAACAAAACCAAAAGTGAATTTAAAATTTGGAGATGTAAAAATCAAACAAAAATTAAATCACACGATTTTATAGGCATATTTATTGTAAAAATTATTTTTTATAAATACATTTTTTATCAATTACACGTGTTTAATGAAATATTTGTTCTACTGTGAGAAGGTATAGGTTTCCGAAATTGACAAAACTATATTTGAAATGCTTGATTATTATTTTAATATAATTTACTGGAAGTGTCCGAGTCGCGGTCGCAATAGACGAATTGCGGTCGAGTGAGACCCTTTGCGATCAAAATCGTACTTTTCTTACCTTCTCTTTTTGGCCGGTTCATTTTTCGGCCAAAACAATACTAACTTACTAAGCATGTCATACATATTGAAAAGTATAAAATATTCAAAACAAAAGTTTAATTTATTTCACATATACCTAAAAAAGATTTGTTTATGTATTTTAATGTTAACATGTTATACACACCTACTTATAATTAAAAAAAAATGTTAAAAAAAAAAAAAAAAAAATAAATAGTTTGTTTGAATTTGTTAGTAAGTCAGGTTCACAACATTTTCAAATTATACCTAAAAATACAACTGCTATATAAGGTAAAGTGAACTAATCGGCTGAAAAGCGGAGGGTACGGTTTTGGTCGAAAACGATTATGCTCTTGCGTTCGGGATCAAAACAGGTTAAAAAAAATAATAATCTGAGTTGCGATCGGATTATCTTAATTAGGTATGTTTTTGAATCATAGTGAACCATAGAATACTAACATTTTTATAAGTTACATTTAAAATACTACAACTGTTAAAATAGCTACATAGTATAATATAGTTAATTAAGTTATCAAATAGTAATATAATATTATTGAATATAAAGTGTAGCTAAATTCAAAACTAAGAACCGATCGCCATATCCCAGCGTATTTTAATTTATAAAGTGCGTCAAAAACATCCAGTTTGATACATATGTCAAAATCAATTCGGTAATTTGGAAACTAAAAAAATGTTTGAGAGTCTTAGTCAGAAATTTATTAAAAATAAAATCAAACGATATTTGGAAAAACAAATTGATTCGCAGTTATTTGTTGAAATGTTTATCATAGAAATTACCATGTATGACTCGGTTAAATCACGAGTATAATTATTGTAAATACTTATATAATTTTTATTATTATTTTATTTGTACTTATTTTAACTATATTTTAATGTGTAACTATCATAATAATTGTAAGTTACAAACTTATACAAATTTGTGTACACTATGATTTAAAAACATACCTAATCAACATAATCCGACCGCAAATTTGTTTTACCTTTTTTAATCCCGACCGCTTAGTTCAATCAATTTATTTTCCTGTGATGTTTTTTTGTATAGATCTACTAAAATAGTACTGTTTCCCAGTATCCCTATTTGATGGTCCTATCACCAATGATGGGTTAGGACCCCAAACTCAAAATGGGATGAATTCCAATTATTAATTCAAATTTGTATGAATTATGTTTTTTAACAGAAATCTTATTCAAAAAATAACTAAGGACACTTTTAGTTGAATTTTAGATCTAGTCGGTGATTAAGAATGTCGTTTATGGATTTCCCTATACATTTTCATAATAATTGGGAAAAACCTGAAAAAAAAACCAGACAAATTTACATTATTAACAATTTTCTTATTTTTAATTTTTTCTACCTCAAATATTGTTCTAAATTTCAAGATAATCATTTTTTCTGAGAGAAAATTATGAATTATTGGTGAATAATGTACTTGTTTTTCAATATTTCGTGTAGTATTCTTAATAATTGAGCAAAAAAAGTAAGAAAAACAGGAAAGTTTAGGGAAATAGTGGTTTCGTTCTTATTCTGTTAAATATATTCTTGGTAACCCGAAATTTTCACAGGATACTTACATTGATCTAGATGTAGTTAAATTTCCAAAACATATTCTCATTTTTGAGCTATTTATTTTTGAGGTATTTTGCAATTTCGAGTTTTATGTGAATACAATTTTTGATCAAACAGAAATATTTGAAAATTTTACACTAGGTTTATTATAATCTGTACATAGTTTTTAAAAGTGCATTGAACTAGGTTTTTTTTTACAAGCGTTTTAAAAACAAATCTTGACAAAAATCGTAAATATTACGGTATTTCAAAACATGTATAATCGTACTTCAATCAGAATCGTATTTAGTTAGAAATGATTGATCATTGCTTATAGGTATAAGTTAAATAACTTTATGATATTTATCTTAACTTCTCAAATTTTTACCTGCAATAGTGGTACATCCATAAGCAATATCAGCTCTTTAATTTAACCAGGCATATACTTTAGGAGATTTCCAAAATAATTAATACACAGAACGAATTAAGCAATAAACGTTTATTGTTTAATATGTATGGTAAATTACATTTTTTTTAAATTTCTAACCTTGAAGAACTGCAGATAATGAGGGAATAATAGTAATTCCATTATTGGCCTTATAAGTTGCAATTTGTTTAAATTATTTATTTGTTTTTTTAAAAATGAAGTACTAGTTTGACAAGTTTATAAAATAAACATTTTAAAGAGCGTTCTGGTGTATTTACAGGAACAAAAAAGTAGGGGGTCATGATGATTATGATACAGGTAGGTACCTACCTTCCATTTTCAAGAACTAGTCTAATAACCGAGCGTTTTTTGTTTGTATATATTGTTTTAAAAATCACGGAGCGCATGCAGTCAAATAACGTTCATTGGAGTCTACATTTTTTAAAAATCTTCTCAGTGTTGTCCAGTCAAAATAGTCGAATTTGTCCGGAATCGTATAAGCAACACAGTACTCGTTTATATCTACCATGAAAGCCATAATATTATGTAGTCTCGTGTACGTTATTTTCACGATCGTCGGTACTGAAGCGGCTAAATTGCGTATGTATAACAGTATAATATTAACATGTAATAACTGCAATAGTAATATTGTTATAATAATGTATGTTATACAAACGATATTGAATAATCATTAATGAATAATAATAGGTTATACTACAATTTGGATTAATCAAATCTAAAAATGTTTATATTATCATCGGTACACCGAGTGCTTGAAAACAGTGAAGAGCAGATTTTTTTTTTTTTATGTTCAAATTATTTTAAAATATTATGCATGAAAATAATCAGAAAATATACATTTTTATACTGTGGTTTCTGGTAAATTAGTACATTTTGTCTAGTTTGTGTATTCAAATCATATTTAAGATTTTCTTAACGGTTAGGAAAAACTTCGGAAATGGGAATGTTAACGCAATCACGATTTCTGTTAATTTCAATTATGTTTTAGATTCTGCGCGCAAAAAAAAAAATAAATATTGCTTCTAATATGTGTGCAATATTTTTAATCTGTTAACCACTTTTCTATCAAAAATCACTTACTAACCAAAAAATAACAAAGAAGTCATTTTTGGAGAATTCTGGATCTAGTAGGTGTATTGAGTAGTATATTTTTTAATTTTCTAATTAGTTTTTCTAGTAATTTTGAAAAACGGACAAATTTAGGTGTTATTACCGTAAACTTAAATATAAATAGTAATATTTAAGTATTTTAGATTTTGTATTTTTTTTTTTTGTGATTAGTTTTCCATTGCCGTAGTAAAAGTCTGATGATTATTGAGCTCTTTATTAGCATTTTCGAGTTTTTTTTCTTATCTGTATATAACGCTAAATCAACATTGACAAAATACTATTTAGATCATAATTGGATTTAAAATATTTTTAAATGCCAACATTTTTACGATTTTTGTCAAAATGTTTAATTTAAACTACTTATAAAAAGAAACTAGGTACTTAGGTACTTATGATGAACTCTTTTTTCACCACTAATTACAATTTATGTCTCGTCAAACAAATTTATTCTAACGAAAATAAATAAAACTAACAACTAGAAAATGTCAAATACCTATAAATAGCTTAAAAATCCCCAGAATATTATGAAAATCGTTACAAGTTTAGAAAAGAAAAATATAAGAATTTGGTGAAAATCTCTAATGTTTACAATTATCTACAACAAAAAACTAAAATCGTTAATACTGTACATTTTCCCACATTTTTTTTCCCCATTTATAAAGAAAACTATAATGACGCCACAATGCTCAATCTATATCGAAAATGGTACCAATTTTCTTGTCGTATTCTGATTAGAACATTATTTCTGATAAAAAAATATTGTCCACGCGCACACACACAAATAAGCTCACATCATAGACATACTAATACATTAATTGTTCCACACAGAGTATAAAAAAATGCGGTTTATGGTCACATTCCTGTCTGATATTTCCCCATTGGACATATCCTCGTCTAATTAACGTTAATACCTTACAGTTTACTATAGGTATAACTCTTATAAGGTTAGGACCCTCACACTTATTTCCAGGCCTGGAACATGTAACTATATATAGGTAAAAAATTTTAAAATTTGTTTTTCTTAAACTAAAACTGCCAGTATTTCACTATTTATTTTTTTAAATCAATTTCCGTCTGACATTTCTCTAATGATTTTCAATATACTTAAGTTATTTATGTTCTATCAGTATTTATTATTTGTTGATATCATGTTCGTAAGGCCAGCACCATTACCTCGTGCTACAGACTTCAAACCTGTGCCATTATTTTGCAAATAATTTGCTAAAATTTGATTATTCTCGAAAAAAACGGGATTTCTCTTAGCGGTAATTTTACAATTATACAGATTGATATTATTTCAGCATACATGACCGAAAAAACAAAATAAGCTTACCATACAATTATATTAAATAAACAAATATAATGATATATTTAATTCTAATTTTTATATCATGGTCAAATATGAATATTTGTTCTAAAAATGTCTGTATTTTCCTATTTATATAGTTTACAATAAATAAGTCGAGAGACCACTGAAGATTTACGTATTTATTGTTTGTACAAGGTATTAATTGGACGGGGAAACGTCCGACGGAGAAATAAACCAGACCGGGAAATGGGGACGGGTATATGACATGCTACCAAAAATTCACATCATAGTAAAACTGAAACATTTTTCAATGCAATCAGAATCTAAAAGTTCAGCGTAATGACATTTTTTTTTATGAGTTTAAATTTTGACGAAATAGTTAAACTAATTTAACTTCGCTTAGAATCATATTTTGTTAGTAATGATATCGATGCGCAGAGATATAAATTAAAAATTATTATAATATGTTGAAAAAAGGTAGCATATTATATTATCTTTTCCCAAATACTCATCTGTAACAGTGGTACACTTACAGTGCGATGTATGTTCCTTTAATTTTTTTTTTGAAAATCGTTTTTTCGGACAAATTTTATAAATGTAGAACTGTCGTGATTTGTTTGATAGGTAAAAAGAAACACTTAAAAGAACTGCTGTTATTTACTACAATCTCCTAAAAAAAAAATTCCACGTTGTAATAATTCATACTTTTGATAAAATATAGAAAAAAACAATTAAATGAAATTCTATATCGTAGTAAAATATTGTTAAATTGTATTACCTATATTATTTGCATAGCAAAAGGTTTTATACAATGCAGGAAAAGCGATCCGAATATAGACGAATGTTTAAGGAGCGCATTTCAAGCCACTGTTCCTCATTTGGTAAAAGGTAAGAATAAATAAGTTAACACTAAGACCGTATTATAAATGTATAAGAATCTAATCATTTTTATAATATTAAACTTATTTAGGCGTTCCGAATATGGGTATAGTTCCATCGGATCCATACAAAATCACGGAGCTAGAAATAGACCAGGGCAATAACGGAGCAGTGGGTTTTAAAATAAAATTCAGAGATTTGAGTGTGATCAATTTGAGAACCGCCGTGATCACGAAAGCTCAGTAAGTTTATATATTATCATAACCACTTGCATTTGGAATAAAAAGTAAGTGGTTTTATTTTTATATATTTTACCTATCTATTAATTTACGTTAAAACTAAGTTTGATTTTACTGTGTAATATATAGTTACGATCCCGTCAAACATAATCTCACACTCGAGATAAAAAATCCGAATAGTTTGATATTCGGTGGAGACTACGAAGCGAGCGGAAAAATCCTTATTTTGCCGATTACGGGACAGGGTAAAGCGAAAATTGTCGCGGGTAATGAAATAATAATAATACAATTTTTATGCAACTGTATTTATTTTTCATATCTAATATAAATATTTTGTTTAGATATTTCGAATTATATCGGTAACGCTATTATGAAACCGGTAGTCAAAAAAGGAACCACATATTTGGAAATCGTTGAGATAAAATGGACGTTTGTACCGAATAAAATACATATGAAACTAGATAATTTATTTAATGGCAACAAAGAATTAGGTATGTTATCAATTATAATAATATTATATTTGGGGCCATTAGTGAAACTACACAATTTTATTAAGATAGGCCAAATGATAAATATGAAAAAAAAAACTATAATTACAACTCTTTACTCTATAGGTTAAGTTATCGATCATAATCCACTTATAATGGAAAAAAAAAACAAACTACAACATAAAAATAAACGTCAAATTATCTGTGTATGATTGAATTTAAAGAAATTATATTAAACCCGCATTTACAATATGTATAAATGCATTATCCGTGCATTATGTATAATTTTATTTATTTAAATAAAAAATTATAGGTATTTTAGATGCAAAAATTAAGTTTTTAATTTAAAATTTTTAATTATTAAATCTGTAATCCAGTCAGGCCACGGCCTGACCCGTAGTTTCGCTTAAGTAACAACGGCAAGAATTCAAAAAAAGTTCTCTGGATAGTGAAAATGTGTAAATTATTGTAACGGGATTCCGTTTGATTAAAGATATTTTTACTAATCAAAATTCACATAAGGACTTTAAACAGTCGAATTGGGAAACGTACAATAAGGGTATGCCTTTAAGTAAAAATAATATTAATATATTATTAATTATTTAGTATTAATAGTATTTATATTAATATTATTATTACTATTTCAATGTTGTATTAATAAATAGTGTATTTCTGTCCAAACTGCCCAATGGGGCGTTGATTAATTATAAATAAATAAATAATGTAATGTTCAATATTTAGTAACATTTAAACGAAAAGTATTTCGGATCATGTGATAAAGATCACGCTACAACCAAACAAATATTTCAAAAACGAGAGATCCACAACATTTTATACAAGCCAAACATTCTAGCGATTATATCAGGAATAAACAGAATTGTTCGGCTATACCTGGAGAGCAGATTGGCAATTGTTAATGAAAGTGCTGGTGGAAAAAAAATAGAACAAGACCCCTAGGGAGCTCGGTTGATTGATTAGTATACATCTGTACACTATACACAATACACATGTTCTAGTTGTTGTAGACCAAAAAAAAAAAAAAAAACGTAATATATTAATTTTAACTATATATTCAACATAACTAACAATAAGTTCCCATAACCTGGTAGGTAATGAATAAAAAAATGTTGTTCTTGTTCACCGATTCTAATGTGTCCAAGTATTTTTATGAGTATCTGTATGGTTTTTGATACTGTGTCCCGTCTTTTATGTACTACTATATATCTCAGCCTAAAGATCTAAAGATTGAAACGGGATTTCCGAGAGGTGATGGAAAGTACCGAAATACACATTCTGGAATAATTTTCAGTTTTTAACCTTTTCAGTACACGCATGCGCAGTTAAAATTACTTGTTTTGAACAGCAACCATTGTTTTTGTCACCAGATATAGATAGATTATTTTTTTATAAGTCATTTTAATCTGTTGACCATAGACCTAAACCTAACATTAACAGCGTTATAGCTTTTTGACATTTGACAGTAACACACTTGCATTGAGTGATTTTTTTATGGATTTGAAAATTTGTATTATGAAATAAAATTATAATTCATTTTCTTTTTGATTCATTGATTATGGATTTTAACTTAAAGTTGACAGAGTTAGAGCTTTTTGAAATTTAAAAATAATTGGATCTTTTCGTCTGTAAGTGTGAATAGATAATAATAGAGAAAATGTATAAGATAAAAATTAAACATAAATAAAAACAATACACTACAAAGTAATTATAATTTTATTTCACAATACAAATTTTCAAATCCATAAAAATATCACTTAATGCAAGTGTGTTACTGTTACTGTCTGTTACTGTCAAGTCTGTCACTGTCAAATTACAAAAAGCTGTAACACAGTCAATGTTAGGTGTAGGTCCTTGGTCATTGGTCAATAGAATAAAATTACTTATAAAAAAAATGATCTATCAATATCTGGTGACAAAAATAAGGCGACTCACGGTTATAGATAATTATAGACAATTAATATAGATTATAGATAATTATAGATAGTTATAGATAATTAATTATCTATAAAAATTAAATTATTCATAATTATAAAGTATACTCTATGTTTATTGTCTATATACTTTATTATACTTATAAGTATAATTGGGGAGCATTTAAAAAGTCGAAAATAATTCAGTTAAATCGCATCTCATTTGATAAATAAGTGAGAAGTTTATTTTTTTTCCTAAACAGTGTATGAGTTGTAAAATATTGTGGCTAATCAGTATTTTATCTGAAATCTATTTTTCTGTAAATATTAAAACTGACCATAAAAATCCAAACGAATTATGTGTGATAATCCGTGATTACCAACATAGATACGTCTTATTAGTACGGTGGCAACTCGGTTCGACTTTGGTCGTCATTCGATTGAAATAATACGTTTAATACGTTAATTACATTAAATAATACGTATTTCTATGTTTAAAAATATTTAAGATTAGAGTTTAATTATCTGTTTGTTCAAAAAATTGTGTTAGAATTATACGAGTAATTCAAAATTTGTACATTCTTTCAAATTGTCGTTTAAGATAAAGAAGTTCAAAGTTTTATAATTTTACATTTTCTGATTGAAAATTTAAAAATAGCAACAGCAGTCTTACAAAAAAAAAAAAAAAATGATAAAAATTCAAAAGTGAAGTTTCGGTTAAAATACGGTCGGTTGTTTTATTTTGGGCTCAATTTTGTATTACTACAAAAAAGATTTTAAAAGTTCAGAGCTCTGGATATCGAAAATAATTGTTAGGGTTATTATTAGGTTATTAGAGAAAATCATAAAAATTTGATAATATTGTTATTTTTTTTAGTAATAATGTATGTAATATAATATTAAAACTCACGAATTTGAAGATGTTTAGAAAAACATTTTTGCAACATCGGTAAATTGTTTGGTGTTTTATGCCACAAATTACACCAATGTGTTTGTCAAATTAATACATCACCATAGTGGCCAATTAATATTTTTTAATATAAAGTGGCAAATTATATAACTATCTTTTTGATTTGATACGACAAAATTAATTATATTTGTAAATGTTTTTCAAAAATTAACATTTAATTATTGATAATTTTCGATTGTTTTTTCCTGACAGGTGATAATATGAATATATTCCTAAACGAGAATTGGCGTGAAATTTTAAAAGAATTACAACCCGCAATCGAAGAAGTTTTTGGCGCTATTTTCAAAACTATTGGTCAACAATTTTTGAATTATGTTCCTGAAAATCAATTATTATTAGATTAATTAATTCAGATTATGTTTTTAAATATTATGAAGTTGGGCCGTTACATGTATTCATCATTATAGGTACTACCGATAAAATATTACTCGCATAATAATTACCAAAGCATTTCACGTTATATATAATAATATATCAAATATGAATGTATCAATTATTATTATATTATTATCATTAGTATATATTAATAGTCGTACTTATATTATTTATTTATTTAAAAAAGATCTATTGCACTTACTAATAAAAAAAAAAAAAGTTTAAAATAAAACAAACAAATATAAAAAGACGTTCTAGGATAATGGGGATGGGTTGAGCTACTGTTATAGGCAATTTAATGTATACCTGTAAGTAACAATAAACCATTGTTTACAAAAAAACGATTGTAAGCGGAATTCAGTTTATAGTGATGTTTTGTCAACAATATATACGTCATAATAGTAAAATAATTAAATAGGCTTAATATATATTCTCAGTGACCTCCTTAAAGTACCTCTCCACATTGATTTTCCACCAGGAAAGGTGTTACACTTAAAAATCTGAGCAAGTATTTTGGTAGAAAAGTTGCGCACAGACAAAAAGAAAAAAAAAACATCTTTGTAAAACTATAAGCTTCTTTGCTCCACTCAGAATCTAAAATAATACAATTTCAGACAAAATTAATCACCTATTTATGTTCGACTAAAAATACCTACGCATTATCATTAAAAATTCACGACTCGTTTCAAATCAATGAAAAGTCGCCAACTAATCGCTCGCCTCAACTCTAGTCTTGCATAAAATTCAGTGATGATGGTGACACACCCGATGAACGAGTGTTAATATAACCTAAATAATATAAATATTACGTAAACAAATATTCAATTTAATAAATGGAAATAACTGCTATACAAAACATATTGCCATTATTTAGTAAATATATTGGTTTCTAAAAATTGTGAATGTAAGTACAAATATAAAAACCAAGTTGTCGTATATATATATATGAAGAATAAAATATCTATCTAATAATAATAATAGATGCTAGAATATTATTTTATTTTTTTATTGGACTTGTCAAGACGAGCATGTCACGTTGTCAAAATATAAATTCCATGAATAATGATTTATTGATTTGCTGGGGAAGCATACAGCAGGCTACTACTATTGTAATTATACATTCTTATCCCTTTGTGCGTTGAGACAATGGTTCGAAGATTGTAGTACAAAACGTATATAGTTACTGACAGAAAGGTACGAACATTTGCCCGGCTCCCCAATATTAAAATTTAATATTTTTCTTGGCCCAGTCGTAAGTATTATTGTTAGAATTAGACAGTAGAACAAAAATCATCATTAGTAAACACTCGTTTTTTCTTTTTTAAATTTGAAAATTCAGTGGGAGGGAGGGGGGCTGGAGAAATGGTCAAAATCGTCAACTTTAACAATAAATGTTTATATTTTTCTTGGCTCAATCGTTAGTATCCCTTTGGTTAATAGAACACAATTATTACTATTACTAATAAGACGAATGACCACGTAATAATTCCAAAAACACTAATTACAAAATTCATAATTTATATTTAATTTAATTGTAATTTAAGAGGACGTCATACCCGCATATACTGTCTCAGTTCAACTAACTGGTTATGTAAAAAAATCTACTAATTTCTAAAATATATAATATGCAAAAATAAATATAATTACCTACTAATTTGATTTATTACAAAAGGCTTACTGATTGCGGGCTTAATTTTTTTATTTTAATGTGAAAAAAAACGAATGATAACAGAAGTTCATTTGTTATCAGTTGATAATTTGTACAGGTATAATTTACATCATACCATCCATATATTTCTAAATCGTCTTTCGTCAGCAATGGTTTATCATTGCTTACAGATAGGTATAAATGAAATTGCCTTATGTATTCTACCTTCCCAACTTCTCACCTACAACAGTGGCCGCACCCGTCTCCAATATTAACTCTTTATTTAAATATTTATTTAATTTTTGTCCAATTGAAATTTTATTTAATTTTTTTTAAGAGGGGTTGTCACAATCTAAAATTACAGGTTAATAAGATTTTTTAGGAAAAATTTAGCCTATAAGAGATATTTCCATTAAAGTTATTTTGTACCAGAGATATATTGTTTGCGAAATGTTCAAAGAAATGCAGTGAAACATTATAACAAACAATGACAAAATTAATAAAAACAGAACAATTTGAATTATTAATCACTAACCTTACAGAATTTGAATTTAATTTTATGTAATATTTATATATTTTCATTTGAATCGGTTTTTATAAATCTGTGCGGTATTTTACTATTTTTATGTGACCAATTAGATTATGCATTATGTGCGCAAATGAAAAGTGTCGTACTTGCTAATATGTGTAGTCTAATCAAATTTAGAAAACGTTATGAATCCATTATTTCTGTAATATTTTCCTTTTCTTTTACGTTATTTCTTAGTTAATCTACTAGAAGAATCAAAAAATAAACCTTCTCAATGCACCAACTGCAGGATTCGAAATTCCATAAAAAAATTTTCTTGTCATTTTTCGATTAGAGCAAGATTTATTGTAGAAAAGTTGTACACGGGCAAAAAAAAAAAACATCACACATCATATTAAAATCAATACATTCTTTATTACGCTCAGAATCTAATACGTATTACAATTTGGGACCTCAATATAAATAATTGCATATGGGCCTTAGAATTCATAGTATAATAGTACTGATTATTATGAAACTATAAAAATACCGAACATCTGCAGCTACAATACATTTTCAATTTCCTAATTTTGACGAAAATCATAAAAACCACGGGTGCGTAAAATGTTGGGAAATATTTTGTCGGTACCGTATTTTATCGGAAAGTATATTGTTGGAAAATAACTTTCACTTGAAAAATAATTATCATCATCCGTGGCTGCTTTTTACTGCACGTTGTCATACGTTGTTGGGTAAAAATTTTCCGACACTGTACTTTTCCTACCTTAAACATTTATATTTAATATGTATTAAACAGTGCAATGTAAATACATTTTTTTAATGATTTTTTTTTTGACTGCACAAATTTATTCCCACTCATAAATTGTAGAAGGAAATTGAACTTCGTAGAAATACTGCCCATGAACAGGGTTGTAAATTTAATATATTTGCATGTTTTTTTTTGCTAAACAGTGTAAGAAAATGGATTTGACCAGAATTTGTTTTGATTTATCTATTATAATTAAAATATGAAATTTTATTTTGCATATTTTCACATATTTAACAGGTTAGGACATATAAATGCATCAAGTTTTCATGATTTTTTTCTTAATATTTATATTTTTCGGTCAATCTGGTATAAATTGGTTTAAATGTTTTTGTTTATAATAATATGTCTTTTATATAGTTTAAATGATAATATTATCAGGTATTTAATTTAAATTGTTGCCCGATAATAAAATTAGGATTGTTCTGATATCTACAAAATATATCTACTACATATTAGAAATTTGTTATCTTTTAAAAATGTATTAGAAACATAAATATATACCTAATATAATAATAACTTGATCACACAGTTGTTCAATTTAATAGTTTAAATACCTATAGCTTAAAGGACATAATATAATATAAAGAGTCCAATATTTCCTTTTTTTCAGACGGTAAAAAACAATGAAAATCAATGAAAGATTAAGATTTTATGTAAATCGTTTTTAATTATTAATTTTAATTTTTTTTTCTTATGTAATAAAATCATTATTATTAATATAGACAGTTCGTATCTAAGCATATTGTGTAATTTTTTAGTGCATATTTTAAAACATATTATTTCTTCTGTTTTTAGTGCATAAATGTACATAAATTTAACAATTTTTTGTGAATCATATTCATAGCTCTGTCAATGACATACTAAATAAATAATTTTATATTAACGCACTATTTTAAATTCGTAGCTTACCAATGTGAGTGTTTTTTTTTTTTTTTGATACAGAATGAGAAGGGTCCTTACGAGTTTTCGGGCCCAGTGTTTGTATATTGCTTGTACAATATACATGAGTAAACCAGGGTCTGATGGTAAGTTAAGTGCTAAAATTACTGACAAATATTGTGGCGACTCTTAATTATTTTCTCTAATGGACAGTGAATTATTCCGTTTTACTTAATATTATATTTTCAATTTCTATGTTTGATTTTATTTACAATGAATATACGAGTAAACCATACTAATAAAAAGAATTTTTTTTTTTTTGCTGATTCGAAAAAAAATAAATTTCAAAATATTACAATCATTATTTCTTTATAGGTTTACATAGAATCGTAGAATTGAAGGATGCCAATTATTATACGCATTAAATGGAAATAAACAACTTCGTATATTTATTGTTGATACCATTTTATAATTTCAATTTTTAGTGTTAACTTAAAATAATTGGCCGAAATTAAATGAAAAATCAATAAAAATGGTTGAAATCATGTGGGTGCAGAAAAAAAACGTATGTTTTGTATAAACTTAATAGTGAAAAATTCTGTAAATACTAAAAATAATGAATAAAAGGTAACCATTGATATAGTTTTTACAGTTAATATAACTATTTGAAAACTTCTTAAAATCTAGACGTCTAGATGTATTAGTCTTATCAATAATGACTTTCGTAATGATGATCATCGTGATCGTAGTGGTCATAGTGAGCATCGTGACCGTGGTGGTAGTCGTCGTGATGGTAGTGATCGATCTCTTTGTAAATGTATACGGGTTTCTTGATGTACACGGGTTCTTTGACGTATACTGGTACGGTGTGTACGTGATATGGTACGTGGATAATGTGATGTTCGCTAAAAAATGATAATAAACAATATCAAATTAATCATTTGCGATATAAAAAACTACAAGTTTGAAGTTAAATGATTATTTTTTTACAAAAATGTTTTAGTAAAATAAAATATAGAGTAAAAAAAAAAGAAAAAGAAGAATCATCCGTAATACATTTAACGTGTTGGAGGTAGCTGAATTTTATGCATGGCAGACGAATACATAAGAATGGTCGGGTTTCCTCCTATGAAGCGTAACGCTCGGAAGTAATATATGGAATTCCTCAGTTTTGTGTACATTTTAAGTCCACTAAATTCTAAATACTAAAATCATGTTCCTGTTTTATAAAAAAAATTGCTAATATTTGATAATATTTGATAATATTATATTAACGTAGGTACCAGTGGCGTACTCAAGGGGGCTGATGTAAGTGATACATCACCCCCCAAAAAAGTTTAGAACCGATATATTTTTCTCATTTTTGTAGTAACTGGTTAAAAAAAAATACAAAATGAAAGATATTAAATATCAATACTGTGAAACCTCTAAATACTGGATACTCTCGACCATTGAAATTTTGTCCGCTATTTTGAAGTATCGGCTATTCAGAGGAAGAGAGTGTCCGTTATTTAGTGTCCCGTATTTATATTTAGGGGCTTTCATATAGGTAAACGGTGAAAATATCTCCGTTCCTAAAAAAAAATTCTATTTAGAGGAGTCCGTTAAGAGAATTCATGGTTCGGTAATTAATAGAGTTTTAGTATGATTTTGTGAGTAGTATATATATTATTTATGATTTCGTCTTGATTTTTAACAAATATTCATATCACCCGCCCCCCCCCCCCAAAAGTACTGATTACGCCAGTATTATGAAAAACTGAAAAACAACTTCGAATTCAAAATAAAATAAATATAAAAAAATGTTGCCTGCTTTTTTTGAAAATGTAAAGTTTGTTTAAATTTGTTCAATGAATTATTTGAATTCTACTGGAATCTTAAACCATATAAAATTGACACACACAGTATCAGCTATTAAAATATAATAATACATCATACATTTTATAATTTACATAAGTACTTACTGTTTTGGTTCATGCGAAAAGAAGGTGGGCGATGCAGCCGCCACAGACAGAATGGTCAACATAATTGCCACCTGAAACGATAAAAAAAAATAGTAGTTAAATATTAGACGAGAGTTTTGAATATTGAAATATTGATTGTGACAGTTATATATGGGTAATGGAATGTTAACGGATGGATAGGTAGTCGAAAAGATACGTAAGTGTGTAGTTGGAAATTGGGGAAGAGATAGGCCAAAGAAAAAGTTGCTAGAGGTTTGAGTAGACGAAGATGATAGTGATGTATAGGGAGATGTATCATTTACAGGAGGGCGAGATTAAGAATATAGCTGACATAACTTGTGTGAAATATATACGAAGAAGAAATCTATCATTATTAGATACATTGGTCCTTAAAAATAACTAACTTAGGAAGAAGTAACATTTTTTTCTCATTTTACTGAAACCACAGTGATTATATTAAGTACAATGTACACATTATAACTGTTTATAAGATTAAATATTTTCATATTTTTCAGTGTAGTTTAGACTAAATAAATTGCCTTTGTTATCATGTCATCGGAAATGACAAATTATTTTGGATGAAGTTATCGAAGATTTAAAATCACAAAAGAAAGTTATACTTTGTTTAGTAAATTACAAATAAATAAGAATACAATTTTAATATTTTCTATTATTCACTAAACAATTAATTTACATACCCCTGTCAATAAAATCCTAAATACTTGGAGTTGCAGAATAAAGTATAGTGATTATGCAAAGATGTGATACAGAAATGAGATAAAATATAAAAGCAAGAGACCAAGAAGTTAACTTAAAGAAACGGTAAAAAGACTAAGTTCTCAAGACTTAGGAAATATAAGCTTAATGATGGATGGACTCTGGAGAAATAGTGACACGGAGGACTTTTGTTGCAGACGCAAAGGCTTTTAAAGACGATATAAAATATTTTATATGTATACAATTGTCGGTACTCACGGATGTGTTCATTTTGGATGTCGGTTTTATTTTTCGTCTAAGATAGTCGACGAGCGAATTATTCAGTTCTTTTCGGCTGGTCAGTGTACAAGTCTTTGGTGATTTCCATCGCGGACTGTCGGTTTATATATAGGTACAAGTTCGCGTAGTTTCCACACGTCGTCGTCGGGGACGTCGCGGCCGCCGAGGAGAAGGAGGAGAATATTATGGTACGGAATAGGACGTAACGGTCGCCAGGGAAGGGTCTCTCGTACACAGATGTCCGGTATAGGTTAGGTTATTACCACGGTATAATATCGTTTGTGCATTAGGCGCGCAATTGCAAAGTTATGCAACGGGTGTAACTTTATTTGTCCGGCTCGATTTTTTTTTTTTTCACTTCCAAAGCGATCGCTGCACGCGATATATCGTAACATTTCGCGCGCGGTTCACGTTGCGGTTGTATAATAACAATAATAATAATAAATGGGTCGCGGACGAAACGAGTTTTTAGACGGGTAGGTATAATATTAATATACCTCTGTCTACCGGTCGTGTTTATGTACGCGATCCGCGGTCCGTTCTTTATAGAAAATATGTTTTTTTTTTCTTTCTCCAAAATCCCATTAGAAATTAATACGAGCTTGGTATAGCCATCGATAATTATCGAAGACTTATGACTGTAGCTATTGCGGCAAGATGTTTCGATTGTGTATGTTTATATTACCTGTGTGTTTCTCTTTCGATTACTCGCAAATAATTATTGCATTTTTCAAAATCCATTTACTATTTACTAAGTAAGTATAGTAAGTTAGTTTATTAACATGTTGTGTTTTAGCTTCACATAATAGAACGCGCCGTTCCAAAATATGTTCCTAATTCATCTTCATCTAAATTGTGCTATAGGCACTTGTTTGAAAATGATAAGGATTCGAGAAATGATAAAAATCCAAATCAGTAATAATACCGAATTGAAAAAAAATAATAAATAATAATAGGTATTGTTTTTAAATCAATTAGTATTATTAGTATTATAAAATAGCTGATTTTATTAATATTAATTTATTTTCGATTAAAATGCGTTTTGGATATATTTAATGATAAAATACTGTTCTTACGAATATTTTTGATATTCCTTCCCTCTAAAAATAAAAAAAAAATCGGGGATTATTCAGTGAACGTGAAGTGAATAAAAGAAATTATAATTGCCATAATAATGTGTAAATATTACGTTCATAGACACTGATTGAATAATATAATATAATAATAGAGCATATATTTTTAAGATAAGAAAATAAATGCCCTAATATTTTTACGCAGTACTTCATAAATTTCGAAATTTCTGTGCTTGGTGTTACTTTCGTCAAAATATTTATTTAATAAATATTTATTTTATTTTCCTAGGTCCTTGTTTATAGATTTTGAGTTGTTTCGATGTTTTTTTTTTTTTCATACTGTGTACAACATTTCCCCTAAAAATCTTGCTCCAATCAAAACATACTAAGAGATCTTTTTTTTGGTTTTTCTTTGGCTCTAGTTGGTACTTTAGAAATATCATTTTTTTGAAATTCTCGTAAGTATTCGAGATAATGAAGAAAAATTGGTTTTTTAGGTTAAAAGAATAAAAAGCTGTCCTGGTATAATGGGGACGGGTGTAGCCATTGTTGCTGGTGAGAAAAAATTTGAGAAGGTAGGATATAAAGGGAAAATTAATTTGTGTCTGTAAGCAATGGTTTATACCATTGCTTACTAAAAACGATTTTGAGCGGAGTTCAGTTGATAGTTATGCTCTTCAACAATATATATGTCATATTATGGTAAAATAATTAAATAGGCATTATATATTTTCTTTAATAATATTTGCTTAATATTGTACTGATTTTCCCGTTTTTCCCGGTTTTCTCATGTTTTCCAGTTTTTCATATTTGTTGAAAAAACTCCTGAAAAAATCGAAAAATGTCTTCCCTAAAGTACCACCCCAAGAAAATTTCCTTTCAGGAAAAAGTCTACATCGTATACATCGGAGTAAGCTTTCTGGTTGGAAAAGTGTTTACATAAAAAAATAAACATCTTTGTAAAACCAATAAATTCTTCACTTCAATCAAAATCTAAAATAAGGTTGTTATTGGCAATAATTTTTATTTGTTTTTTGTTGTTATTAAGTTTATAATATTTTAATATTTTTAAACAATCGTTGCTGTCGTGAAGACGCACATTGTTATCAAAAGTAATACTATTGACTGAGATCCGTTCAGAATAGTTTTTCGGTAGCAATAATTAATTATTGTGTACAAATATACACTAAATAATTCTCTTCTATATTCTACCTACCCAACTTCTCATCTACAATAGTGGTCAGTAGCCCACCGGTGATGCGAAGTATGTCCGTCTGCTTTTAAAGTGATAGATCTGTTTATATTTTTATTGATTTTTGAATTTTCTTGGAAACAAGAAAAAAACATGACTAATACCACTCCGCTCAGTATTGTTTTTCATTTGAAATGATTTTGCATTCAATATGTTGAAATTAAATAATTTTTTAAATCCATCATTCCTAACTACTCACCTATACCAGTGACCTATGAGTAGTATCAATTTTTAAAGTTTAATTTTATCATTTTTAAATTTAATACTTCAAGTTGTTTATTTGTATCATACCTAACCATGTCAACATAATGTAATAAAATATATTATTATGCAATAAATGAATGATAAAAGTTAAATAAATTATAATTTATAAAATACCTACAATGTGTAAATGCAAACTGACTACCTTCGGACAAATAAAACAATAGGCACTGTCCACATTATAGTGACCTAGAATCCACAAAACGTGTAAAAAAACAAAAACCTCAAGCGTTTCAAGCATAATCTTCTGGATCTAAAATTTTAAATTACCTACGAATAATAATTAGTGAACAAAAGCCTTCATAACTCCACACTCAACTCTATAGATTTTTCAACTCTTCACCAGAATATAATAATAAAATTGTCTTTAGTATCGTTGTAATATTATTATCTATATAGTCTTCCTCGTTAGACTGTATATTTGCATGTCGTTTTTGTTTTCATTTTATGAAATTTCTTTAAATAAATATTTTCTAAGTAATATATTATTTGGTTATAATATTATTGTATCCAAATTATCAATAAAAATTAAATATCGGCATTTATTGTAAGTTTTTAAAATTTGTTAGAAAAACCGTTGGGAATTTAGAAAAGTTATTCAAATGAAGTAGGAGGTACACAAAACATACATACAAGTATGGCTTATTAAAACGAATAGCTTCTTTTTTACAATCAGAATGTAAAATAATATAACAATATTCGATGTCTCCTTTAGCACAGTTTTTTACGGTTACTTACTCCTCTCATCATCAATTATATCATCTATTATAATCAATTTAACAATTAATATTATTGATTCTTAAATCTTTTTTAATAATCGTACTTTATTGAACTTGAAAACCAAATTAAATACTAAATAATAACTATTTTTATCCGTGTCACCAAGGTAACATAGAAATTAATAAAAATTACAATTTTTAAATAATAAAATCAATACAATTTAACATTTGAGTTAGATTTGTAAGGATGTTGAATTTCCAAAAATCCCATACAGTATCCACAGAACCATCATTTAAAGTTTTAGCTGCTTTTGAGTGCATTTTGTGCTGCATCAGTGAGTGGGTGGTAAGATAATCTCTTTGGTTTTAAGGTTTATATAGGTACACATAGACATGTGGAAAAATAATATGATATTTGTCTGAATATGAAAATAATTACTTAAAAATTACCATAATATATAACAGAATAATCAATTTGAAATCGTTTTTCCCAAAGTTGATTTTATTATTCATTCGTTTAAAAATAAACTAAACTACCAATCACCAAATAGAAGTAAATTTAAAAAATTAACGAAAACTAAACGGATCATTGCAGTTTATACGAGTATATAGTATATACTTATACATACATAATATACTTTATTAGAAAGCTCTGTCGAAATTTTCTCCGTTTAACAGATTTTTTTTTATTTATATAATAGCTCTTGTTTTTGTTTCAAGTACCTGTTTTAAGTAGATATAGGAAATAATACCTATAAATTACATTTCGACTTCGTACACATCGAATATTTCGTTGTTTCGGTAGTTTGGCGACGTCATACTTATAATATAACGTTATACTCGTAAGTTATGAGTTATAACTCTTATAATTATTACTTTAAACGTTCGAACGTTTTCCACAGCTTTAGGTTTTGTAGACGGAAAACTGTTCAATGTTGTATTCTCATAGTTTTTTTTCGATTCGCTTCACGGTTGTAGATCACTATAGTTTTGTAAGATATTATTATGTTAATTGTATCGCGAGCGGTCGGAACTAGTTTTTCCCGAGCAGTAGCATTTATTATTATTTTTTTAAAACACCATTGATTATTATTATTAATTCTGTGCGTACCAGCTAATACTTACCGATATGACCGCGGTTCGTAATAATACTTATTATGTAGGTACACGCGTTGTATGTAACCTAACCTAACCTATCTATACCTAAATACTTTATTATAGCTGTATATCGCGGTAATCTTCCGTAATACGGACTCGCACAGTTCTGTACACGGTCATTTTTGTACAGATCATAATGAAAAATTCGATATTATTCTGTAGTATCAATCATAGTACGATAATACAACGATTATAACGATGTATACCTAGTCGTATAATTCTCGCGAAATTACGGTTTATTATTTAGTCTAATCGTCTGTACGAATATACAATAGTTTTCTTGTGCAGTAAATTGAACGTGCCAAATTTGACACATGGTTCATTGGTTTTATAATGGTTATTTTTTTTTTGTGAACAACATTTTTACCAGAAAATTTGCTTAAATTTTCAAGTGCAGCCCTTTTTTTGAAAGAAAATCTGACTGGAGTGATACTTTAAGGAAGTCATTGGGATTAGATTTATACTTTGCATATAAGCTATTCATAGAAAACATTGACTGTCCTGAGTTCCATACACCTACTCGTAACA